AAAAGTTTATAAAATGTTTTATTTCGTTTTCATAGAAAGAAAGCAGTGCAGCGTAAACGCAAGGAAAACATTGAATATTTTTAGATACTTTTTCATTTAAGTGTCTAAATAAGAACATAACCTTTAATTTAGCTTTTCAAAAATAAATGATATCATAACAGCAACATAAATGTGAAAAGGGGAGCCAAGTTCGGGCGAAACGACGTTCGGCGTAGTCGGTGTTACCGACAAATGAGTTGGGATCTAACGGATAGCGAGTTCCATAGCAGTTCCTTTAATCATAGCTGTAGGAAAGTACAATGTTCTTATATTCATTTGAAAACAATTTATTAGTTTCTTTCGTATCAGATTTCTAACTTGGCAAGTTTTAATTGCAAATAAATTACATTCAAAAAATTTGTTTCTGCAATTAGAAATTAACTAGGCCAAGTTAGAAATCAGATATCAAAGTAATATTTTTTTAATAAATATAAGAACGTTGTACATTCCTGCAGTTATTATTCAAGGAGCTGCTATTGAACTTGCCAATCCGTTAGATCTCAACTCTTTTGTCGGTGACACCGACTACGCCGAACATCGTTTCTCCCGAACTTGGCCTTTTTTTCACATTTATGTCGTTGTTACGATTTTATTTACTTATTTTATATTTACTTGTTTCATTTACTTATTTATTTAAAATTTCAAGAAATTTTGACGAATCGTGTAAACATTGCATCTGCATAATTTTAGAAACAATAATATAACTTCTGTTACATCAGAAGTTTAGCCCTTAAGTATGAAATGTGATAATTTTGTTCTTTGGTACTGACATAATTTTATAACTAACTATATATAATTTCTTTGTAAACAATTATATATTTTTAAGGAATTTTTATTTCATTTCTACTTGACGAGAAAATGGCCCACGGCGAATCAGCTTGCATGCTTCTGTCGGCGAAAAAGCGGCGGCCAAACGGGTACGGGGAAACGGCGAAAAGATGCCTGTTGCGAGCGGCTTCGCCAATAAAGTCTTACTCATGTTACAATATTGGATCAAGAACTGCTATAATATCTACATTTTTCCATGCTACTTTGAGGCTTGTTGCTAGCGACTTCGCCAAATAAGTCTTTTTCATGCTGCCATGTGTTCCTCTATTCTTCATTGAAAAATAGCTGTTTCCAATTTTTGTGTGTAATGCATACACAAAACTAAACTTTACTAAACCAAGCGTTGAGGAACCTAATGAAAAGCTAAGCAAATAATCGCTTAAGTTCAAGGACAGAACTATAAATTCAAGATGCGCTAATTACCCTTTTTCTCTGCAAATAAAGATATATAGACGGCCTCCTTCTCAGGACGGACGAAAAGCCTTCACTTGGGCGTAACTTAACATGTAAGAAATAAGAACTATCTAATGACTAACTAAAGAGATTTAGTCGAAGCTAACACAAATTCTAACCTAGTTGGCCGTAATATTAAACTAGCCAAAGCTATCAAAAGGCACATAATACGGCCGAGCGTAATAACAGAGAGACCTAGCCAAAAGGCAAACGCGTGCTATTCAAGAATCCTAACTCTTTCTCTCGAAGTCAGTGGAACTTTGGCTTAAATACTTTCTACTTCTCATTTGCATTTAACGCGAATCTAAAACCTCATTCTGGTAAGGAATTGTAAGCTGAAGCTAGAAGAGATAGGAAAGATATATAAACTTAAAATAACTGTTATAAAATTAGGATATATTTTACAAATTTTTAAATTTATTTATGCACTCAAAAATAAGAATCGGCATTCATTTTGATGAATCAAAAAATTTTTATAAGCACTCATCGTAATACCAATGTAACTGATCAGTCTTCTTACGTGATGGTTTTCGTTTGCGCCTCAAGTTCTTGCCACTAAACTCATAATGAACACTTTCGGCAATGGTAATAATTGTTGCTTTCTCGTAACCCTTTGAAAGTATTTCCAGTTTTGTGAATGACAACTTACTCACTTAAAAGTAAGATTAAAAATTAAATACTCTGATAAACAAAGATAAATGCTTGTTATTTTTCGTCAATAAGAAGCAAACAGATACTTAACAAACGCCGCATCTCCTACTGCAAGCTGACCATATGAAACAAATTGAAAAAAATTCAGATCCGCTTACTGCAGCCAGAAATTAAGGGCGCGATTAGGAAATGGGCCATTCTCTTAGTAATACTAAGATATTTTATTCAAATATATTGGTATACATTGATATATTGGTAAAAGTGTATTGGCATATATTCGGAACAGAAATAAAATTTCCGATTTTTATAAAAATAATAAACATTCAAAATTTATTTTTTCTTTCTTATAGTCTATCTTTGAAGAAATATTTTAAGTAATCAATTTTCAAGCTCTTATACCCAATTTTTGATATAAAATTAATTAAAAATTATATTATTTAGAGTATAAGGTATTTCTGCCACTTCCCTAGCGTGCCTTCGTGGTGTAACGGTAGCACGCTGGGCCGGTATTCCAGAGGTCCGTGGTTCGATTCCCGGCGAAGGCGGTTGCATATTTTTCATTTTTTCTGCTTCCAATTAACCTAATGACTCAACAGGAGGAAACTTAAAGAACTATTCGCACTGTATGATTTGGTGATAACTAGTAGAATCAAATTTATTATTTCATATTCAATATCTTTCCTTGTTAAATTTTCTTATTCACTGATTTCTACTAAGAAAATATAATTTTGGTAAAGTACTAAAAATCATATTTGAATATACTTTAGCCAGATTTTACAAGAGAGATAATTTTGCGGGAAATAAATTATTTCTGGCTACTGCGCATCTATTTATTCACTGCCGACTAAATCTCTTAGTTATCTCAGCACATCGTTCTATTCAAAATTGTAACTCGCTGTCATCGTCAGTGACGATACGCTAATGAAATGCTTCATGATAACTCTATATTGACGATAACAAAGTATCGAGATCTTCAACATGACTCTTTTACAAGTATCGACATGAGCCCCTCTTTTTTTACTTAGTTGTCAACCTTTTGCTTACACATCTGGCCATACTTCAGCTCGTCATGAATAATGTGTAGAATTGATTCAACAATTATATCAAATATTAAACGTCATTTTCTTGATTATGATACACCTGATTTACCATATTAAATTTTCATTCGAACAGAAAACTATTTTTAAAGCTTTATGCTTTTACTTCACATATTTCTAGTTACAGTCCACTCATCTTGCTTGGTGTACTGAATCAGAGCGCGGTCATCTTATTGAACTGTTTTCCATGCCCCACATGGGCACCGCAAACATGTTAATATCATCTGTATTAGACCTAGGTCACACCAAAAATGATAAAGACATCGGCCGCACACGTGATTTTTAATCAAAAGTTTTCCTTTCGATTAAAAGTACTATCCGATGTATTTAATGGTATAAGGAATAGCTTAACGCATTTAAGAATTGTAATATACGGGTTAAGATATGCACATTTCCTTAAATGTAGACATCAATATTATTAAACAAGCAAAAGCTATCCCTAAGGTTCCTTGAGAATAGAAAATTAGCTTTTGAAAGAAAGAAAAATTATCTACAAATACATAAATTTAAACTGATTTATAGTAAGAAAATAAGCGGGAAAGGCTTTTTGAAATATAAACAATTCATGCGGAAGCCTTTATTAATACTATCATAAGTGCTCTATAAAACAATGAAAGCATTCTAAATGACATTGAAAAATACCAGCAATCTTCTGCAAATTGGCACAAATACTTTTTACATGATCTTAGCCATTAATGCTGTTATATTTTATTGCGTCATTATATAATAAGTTAATAAGACTATATATGAAGGATTTTAAAACATTGTGATTGTCTTTCTTTCGTTTTGATAGCAGCAACAAAACGTCTTAGTAATCCAAGTCCCTGCGTTTCGAGACTGTCGAATATTCACGGTTCTAACTGATGGCTCATGAGTTTAAACTGATTCTTCCAGCTTATTCCGTCTATCCTTAAACAAAGTAAGGTTAAGAGATCGAATAGACCTCATTCGAGTAATATAAATTTATTTAAATACTCTTCTAGCCGATCTAATTGCCACTGGAAAATAAATGATACGATGGTCAGCTGTCTTAATAAAAGATACCGTTGTTAATGGAAAGGAAGTTTTTGTGAAACAGTGCAGATGACTTATCTGTGTCTTTATTACTTATGGGCACAGATTTTTCTCTGAACACGCAGTCTATGACCATAATATTTCTCAAATTGCACCATTCAAGACTGGAAATGTTGTACGTCCTCATTATTCATGGCGGAATCTATAACATCAATGAGAGTATCAGTAGTTATTTGGGGGGGTTACGCAAACTATGCCCCTTTATTTCTCAGTAAGTTTCCTAAAAATGTTTCACTAAATTCTGATAGATTATCCTTACGAACTCTGACTTAAATTATAGTAATTATTGAGTAATTCTAACTTCTAAATATTACCGATAGTTCTATTTAGGGCACTTTCCGCAAGTAGTGCTCGTTTTTTAATATTACTATTGATTTATTATTATTATTATATTAAAGTATAATTTTTTATTTAATTGGCTATAATTATGATAGCTAATAATTTTGATTTCCATAAATAGGTTCATTAACATAAAAAATTATCAACCAAAATGAGCCGAATGCGTACATATTATATATTTCATTTATAAATAAAGGTAATTAACTAAAAGAAAGCAATGCTTCATTTATTTAGAAGTAACAATAATTTTCCAAATATATGTGTTTATGTTATGTTTTAAGTATGTTATGTTTTAAGTAAATTAAGTGTTCATTTAAAGATCATCAGTAAGAAAAAAGCGAAATTAACTTCTAATAAATGATAAAGAGAAGAAATATTTTATGTCATTCAAGATTTACTAAAGTATGAGTTTTGTTGAGGTAAAATTTTGTTAAGCATAAAATTCGATAATATCGCATAATATGGTCCATTTATTTCGGATTATCGTTTCATTATGTTATCATAGTTTTTCTTTTGCAGCCTAAAGGTCAGCTTCCTATCCATGTTGTTTGTTCCCGTCCAACAGGGCAGGCATTAACGCCTCTTCAACTCCTCCTCAAAGCTACAGGCAAAGATGCCAGATTAATGAAAGATAAGGTAATTTATCACGTCATTAATTTTAACAATTTATTTCTGAGAATGTACAATCATTTGTTCGGAAATTTTGTATAAATTATTTTATTCGCCTCATTGTATTTTCATATTAAAATATCCATTGACTTACACTATAAGCAATGAAGATCCGAAGTTATCAAACAGTTAAGTTTCTTTAAACTTCTAAACGTGTTTATCCATCTACAGCAGAAAATAATTTTTCTCAGTCATTAGTGATATCCAGAGATACAGAGTCTTAATGTTTGCCGCTAAATGTTCTTTTAGAGAATAGAATTTTGAGTTGTTTTTATTTACTTAATTGTTATATTATTGATAAATAATGAAATATTAATTAATGGAATAAACTCTGAATGCATTTTTTGGATGTCTGTTATTTTTCTGAAAAATAAGTATTGCTAATCACGATTAGAAATAATTATAGTTAATTTCATGCCTTGCTAGAGAATATAGTTACCGTGACCTATAAAAAGCTCATTATAAAAGTGTTTTTTTTTTTTTTTTTTTTTTTTTTTTTTTTTTTTTTTTCAGAAAACTCTACATTGGAATTAAATATTATTTTAGCGCAATCAGATCTCAGAAGTAGTTACTTTAATCCTGATTAGAAGATCAGAATTAGAAAGATCGTGATTGGAAAGAAAGAATTAGAAATATTTTAAGATTAGAAAATGTTCTAACATTAAAAAGATAGATCCAATCCGGCAGCAACTGTGGAACGCTCCACCGCGCGACAAAGCGGCATCATGGTTTGAGACGTAACTATTCCAGATCACCTTTAATTCGTATTCAGAGCACTGTGACGGTCCAACGATGCGTGGATGATGTGGTGCGGCTGGTGACACTCTCCTACCTTCAGGGAATGCCCAGTGCTCTTTATCAGCAGGATAATGCACGCAAACACACTGCTGAGGCATCAGCCAACGTCTTTTGCAAGGTGTATAGATTCTTCCCTGGCCACCGTTCTTTCCTGATCTCTCACAAATCGAATACATTTGGGATGTGATTGGACGTCATTTGCAGACCCTGCCATTGTCACGTTTAGAAGACGAACTGTGGCAAATGGTTGACAGAGAATGGAAAGCAGTCCTCAGGGCACCACCGTAGTTTCATTGACTCTGTACTTAGAAGTCTTACTTCGTGTATCGCCGTCCAAGGTGATCCTGCAACCTACTGAGCCGACGCTGTTCTCGCTCTGTATTATGCATATCATTTCGAAATAAAGATTACTTATTGTTCGTTGCTGTCTCTCTCTATTTGCCGAATTTCATCACTGTCTGTCCATTCCTTCTTGGTCTTGCATTTTCATTGTAGAGTAGTGTATATCTTTCTATTCTGCAAGACTGACAGTCAAATTTCTTTAAACAAAAGACATCAAAGTGATAGAAAATCCGTCCTGTTCTCCTGAGTTTTCTACGTGTGACCCTTGGCTAATTTTTTAATCTAAAATAAAATTTACGTTATTGTCGTTTTCATTCCGAAGATGAGACTGTCAAAGTTATATAAATTTATATTTCATCAGTTTCAAGAAATGGATAGCTTGAATCATTTAATCTTTTGAAAATTCACCTAAAAACGTGCACTAACTACTTTGTGTCCACCTTAGATGCAGCTAAATGGTATAGAGCTGTCTAAAAACCTTCAACGTGAGGCTCATATTTTGTGACATTTTTATACCCTTAAACGTAATTTAATAGTCATTAAATTTTTATCATATTGCCTAATATTGTCTTGATAAACAAAATGGTGGTCTTCCGAAGTATAATGCTTTCCGTCTCTATATTACAAAAAAAAATCAGTAAGTTAAATCTAATGTAAGTTTGTAAGTTAAATCTAATATTAGTCATAAATAAGTGTTCGCTATTAAAAGAATCGTCCATCTGTCTCATTGTATTTACATCAAAAGTAGAAAATAGGTGCTCTAGCAAACATAATTTTATTTTTGATCTGAGCAAGATGATGTAGTACATGAAAGGAAAAAATAACGTGCAACATAAAATAATAGATGTATGATACGTACCAAATTTAAATTATTAATCTTTAAGAGCATTCAAACATTTGACAATCTCTGAGACTGCTAAATATATATTCAATTTGAAACTTGATGCAACTTTAAACATAAATTTAGTTACTCATTTCCCATCTCACAACTGATAAAATTAAATTAAGCCACAAGGTTTCGCTTTTCTGCATTTATTTCAAAAGCAAACATTTACTCTGTAGCAAAAATTAAAATCAAGCTTACATTTAGGCTATTCATTTGCCAAAAGGCAATAACTTCATTTTCTTGTCCTCCTTGTTGCGCATTTCATGAACTTTTCCCATAACGATTTTATATTCCATTTCGAAGCAAAAGCTTTTGCTTCGAAATGGAAAATTTTTCGTCGTAGTGTCTTCAATATGCTTTCTACAGCATTGAATATTTATAAATATTGCTCGAAATTGAATATGAAAACACAATTAAGAATGCAGTCCTTACGCGTAATCCGAAATTCAGGTTAACCTCTTCATCGTTTCCGCTCCCCCGAGAGAGACTTGTCGATTAGGAAATTGTCATCAGGCGTTACCAATGTCACACGCTTGTCGGGGTTAAATGTGGCCTGAATTGTTGCCCTCGAGAGACCCTCGTCGCTTCGTTTTCCAACACCCCCCCCCAGAATGCAAAACCCAGGGAAATGTAAAGAGCTTATTGATGTTTTAATTGGTCACGCTCTGTCTTAAGCGGGGTTGTATCAGGGGTAAGTTCGTTAAAAATGGCGAGCGCACTTCCGGCCCCTTTAAGCTCGTATTGCAATGGAACTACTTTCTTATTTAGAAGCCTGCTTTTAGGAGTTAATTTTCAGTAAGAGACTAAGGAACACAGAAGAATTTTTTCTCCTGAGTAGGGAGACGAATAGGTGATTTCCTAAGTAAGTTTCGACAGCTGCTGAAAGTGCGGAAGAAATATTTCTAAGGAAAGATTCAGATGCAAATGCGTAATTAAGCGAATAAAAGAAGCAAATATTTGAGTTTCGTAAGGCATGAGGTGGTTAATGGCTAATTAAATTATAAATTCCTTGATTTATTCTTATCACTTATAAGCTTCGTTATAATATTACAATCACTTACGCTGGAAATTATGAAATACAATTTCATGAAAATCAGTGGTTTTATGTCTACAGAGATTGTACCGAACTTAACAGGCATTTTGTGCGCAAATGCAAGTAATGCCTAGGTTTATCATTTTATGCTTCTATACCCTAAATTTACTATAGCATTTGATGAAGAGGCAGAAGCCATACTCTTAAAAAACTGTTTTGCGTTATAATTAAAAAAGAATCAATATTCAAATAGACGCTTTCTCAGGCTAATTCTGGAAAAAAAAAACCTGCTGATATATTTGGTAAATCAAAAACGGCTGTGCTAGAGTTCATCGATATAGATTACATATATTATGTATTTCTTAACTTTTCTGGCATTAAAAACATTGTTAAAAAGGTTTCTGGCTAATAGCTTCATGAAAAATCCTGAATCATTCAAATGAAAGAAAACCATTTCAGTTTGAAAGTAATTTGATTTCCTGATTTTGGTTGTGTTTAAAATGAATTTTATGAGCAAAGCAAATAATTGATTCCAGAGTTTCGAAGCTTTGAGACTAATGATCTTATTTTTCTTGATAGCTCAAACCTTTTTATCAATTTTTTGGCCTTTGGATATTCTTTTCAACTTCGCTCTATTTATCTCATTACAGTATTTCGTTATTAATCAAGACGGTTGGCGCTAGACAGACCTAACTTAAAATTTAACTGATTCACAGTAAATGAAATTCAAAACTTTGGATTGAGGATAATTCTGAAACACGATGATAAAGACTGGTCTAATAATTAATACATCTGAGGGTTTTAAATATACACAATACGATATTTAAAGCTTAAGTATACGTTACTCTGTCTCTTAAACACCTTTCCTATGCAATAAAAACAATTCGAACTATTTTATGAGTTACTACTGCCATTCTGAAGAGTGCAATTATCTTTTGAGTAAAACTTTTGCATTGTTTTTATTCCATAGCATCAAGTTCTGTTCTTAGTGATTAACTCAAGAGACAAAACATACTTATCTAAGGTTTTATTACTTGCGCATCAACTCACACTATCTGTCCTTACGCTTCAAACGGATAATACGATCATCGTTTTAGCTGTTCCCTTATATTATTATTATAGATTAACTAATTAATTACGAAAACATTTTCATTTTGATATAATATGTAAACTAGAATAAGGAGTAGTAAAACTAATTTTTTTTATGGAGCGTGTGCATTTAAAAAGGAGTACTTTGAGAAAATATCATTGTTAATACTGACAGTTATGAGCGCACATTATCGTATCTTGACTGATAAACATTTGCTATATTTAATAGAAAAATGAAGAAATTTAGTATAAAAAGTAGCAAAAATCCAATTTTAAAATATGATGACTAAGACAGGTAATATTGGTATAATAATGAAACCTTTATGTTGCTTTTTATGCTCAGTATCTTCATTTACTCTGAATGATCATATAATTGAAATTAATAGATTCTAGATGCATGAAATTGTAAATTAAAGCAATATTATGATACTTCAGAAAAATATTGGGTCAGTCCATAAATTCGTGCTCATTTTTTGGTAAATTTTTAAATAATATAAAAAAACACAATTTAACATTTTAATCAATATATATTTTCCTCCATTATCTACAATGTCTCGACATCTTACAGGCATCTTTTTTATGACATTGCTGTAGAAAGACGGTTTTGATGCAAAAAATTTGAAAGTTCATTTGTGTACATTCTGTTTAGAATTTAATTTTTTTCCAGAGTAAAAAATTTGTAAGGCACGAAATAAGGAAATCACTTGAGGCAATATCTGGGGAGTAAGCAGGATGTGGCAAAAGCTCCAATTAAATTCACTATATTTTTGAAGCGTTGTTCCTGCCGTGTGCGGTCAGCGTTAACACTTTCTTTGGATTTCAAATGTGGCGTTTTTTGATCCATTCTGAATTTAGACGGCAAAGTTGTTCACTATAAACTTCTGAATGAATCCTTCGATTTTGTTCTAACAGTTCAAAATGTCCTGAAACGGGGTTCATCATCAATGCTGCTTTTTCCAAATTTTTTAAACCATTTCTGGGCAGTCCTTACACTAATAGTGTGTTCACCATGTACACTATTAATTTTTATCGCTACAAACCTGGCAGATTCACCACACGAAAATAAAAACTGTAGCACAGCACATTTGTACCGATTATCTATATTCCTCTTCTATGGGTATTAAAATGCGTTCGATATTTACGAAAGTTGGTGATGAACTGAATAATATGTTAGTCAAACGATGACATGTTCCAACAGGTTCAAAATTGTATTGTTTTTGTAAATGCGTCATAGTGAATTCCACGCATACTCTTAAAGGACACGAACTTATGGACTGATCCGATATATCATACACCCCCCCCCAAAAAAAAAAAACAGAAATTTCATCTTTCTGAATTTGAGGACACTTTTAGTATTATGCAGAGCTGTAAAGATTTTGCCTTTAGAGCTCTGCATATAAAAAAAATCTCCACATAACACATCCGACAAAAACATTATCACAATATTTACAAAGTAATGAGATACCTTTACAGCTCTGCACATAAAAAAGATCTCCACCTAACACATCCGACAAATAGTTCCTATAGAAGGATATATATGCTGCACGGAATAATATGCACACTGCTTCTGTTTATACATTAGAACTGAATCAAGCATACAAAAATATGAAAACGTGTTATAATTTATATATTATAATATATGACATGCACAGTAGTGGACTTGTGATTAAAAACCCTTTACCATATTAAACAAAATATTCTTGTTCCTTATACTACGCTTAAAACCACCTAATTTTGAAAATGTTTAGCAAGTTTAAATATGTTAAATTTTCTTGAATTTGTAATTTCTTTCTTAATGCAGAATGGTAACATCCCTTTGATGCTTGCTGTGGAAGTAGGTAGCCACGGTATTTGCAGAGAATTGTTGATGGTTGATGCCAAAGAACAACTATCTATTAGAAGGCCCGACATTCGAGACACACCTCTCCACATCGCATCTAGGCGAAGAGATATAGATCTCATGAGACTTCTGATAGAAAAAGGATCAGCTGTTAATTTACAAAATGTAAGTTAGTTTTTGTTTTGTATACTATTCTTAATTAAGGGCACAACACCTTTTTGACAGGATGCCATTAGAGCTCAAAAATCGGTACTTGTGTTCTTTCTCAGCAGCTTTCTCAGCAGTGACATTAGTTTTTTACCTTTAGAAGAAAAACAGACACAGGCTGATTGTCTAAGATCTGCCGTACTTCTTAGAAAGATAACACCAACTAGCGTTGAATGGTGCAAATAGTATAAATAAGCTCAACCATTTCAATGATCATTCAGGAAATCCTTTATACATTTTTGTTAAATTATTATACCGTTCATTGTTGTTTTTAAATTATGCATGATTTACTGATACAAAATTAAATGAGTATATATGGGTTGTTCATAATTTTATGAAACATCTCAAAACTTCATAAAACTTGTATGACGCCAAATTTCACTTTACTGATAGTGAGGTAAATTTATTAAACCATTTGTATATGGTTTTCTTTTTCTTTAACTTTGGGTTTACAAACTAAGGATACTTCGATTACAGCGATGTTTCTGCCATTCATCATTAAATTTAGCTCTCTCCTTTCCAAATGCTACAATAACGTTTTAGGGCTTTCATTAAACTTTTCAATAAAATATTTTCTTTTATAAAAGATAACCCATTGGACCTCCGCCCATGGGTCATTTATAAAATTGCTTGTGAATGCAGTTTCGAATGGAGAATGAGTAAATCCGCAGGTGATTAAAATTCAGGAAGGAAGAACCCATTTTTAGATAAGTAAAACTAAAGGAAGAAAGAAAAATCTTAACTTACCTCCCATTGTTGGAACAAAAACCATCCTTTTTTATTTTCGAAAGTTAAAATCATTGTTTGCACAAATTCCCTTTCAATATGGATTTCCTAAAAGGTTCCAAAATCTTATTACACAATAATCTGATTTAGTTTATGCTCCATTTCTATTGAAGGAAAATGGAAATCGCACAAAAAAAACCTATTTCTATTTCCACCTTCCTTCATTAACCTCACATTCGAACTCGAATGAATATCACTTCTGTTGTGTTTATGGTAAAAGCACCTCTCTGACATTTTCAGACTTTTGAACTAACTTTTGTCTATTTAAATTCCGCTAAATTATTTTCTTTTTTTGAGAATTTAAGTATTCAAATGCTCAATGTGTCCATTTTTCTTGATATATGGTGGACATCTGTGTAATAAACCAATTCGCTCAGGACTCATACCTGTATATTACGATCGATCAGACTCATAGTACCGGTGATATGGGATATACGATGATACGGTGATGCGAATCCATATAGTATCATTCATATGAAAAAATTTTGGAAATCAATAAAATGAAGTAAAGGCACAAAGAAGAGGTGTAAAGACACAAAGAAAATATGACAAACCCTTACATGGAAAAGTTCAAAGTCATGTGCATCCTGTCCACGTTACTGGCAAATTTTGATTAACGTACATTCTTATATGGTAATTATCTTGACGGTAGATTTTACTCACACATATCTTTCCTATGTTTATGGATGTTTGAACTAAAATTCTTTCACAAATAATCTCTGAAGTAATGACGCTGACAACTGTTTAGTTGAAAGTAACATTCGCTACTGTTTTTTTCACATGAGGCATTAGCTATCTTTCCAATATATCGAAATAAATCCATTCAATGATGCGTAGATATCTGCCCTAATATAAAGAAGGACTCATTCAGCCTTTGTAAAACATGTAAAAACATTTAATTTTTTTTTCAGAGTAATAAAACTTGATATCGATTGCATAGTTTATTTATTATGAATTTTTCGAAGTTTCACGGATGTTATATACCAAGAAATAGTTTTATCTACATTCGCAAGAAGTAAACTGCTAAACACATGCATATTTGAAAGGGATACATGAAACCTAAAGGGCTGAGAATAATTGCATTAATTTATTTGCAACAACTGTTCGTGCTGCTTTTAACTTCTCCACTTATTTTTATTTTTTAATAGTACCAAGTTCCTTATTTTGCGCAAATGCAATTTAAAAAAAAGCAAAAGTATAAGCACAATATATTTCAATAAAATGGGTTATAATGTATAAATTATTAAACATGTTGCATTATTTAAACGCAATATATATTCTCATGTTATTAGGCATTATACACATAATATATTAAGTCATAGAAACTTACGCATCGTAGTACATAGTATTTCATTTGAACGTTCCTATTACATCTATTAAAGATGTAATGTAATATTGTATGTATATATAGATCTTTAATATTGTAAGATGTAATAGTGTATATAATATATTTATACATCTTTAATATTGTGTATATGTATATAAATTTAATAAATACAATATTATAATCTCATTAAAATAAAGCAAATTAAAATTTTAAATTATGCAAATTCAATTGCAAATAAAATAAATTGTTTAATTATTGCTGCGAACTAATTTGCAATATCATTAAATTCAAAAAAATATAAGTAAATGAAGTGCACGCATGTAAATACTAGAAAAACATAATGAAAGCCAAAAATTTTATCTTAAAAACATTTAAAATTTTTAAAATAAACTTTAATTTGAATAAAATGAATAATTGTTGAGCAGGCAGGAGACAGATCATTTCAAGGGGAAGGTATTGCCACAACCTAACTCTTCAATTACCCAATTACCCAATTCGTGTTTCGCCATCTATAGAGGCATGGGTAAAGAAATAGAAGAACCCAAAAAAAGTATGCTAAAAGGAGAAGTTTAATATTAAAAGAATTTTCGAGAAATATAGAAAATAAATCCACAATAGGAAAGGATTATAAATTATATATTAAAAGTACATAACCAAAGTAATTTAGAATTTAGAACCCCAAACCTATATAGGCACTTCCCCGACACGAATTATGCATGCAAACCAAAATAAACTAAAAAGCTAATTCTAAACATCATAAAAATTGCAAGAATAATAAATGGAATATTATACAAAAACTACATAAATTAAATACGATCTAAATAATACAAAAAAGCAAGTAAATAGTTTCGATTTATCTTACTAACTATTTACTTGCCTTTTCGTAATTTAATTGTGAAGAGGTTAATTGAAGAGTTAAGTTTGGAGGCAACTTCCCCTTAAAAAAATCTGTCTACTACCTGCTCAACAATTATTTACTTTATTCAAATTAAAACTTATTTTTAAAAATTTAAAGGTTTTTAAGATAAAATTTTTGGATTGTATTATGTTTCTCTAGTAGTTACATACTTGCACTTTATTTACTTATGCTTTCTGAATTTAATGATATTGCAAATTAGATCGCAGCAATAATTAATCAATTTATTTTGTTTGCAATTTAATTTGCATAATTCAAATTTTTAATTTGAATGAATGAGATTATAATTTGGTATAATTTGATGCTTGCTTGAAAGAAAGACTAAACACTCTCACTTAATTTAGTTGTTGTTAGTTGATGATAGATTGGTTTATTTCCCTTGTCGATTAATCTGCGATCAATGATAGATAGACTGCAGAGAGTGTTGTTTTTCATTTATCATGATATAAAAGACCTGGTGATATTACAAAGCTTCTGAATAAGCCTTCTATTCATTTATGATGCTAGAAATTTCAGGGCAAAAAACATGAATTTTAAAATCTAAAAATATATACAGTTTATTTGCTACGAATTACATGTATTACTGATATGTAAAGGATTTAAACTCATTTCATGGATTAATTTCAAACTAATCCTTTTATTTTCACGAAAATTATAATATATTATTAATATAATGATATAATGATAATGATAAATTTATTCTACTAAAAAATAAAAAATAAATGAAATACATTTTCATGATACACAGATAAATAAAACTGAAAACCTATTTTTCTTTCGAATACATTGATATCCGAATATCAGGAATACCACAAATTGTTTTTTAGTTCTTTAAAATTGTAAATGCTTTAATCATAAAATTTTCAGCTTTATAATTTCTAAAAAACTGCTGAGCAATATTATACTGAAAAAAGAGCAGAAAATGTTAGATTATTTTTAATATAATTCAGCGGCAATACAGCCCTTATGCAATAATTTCAGAAAAATTACTTACAATAAGTAAAAGTCATTAACTTTTATGAAAAGTGTTGTTGCTAACTTATCTCTAAGTATTAATATGATAAAATGGCAAAAACCTGAGTTTCAGTTAAAAATTATTTGCACAATAAATCAGATTTTAAAATAAAATTGCATTAGCTACGTTTCGTATTTCTTAAAACCCAAAAATTATAAAAATAACTTATAATAAAATGTTCTTAAAATTTCCTAACAGTATTGGAAAGATATTCTCATTTTTCAAGCCCGAAATGTTCGTATTTATAGCTTATATTTAGTTCCTTCGTATTTTTTCCTCTAGAGCGAAGGCATGACTCCTCTCCACATAGCAGCCATGGAAGGTGATGAGGGCATGCTAAAGGTGCTAAGTCAAGCAAATGCTAGAGCTAATATTCTGGACAGAAAGGACCGGGCACCTCTTCATATAGCGGCTGAAAGAGGGCATACAAACGCAGTCGAGATTCTTCTAGATAAATTTAAGGCTTCCATTTCACAGAGGACTAAAGTAAGTGAACAAATGTATACACATTTATACAAGAGGAGCTAACTCCAGACCGGCGACAAATGTTTAATATTAATTCAGGAATTCACTTTGTTATCACATTCTTATGCCTTTTCCTAATACCTTAAGGTGAAAGCTGATCAGTTGTATACTGTACTTAAATATAGTATCAATTTTCTATAGTTATAGTAATAATCAATTTCGTAAACATAATTCTGTAAAATAGCAAACAATAAAATAAACGCGGGATCTGGAATAAGAGCATTTAACGCTTACCTTTCTGCTACATAATAATAAATGCAAATAATTCTGCTGTATAACATGTGAACAATCATTTTGTTAAATACTACTGGTACGTTTATTTCTTGGGAGATGTGAGCTATTATTAAAATAAGAAAGCATAAATTTTGGGTCCGAGATTGTCTTTCCAGTGGCACATTACGCATGTCAGTATCACTCAGGAATTGAAATTTTTTTCATATATATGTAACAAAACGTAAAGCTCATTTTTCCAGAGAGAAAGGATCCAAAAGAATCGTTTAAGACATGACATTTTCTACTATCATAAAATATGACATAGCAGTAAATCTACAGAATTAGTACTATAGAAAAATTTCAATTAAAATATATTTTAGTAAAAACAATGCAAAAATTTATTATCTAAATCTAGAATCACCGGATTCCCGTACCTTAAGACATGAGAAATATTTGCCTTCTCTACTGCGTGTTCTCGAGGTGTAACTGGCAGTACTTCCAAATAGCAATCGAAAGATTTGGAGTTCGAATTCCGCTGAAGGCATAGATGATTTTTGGATGTAATCTATAAAAAATTTAATAGCTGTATTACTTTCTCTGAAGACATGATAAAAGACCTTTAATCTTTCTTAAATCAACAAAAAATCTCTAAAATCATACGCAGCATTTCTTAAAATCTAAAAGAGCAATAAAAGAGATAACAATATGATAAATACACAAATTATAGGAATAACATATGTACCGCAGAGTTTGACCTTCCAAAATTGCCAAGACAGTCGGCACATCGGATTTTTTACACCATAGAAAAATTTGCCTCTATTTTTACATGAAGGCATCTTCTCTTTTTACGTGATGCGAATGAAGATGGTGTGTTGAACCAACGGACATTCGGTAATGAGAAATAATATGGTATAGAAAAGATAGTAAAACGATCACTTGTAATCTTATTGCCAATTATTAATCTCCGATTAGAGTGCCTATAAATTCTCTGTTTGACTAGCCATGTCGAAGATTATTGCTCTCTGTCTGATATGGAGAGTTTGAAGTATGATTAACATGTTTAGCTGCCACGCTTGACACTTTTTTTGGCCATACAGCTCTTTGTTTTATAATTCGGTAATCGAAAAATCTTGCAAAAGCTGCCTGCTTTCATAATTAACTATTTATTTCTGCGATAACTGTACAAAACATATGGTGACCCAAACTTTCGCTTTCCATCTCTTTGCAAATGCAAAAGCCGTCTCTTTCACATTAACCAAAAAAATCGTACTAAATTAAATCTTTCGAAAAGACAAAGATTCTTAAAGTACACTTTCGTAGTGCAGGGAATAACTGCATTAGAAATGTTTAGAAACTAAGGCTTTGTCGTCAAAATGAATAATTTATTATTTAAAGGAAAATTACGATACTTCAGCAACCAACAATTTTAGAACTAGAGTAACCTTAATCATTAGACTAATTTCACAATTCAAATAGGAGAAACTGAATTTTTTAGTTACTTATGGCTGAAATATCATGATTTAATTTGATATTCAAGACACAAAAAAAACTCAAAAAGTGGTTATATCAGCTAAGACATTTCCATTTCTTAATGAACAACATCTTCAGATCAAAAAACGTTCAAGCAACTCTATATTTTTGTTTGTTTTATTAATGCATGTGATGTTTAATTAACTTACTTTTATAAGCCTCTTGCTGTACATTTGTGGTGTACGAACTCAAAATATAGATATAAAAAAACGTGTAATTTCGGGTGAAAATATTATAATTCCTTTCGTTCTGAAACACTCTTGAAATAATAACAAATATATTTAATAATAATAAGATAAAAATATGCATCCTCTGTTCATAGTTAGTGCATTTAGTTCTATTGTGAAAACCATTCACAGGCTCATGTCTCATAAAAATCGTTTCAGTCGATATCTTTGTTGCAATATCTGTCAGACAGAACAAAGATAAAATATTTCGTTATGTATCTTTCTTATCTGTAAATAATTCTTTTCTTTTTGAATACAGGACGGGAGTACGTTAATGCATATCGCTTCAGCTGCCGGCTATCCAGACATTGCTATGATCTTCATGAAAAGAGGAGTTCCTATTCATACCTCAAATAAGGTAATCGCAGCAGTTCTTTCATTTTGTGTATCGTTAAATATATTAAATAAACATTTGATGAATTTAATGCCAATATAATATCCTAGATTACGATTTTTTATGTGCTAAATGTAACTTACTTTAATGGTAACGAATGTGTTCAAAAAATAATTCTTAGATTTATAGTACCTCAAACGTTATGTAATTTTCATTTCAATATTTCTACTAACTCCTTTAATAACGAAGGCTCAAATTAAAATTTCGCAACCTGTTTTTAAGTCGCTAAAAAACTGATATCTATCAAAACCAAGTTTTCTTTCAGTGCTTCAATATGTCAACAAAACTAAAAATGAATATTTTAAAATAATTAAATTGGTAAATTAACCACATAGTAGCGTGTCTCTAGACATTTGAGCCTGAATACATAAAAAATCGTAATTTCAAACCGCAATATAGAAGAACATAGAAAAATAAAAATAAAAATGGTCATAAAAATCGAAAGATAATGAGAAAAAAATATGCTCACTAAGTTAATGTTGCAACCAATTAATAACTAAATACTGCTGAACACAAAATTGAACTTTCGCGCATATACTAGAACCGGAAATATGCAAATTCAGTGATTGACGACGTGGTGCGAAATGGAGGAATGTTAGAATTTCGGTGTGTAGTATTGCTTAAAGGAAATGTGTTTTTTGAGAATGATCAGTATTCAGTAGTTATGATCAAAGGCATCATTTAAGTAAAAGTCAAAAGCGATGAATAAATGGCAGAATCGAGGGAGGTCCAAACACAAATGGAGGTCGCCCAAGATCTGAACATCCCCAAAGTGTATTTGAGTTTAACCGTAATGCAATCTAAATCTAAAGGGCGATTTAGGACATCAACAAACCAGATTTTGTAAATTTATATAAATTTCTCTCGTTTATTCCTTTTTATAAACGCTATAGAATATATTGAAATTAATGAAATTAGAAGTGATTCGAATACATTAATGAAATTACTTGTAACAATTATGCAAATGTAAAGCAATTTACACAACTGCAATTTTTCATTGAAAAGTAGTTTATACAAAATTGCTTTTCATTCAAATATTTAATTACAGTGGCAACTATAAATGTTAAGATAATTTCGTAAGTAAGGATTAAGTTGTAGTTAAGGAATTTGAAATCGTCCTAAAACTTCCTTGTGTAAGGTCTTTAAACAGGCGCAGATACAATGACACTTTAAATGTTTTTTAGCAGATTTAGATAAATAATACTTGTCTCATTAAATTCGAGATAATACTTGTCTAATGTGCATGCAGTTTACACAGTGCATGGTCTGTTATAAAAGCACAAAGAGCTTGGATGCAATTGCTTAAAATTACCAATTTCCAAAAATAGACGAAGATCAATAAATACAACTATGTTTACAACAATTTCTTACTTTAAAGTGCATATGAATATTTTACTCTTATAAATTTTTATATCTTAAAAACGTTGTTATTATTTTCAGTCTGGGGCCAAATGTCTTCATATTGCAGCAGCCGCTGGCCATGTGGAAGTAGTTAGATCTTTATTGAACAAAGGTGAAAGTGTGGACATCAAAACAAACGTAAATATAGCGTCTGTTCTCATATCATTTACTTTGACATTTTTTTACAAAGATATACATTGTTAAGGATTCATTAACTTCTTTTTCTCTGAAAAGTAAGAGTACTTCTTTTTCTCTGAAAAGTAAATTTCAGATTTATGTTCTCTTTTCGTGTGAAAGAAATGTATAAAAATAGCTAATTCTAAAGGACAATTTTAGAATTAATTTTACATCAATAGCTGAATTTTAAATAGGAGCTAAACAGTAAAGGAGTTATTATAATAATATTTATATTAAAGTGATAAAACTGGTATTAATTTTTAGTTAAGTATCTAAATTAAATTTTGAATTAAAACTTTTGCATGATAACTAGTAATATTAAAATTCTTGCTTAAATTACAATTCCTATGTATCATTTTATTTTCACTATTAATTTTTATTAGAAATCTAATTTTAAAAATATAATTATGCGGGCTAAATAAATGTATATGAAAGGGATTAAGTTGGGAATACAATGCATAAATTTTTAAATAATTAGTTATTGCTTTCATTTCTACAGTATCTCGCAAACTTCTGAAGATTTTAGTCAATTAATGAACTTCTGCCGCAATATTGCCTTATAATAGAACGTTTGTAAGATTATGCATTTTGTAAGATTACTTTCTTAGTATATGTCAGCTCTTTTTTACATATAACTTTTTACCGTTTTTAATATCACACTAGTGAGCTGCAGCCAAAGTAAAATTTATACGTTCTATGTAGCCTTGAAAAGAAAATGTATGAAAACACTTCAATATGAATGAAATCAGTTCATTCTTCCCAAGTAACAACTAATTCGTAAATAATATTTTGTTTGAGAAAAACGAAAACTTTTGACACTTCAGTTTAATACGTATGACGCCATGATTTAAATTTAATGTGATATAACAAAGTTTTCTCATTATCAGTAAAAGAATGAATGTGCCAGTAACATATAGTGTCAATTACACTAACCTGAAAAAAAAAAAAGCTCCCAAAAGCAACTACTTATTTAAAATGCTGACATTAACAAAAGCTTTTCGACATGCAACGACGTTACATAAAACCGTATGCTTTCTTCAACGTCAGAACATGACGTTATATAATCTCTACATATAAATAAAAGAAAGAGTCTGTCTGTGTTTGTGTGTGTCTTTCGTCCGCGCTGCGCGTAAGCTAATAGACCCACGACTACGAAATTTGGTACATAAGTGCATCTACACAAGAGCCAGTGCACCTCGAAGCGATTTTTTCGAAATTCGAATTCGAATTTTTTTTATTTTCTGTTTTGTGACGAAATCGCCTCATTTTGAGACATAATGGGCTATAGGAAAGCGAAATTTTGCTCTACACACTCTCTTTTCACATCGTCATGAAACGTAGGCACTTAGCTATTTTACGAACTTAAAATAAATTTCGTGTTCCAATAAATCGATTAAATATGAATTTATTTAACAAAGGGAGCTTAACACCTTTCAACGGGATTTTTTCTAAAAAAGTTTATTTTTAAAAATGTACAGTTTATTTTTCTTTGATTTTTGGACACGTTAAACTTTCATCCTTGCGACTGCTTTTACAAAAAGAATTTTAGAAAAATAATAATATTTTGTATTTTTAAATAATTTTTTAATGAAGCTTCTGAGTATACTTCTCACATCTCACATCTCATCTTTAAAAATGTGATTTTGGCAATAGTCTTATTGTTGTTGATAGATTTTGATGAAATCGCATCATTTTGAATAGTTTCATTCTTTTAGAAATATGGGTTTGGCAACAATTTTTCATCGTATTTCTTATGTCACTCTTTTTAAGAGATTGGCATATTTCATTGTCATTTATATATAATGCATTTTTATTGATTTTTTTTGATAAAGTTGTTCTGCAGAGTAAAATTCTGCGCGGCATTTTATGTTTTTTTAATTGCTTTCATGTTATTTTTTGCTTATTTCACTGTTTGTAAGATATTGAAAAGTTTTGCATGATTTTTTTTTCTTCAACGGAAAGTTGGTTAATTTTTTTATTAGGATAATTAATATTTGTATTAAAAGATATAGCTTATTTCATTGTAATTTTTTTCTCTTGAAAATATAAGATAAAATATCATTAATTATACTTTGCTTTTCAGAAGTTTTTGTTTTTCTTATTCTTTTATGTTATTTATTGCTCATTTCACTGTTTTTAAGATATTGAAAAGTTTTGAGTGATTTTTTAAGGAAACAAAGTTCTTAACAACATTTATACCATTTGAGTTCTTAAGATTTTGCAAAGGGAAGTTGGTCAATTTATTTATTATTATAATTAATATTTGTATTAAGGGATATTGCTTATTTCATTGTAATTTTGTTACGTAATTGCTTTTTTTATGAAGTTGTTCTGCAGAGTAAAATTCTGCGGAGTTTTTAAATTTAACGTTTGGTGTTTCCTTCAGCCATTTTTCCGGTACATTTAAAAACCAGACGAAGGCTGGCAGCGAAGCTGCTAGTAATAATATATTTAATGTTTGGCAATGCTATTTTTATTTCATATTTTGTAAAACTTACAAATTTTTTATTAGCAAACTCTGCGATTTGAAAGCGAGCAGTGGCAACAGTATTCAAAATAAAGCAAATTTTTATCTCCAGCGTACGAGACTTGCCAGTCGAAAAAAAGATGGCAAAAATTAGCATTTTCAGAGTTTTTAATTAATATCTCGGTCGATTAAAGTCATACGAAGATGGGAATGGTCGAAATGGCTTCCCACGAATTTTTAAAATCCAGGCATACCTTTCTTGAAACTCAACTCCCCGCCGTTCTGGAGGAGACAAATGTCACAAACAAACAAAGAGACAGACGCGCTCAGATTTTAATAATCTTTAAGTGGATATGAAAGATTTGTAAATACGTAGTATAATCATGTCTAAAGTCTGCATAATTATATTTTTCACAAATAGGTTTCAAATATATAATTTGTCTTTACAGAAACGATTAATTATCTTTATTTCAAGATAAAATACGCTTTATAGTTTCATTGGAAATGTGAAGACACTAAGGTACGAGTTATTCTGCAGCTAAACAAATGCGCTATTGAGTTCATGTCGACATACTAACCAAACCAGCAAAGTCTAACAACTACTTTATAAACCAGTATATTATTTGCTTATGATAAATCCCAAAGATATACAGTTATTTTGTTCCACATATTACTTATAAATTCTAAAGCCTGTTTAGTGAAAAGGCAGTTTTAAAAATCAATTATCCTTTGTGCTTCTTTAGGATGGACAAACGGCTCTTCACATAGCTGTGCAAGCATGCCAGCCAAGAGTAGTTGAAACCTTATTGGGCTATGGAGCGCAGATACGCCTCAAAGCTGGAAAAGTAAGTCACGAAATGTCAATTATTAGGCAGAATCACACCCATAACAATTATGTGAAATGCTAATACATGTCCTTCAACCGGGATTCTGTTGGTTTTCGTCATATTAGTGTTTTAGCTTGCCAAATTTTGTTTTCATTTTGTGATAAGCACTTTTTCCTGATTACATAACTTTGTTTTTTAAAGTTCATTGTTCCATATTTTAAATGTTAATATCGTTGGCACGTAATGTAAATCAAATATGATTCGCATTTTTATTAAGGCAATATATTATAAGATTAGATTTCATTGTCAGGTATTTTGTTGTACATGTGTTTTGAAATTTTGTTTTTGCAATAAACTATAACTTGACATAAATTTGTGCTGTACCTGCTTATGAGCGCTATTTTATTAAAAAAACTGTTTTATTTTGAAAACCCTACGCTACCATATAAATAAATATAAATAAAACAAGGGGATAAATTGTAATAAATTCATATTCTTGTGTCTATTTTGGATTGGTTATTCAAAATGGTTGGCTAGATTTGAGTGAATTTTTTTTAATTTACAAACGCAGAGTGATCATGTAAATGAAAGGAAAACGCACCAAATTTCGTTTACAAATGTTCTACGGCTTTATTTAGCAATACGATTAGTATTCAAACGACAAGGCACATTCGGTCCATACTTTATTTTATTCATCTCTTCGCAGCAGGATTAATATGATTTTTTAAATCATGCTGGTTCAAGTTCACACAAGTGTAACATCGTTTCCGAATATCCGCAAAGAAAAATATACAATTATTGTATATTTTAATATATTATTGTATATTGGTGTGCGATCTGGTGTCCTACAAAATAACTTACATTAAGATATCATATTTTACAAAGACTTGTCCGTTGAGGAATTTGCGACATTCTACAACATTTTATGATGTTCATAAACGGAATATTTTCTTTATTGTTTGAAACATATCAAATTAATGCACTTTTAATAGTGAAGCGTTTGCAGAAATTTTACTATTTTAGTCGCACATTTTATTTTTCAAACTTACAAAAACTAAGACATTTCCAGTGCGAGGATTTTCAATGCATCCTACATACGAGGATCTTTTCAGCGCAAGGAATTTACATTGCTCACCGGATATTTATTTGGTAACGTAGCAATGCAAAGATTACAGATGGAACAGATGGAACTATGTTCAACTGAAATAAGATCAGTTAAGTTTTAGTAATCCTGCATTCTACTTCATAAGAAAAGAGTATTTTCTTAATTTTTTATGATAAACTTTTGTTTCTCATCTACTTCACTGATAAGATATAATATATATTGCCATATAACTGTACAAATATGTTTTATATTGACTTATTTTCATATTATCGTAAAACACATTTTTTTCTCGTAAAATGAATAATGTTACTATCTGAATTATCTCTTCTATCCAAAAGTCGGGAGAGACTCCGCTGCACATCGCTGCTAGGACAACAGGAGGCGAGAAATGTGCAGAGCTTCTACTCAAGAGTGGAGCTGAAGTAAATGCGACGCAAGAGGTGAGTGAAATTTAAAAAATAGGTAAAAGCTCTGAATACGCTACATGAAAAACAGTTGCTATAGCGGAGATTATTGATGTCATAAATGGGCGAGATTAAGCTTATAAAATTATTATATAGTATTTTAGACATAAACATACAAGCTTGCTGTATTAAATTAGTTAAAACGTAATTATAACCTTTTTCTAGAAAAAAGGTTACCAATATTACGTCATAAAAAGGCGTGTTCAAGCCTAAACAACTTCTCGATTTGTCTAGCCTCTTCTAGGATTTAGCGAAAAAATATAGCAGAATTTTAGCTTCTGTTTTTTACCTCTAAGTAAATAGATTTCACATAGCTTTGCCTTAAAAATCTATTCTATATTTGAATATATTCATTTGCTGATCCTGTTGCTCTTTAGTTATAACACTATAATGCAGGGCTATGAAAGTGTAATTTAACACAATACACGTATAATCCTTTAGACATCCGATTGATTCAATAAATGATTTTTGTTTCTGCCAAAGCTGAAGATTAAAAATATCATTCAGTTTCGTAAGAAGCAATTGTGTGTATATTAAAGATATATGGTTAGGTTTCAATTCCATAACTTCCTGGAAAATTTTAAAAATTAAAACATTTCCATTTACTTCTTTTCTTTCATTAACTAAAAATAATTCTTTTACACTCTTTTAACTGAGAAAAATTGATTCGTTTCCGGCCTTATTTTATCCTAATAAAACACTTAGCTTACATTCTCCTATTCCAATAAATCTGGACTAATGGTCGTACTCATATTCCAATAAATAATGGGATTGCCTTACATTTACGAAAATAACATTGTTTTTAATACATTTACATTTTTAATACATTTTACATTAAATTAATTTTTGGATTTCCTTCTTAAAATTTTTATTCCCATTTATATTATATGTTAATATTATTCATATTTACATTATATATATATATAGATCATACAAAGTTTATATTTTCAAGCAGTATATTGTTTGTCTAGCATAATTTAAACAGCGCGTTTTTACAATTCTTCATTTCATTTGGATTCTTAAAAATATTCCTTTTCAAAACCTGTTTAGAATTTACATGGCAATAAAGGGACTAATTTAAGTCAAATATTTCTAATTAATATATGAAATTGCTTTTTGTTCTGATTCGCCAATTAAACTCATTCGCACAATTTTTTCGCTCATATTCAAATGCATTTTAATTGTAGGTTTCTCAAAGCAAACGTTGTCTCTGCTTCTTTTGTCCACGAAGTTATAACAATATTTCCTCTAGTTTTAGTGAAAAATATGAGACTACCCACTCTAAAGCCAAATGGAATAAACGATAAGTAAAGGTATCAGTTTGTCCGACACTATTTTGAGCTTGAAACTTTTAGAAACTACACTGAGTGTTTTTTAATTAGTAGTTCTTCATGTTCTTGCTGAAAATATCCAAACTTTTCATTGAATGTGTTCTTAAGAAATTAACTTCTGTTTTTCGAAGATTTATTTACCGAAAGTATCTTTGATGGCAACTGTACAATCGGCTCTTTTGTCCAATGGTTAAAATGTACCCAAACGTATTCTGCAGTTTTAATTTAAATCGGTATTTTCCTACTTTTAGATTCTTTCAATCGGGAATTCATTCTCAAACCTAAAATTGCGACGACTTTATACATATACAGATAGTTGACGGAGAGGTTAGTGTTAGTTTCTTTAATGCTTTCTTTTACTAATACATAAGAGATTTGCTAACTCGTAAAAGTCTGGGCTTACATTATGGACGTATCTGCTTTCTGATACTTTTCTAATCTCAACTGTCGATTACATGAGGGATATCTATGTGTAGTGTAATCTGAATCAATTTCTCAGAAAAGAAGCAAAAATTAAAAGGAATGAACTTAAATATCATTTAGAAAACTGCAAATGCCAAATTGTAGAATTTTCTGAACTGTTTCTAATTGATTGCATATTCATGAAGCAAATATATTTTACTTTGAAGAAATACTTCAATTCAACTTATATTTTCCCTTTTTTCGCCGAGAGAATTTTAAAGCAATTTTTAATCATTTTTAATGTACAGAAAACTTTTATTTTTTCACAAATATCAGTTTTTCCCTTAGAAATAAAGAATTACTTACACATTTTTAGATAATACAGATTTATATACTTTTTAATATTATTTACGTACAAAAAATATAGAAATATTTAGCATTCTAAAATAATTTTTATAAAAGTTAACTTTGCTTAACAATAAATTTATTACTAGGATGGAGAAACTCCACTGCATTTCGCTGCAAGACATGGGCATCTGAACACTGTCGCTCTGCTATTGCAGGACAAAGCAGATGTACAACAAAAATCAAAGGTACGTTTACTTATTCCTTCTATGACACATCCAACATTCATTTAATTTCATTTGTATAAATTTACCAAGTAAATTCGCTAATAATTAAATAATTAAGCCGTGAATTTAATCCTATAAATGATAGTAAAATGCATCATGAATTTCACTAATTAAACTTTACGCTGATTAAAGCTATCAGTAGGATTCTTGTCAAATATTTATTTATAATATTATATTTGTAGTATATGATGACAGTTAAAAGGACCAGTATTAAGTTCGCATCTTTTTCGTCAAATCCAACCTCAGACATAAGTTAAGTGCTTCAGAAAGACGAAAGGTTTCGTTTTACGAATTTTGTTAAGTGAAATTCTAATCTGAAGTTTGTCTCATTATTTATTACCACTTTTATGTCTTGCTTATGAACCTGAAGTAATAGTATCAAGCAATCTTTATACCTTAAACACAAAGGAATGCAAACCTACATTTTGGAAATTTGTGAAAATTTTCTCCATTTCTCACATTCTACTGAATCCAGCGCAAAGCACATTTTGGAAAAAATTAACTATTAAGCATGAAAAATTCTGTAATACAAGAAAATGTTTTAGTAGTCACAAACATAACTTTGATGTAGCATTTTTACCATACATACTAATGAAAAAAAAATCACCAAATAATAAAATACCTATTAGAAATATCTCGAAATTTCAATAGATTATTAGTTATAAGATATTTTGTGAAAGAATCATAAACTACGTTGTCAAAAACTTACTAATATAGACATGAAATTCAAATTACACTTGTATTATAGAATTAGAATTATAGAATTAGAATTTTAAACAATTTCGAGTTAAATTGATAGTATTTTATAGAACTATAATTGTAAACAATTTCTAATTAAATTGACAGCATTGTTATAGAGTTTGAATGCTAAACAATTTCTTTAAGATATTTGTAGTTCTGAAAGTAAGGAAGAAATATACGGTATGCGGTCATATTCAGATGCCTTTTGATATCTTTCCTCAGTTGTTATTAATATGCAGATCTGTTATTATTATACTAGCGGTCTAAATACAATACTACAGTGTCTCAAAAAAGTGATGGGACACTTGTGCCTTTACAAAAGGAAACTGCAATAAAAATAAAATAAATTTAAAAAACATGTAAATTTTTTTGTGGGTGTACGGTTTTTAGGTAAATAAAATGTTTAAATTTACACTTAATTTTTCTCACTAATTTAGTCACAATTTTTAATTTTTTATAAATTTTTTCATAAATATTAAAATAAATTGTTTTTTTTTTTGATTGACATACATTTTGTTGGTATCCTTAAAATATATTTTTTTCAAATATTTATCCAAAATTTTACTTTTAAAAACATTGTTGTATTTCCTTTTACTTTTTAACTTGGTTTGCTTGGATTTTCTTGGATAAATTGATTCGACTATTTCTTTTTTTTTTTGTGATTTCTGGAGAGAGTGATTTACCCCATTCTTCTTGAAAAGCACCGATTTTAATTTTGTTTTGATAAATGGTGTGTTTGTTTGCGAAATCTTGCTTGATTCCAATTCTTGCCAAAATATTCTCTATGGGATTTAATGTGGAGATTGGAGGTGTGTTTTATTATTTTCTTCAGACAGTTATACAGCAGCCAGAGTCTAACGTTCAGAGCACTGTGCTTGGGGGTCATTGTCAAAGTATATTTTGAAGATTTCAATTTTTATTTAAAATGTCAATATAACTTGTACTGATCCATTATACTGTCAATAAAAACAAGATTACAACTCCAGCGGACGACATACACCCCACCATCCCATACCATAACTCCTCCTCACCATGTTTTTTACTGTTGGCACCAAGTTCTGTTTGCGAAATTCTTCCCTGGTTTTTCTCCACACCAAGATTCTAACCGTCAGAACCAAATATATTAAATTTACTCTCATCAGAAATATAAAACTTCATTCAGTAATAGTAATCAGAAAATTCTTATTATATTGGATTTTGGATTTTGCGAAAGCCTGTCGGAGTTTTCTATTCTTTTCACTTACGAAGAATTTTTTCCTGGCTGCTTTTACCGTGATATCCAGTAGATCGAATTACTCTTCTAATAGCCTCAGAATTAACAATTACTCAATATAAATGCTTTTTTAAATCAGCTGCAACTTTAGGAGGAGCACTCATTCTTGGATTTTTTTATTTTTTTTAAATATTTCGAACGATAATTCGCTTTATTCCATTGGATAGCTTTGATGGTCGGCCATGCATTTCTTTTATCCTGAATCATATGATTCTTTTTATATCGTTTAATGATATTGAAAACTGTTGAATGACTGAAGTTAACTGTTTCAGTAGTTTCTCTATAGATTTTCCACGTTCAATATGCAAAAAATTATAACTAATTTTCGAATTCCAGGCAAAGTTTCTTTTCGTTTTTTTTAACATTCATGGCTGCACAGAGCTAAAAAACAAAAACAAAAAATTCCAAACAAACTGGAGAGAAATACTTCAGACGATTTTATAAATTATTGGCAATTGCTTTTGAGTAAAAATAAATACCCCAAAAGATATTTTATTGCTTTACTTCAGACGATTTTGTTGCATAGTACGTAGTGTCCATCACTTAAGTGAGCCATTTTCTGCTGTCCGTTCTAAACAATTTTATTTTTTATTTTTATTTTATTAAATTAAATTTTATTTAATTTTTATATTTTGAGAAAATTTTTATGTTATGTAATAATGTTACTAAATTTAAGTATGAACACACCCACCAAAAAGTTTACATGTTTTTTATTTAAAAATTATTTTATTTTTTTAAAAATTTATTGTTTACTGGCAGTTTCCTTTTGTTAAAGTAAAGCACAAGTGTCCCATCACTTTTTTGAGACACTGTAGTAAAACTTTTTGTTAAACTCTTTTGTATTAGATTCAGCTCCGTCGATAAATACACACATAAACACATTATGGAATAAATATACTCACTCTCTTTTAAATTTACTTTGTATATTTTACTATGGCGACACTCAGGCGCTACTCTCAAAAACGTATGCAGCTTCTCAATTACATTACAGAAAAAAGAACTCACAAAAATTGTATTACGTGATACGTTATTAAATCATTGCCGTATATTCGATGCAAATACAATAATAAAACTAAAACGATGTGCAACAGAAATTAAACAAATCAAAAACAGTTTTCACAGACGATTCAAAGAAGCTTGCAATTAACGCGCATGCGCCGCTCCTAAACGTTCTCTGACCGAGATAGACTAAAAACAGTATTTTTCTGCTACATTTTGTAGCAGCTTTCATGAACATTATTCTTATTATGCATTGTTCATCAGCATTGTAATACGAAATGTTCACATTAATTGCTTTGTATAAAATGTATATTAAAACAGAATTATTCCATAAAAAATAATCAATGCAACGGTTGATGTATCTTTTAATTTATATAAATAAAATATATAAAAGGTACTGTGTACATTTTAGAGTGGGGAAACTCCTCTTCATGTAGCTGCCCGGAACTGTCATTATGCTGTAGCGAGAAGCCTACTTGATCATTGGCGAAAGCTCCATCCTGAAGATTCGGGAGCAACCCTCGTTAACGCGCAGAATGAGGTATGATAAACTAAACATATATTATTTATTTAGTGAAAGGCATTATGTGCATAGAAAAAAATCATTTTGAAGCAGCTTAGAAAATATGCATAGTTCGTCTCTTCAATTAATAATTTTTGGTTAAAATATGAATGATTTCCATTCATATGAATGAAAGTTTATGTGTCCAAGTAACAGCAGACTATATTTCTATTTAGATAAGTTTTTATTGAGAGTATTATGTTGTTATGTTAAACTCAGCAGCATATTAATATAAAATTTCTTTGCCTAGTTGGGAGAAACCGTTCTTCATTATGCCAGTCTCGTGTCCAAAAGCCAAGCACATCATCCCACAGAAGACAGAGACCTGGTAAAACTCCTTCTGCAGTATGGCGGTGAAGTGAACGTACCAAATAAAGAAGTAAGACTGCATTAATTAAAGTTTAAAAAACGCCATTCAAAAGTTTTTTAAAAAAAGCCTAAAAGTTAATTTTTTTTTTTTTTTAATCTGAAAGGTTTCAGATTTTCAATTACGTTCAAGGGGGCTTTTTTAACGTTTTGTGTGTTACCTTTATTTATTAAATATAATGTTCTGTGTACTCAAGCTATAAAATTCAGTTCAACAGCAATATCGCAAATTAATTTTAAAATGAGCATATCTTTAGAATTTCCGATACAGAGTCTCGCGCGCTGAAGATAAAAATGTTTTTTTTTTTTTTCGTACAGTGCTGCCATTGCTCTCTTTGAAATCGTTTAGTTTTTTGTTTTTTTTTTACATTTGACATTCTCAGTATAATAGTGAATTAATTTAGTTGGAGCACCTATTTCAGTATCTTTTTACCCACTGAGAGCAAAGTTTACTTTCAGTTTTGTGCACCAAAAATTTTATCTTCCTGCCCGTTACGCGAATTGCTTATTTTTGAGTACAAACACTAATTATAATTTTAAAAAAATTAACTGTTTTAACTGTATTTGGTGCTTTAGGTTTTACTGTATTTTGCAATTTTTAATGAAGATATTTTTACTTTTTCATATTTTTGTCTTGTCATGAAGGGAGAATTGAATTGATGGAATTAGAAATATATCTCAAAGGAAATAAGCTTAAATGAAATGCAGAAAATGCGTATAATTTAATAGGCCGTACGAGGAAGTCATGTGGTATCCACTCAGATATATTTTTTATATTATATTTCCTCTCATTTGAAAAAACTTGTGTAAATACAATCATGAACGGGAAATTTTCTATAGGTGCTTATACTTTCAGTCCTATTTCAAAACAATGAAAGATTCATAAAAATTAGACGAATTTAGGAATTTCCATAAAAAGTGCTTTTAAAAGAAATTAATACTGTTATTATATTCTATTCAATGAAATATAAATTTACTTTTGTAAATATTTTTCATTTATACATTACACAGAGCTATTCGACAGAATACTGTATAAAAGTACGTTAATATAGTAGACATGAAATATCATTTTCAAAAATAATTTGTAAACCAATATAAATTTGAACACTTTCCAAGATCTATTTCATTGTGAATTATTTCTGCGAAGGAGATGACATTTCATAGGTGAAAAAAATATTACACGATACTACCAATATTACACGATTACCAATATTACACGATGCGACGTGCTTTTCACAAATAAGTATATCGTGAATAAGCCCATTTGTGCATTACAGTTGTACGTACAAATGAGCAGAAACAGAAAGATAATACAGAAATAAAATACAGAAAAATATAATACAGGAAATCTCTGAATTTGGATTGGATTCAGGAGACTACAGCGAAGCACAGAGCTATTTGCCTTAAGAAAAGAATGGCTTTGTAGAGATCATCCTAAAAGAAACAGGCTTGTAATCACGTTACTCACAAAAACACCACAAAAGCACCGTGTAACCCTGTCCGTAACCTAGGATTTGATCTTGAGTCTGCCCTTCCAGAGGTATTTTTCGTTAATCACCGGTGAGCTCAAGTCATATTTGACAGTCTCCATTTTTCAAAGCCTTATCATTAAACACATACCTTGCATTTGGAAATTCTCCTCTTCTGAATTTTCAGTTGTCTGTAGCTATGAGAATCATTGAAATAATATCTTGTAGAAAAGTTAATCAGACTGTCAAATTTCATTAAAATCGACTTCCAAAACAAATTTCTAAATCTGCGTAAAATTTAACTGAACCTTCTTCTCAATTCATCAAGGTCTTAAAAGATTTAATAGATAATTATGGCGAAATCAGGACTGTTTCAGAAATTTATTTTTCCTTAAAATAAATTTACAAAATTGCAGACTATGGCAAAAGGAGGCGAAGCAGAGATTTTTAGATTGGTGATTTTTAGATTCATTTCTAGACATCAACTTTGGTATTCATGTGTGGTGAAATTATTACCTATTAAAAGCAATCATACATTTTTTAACATTTAGTACACTTTTCAGTATCGAAAGTAAAAATATAACAGATAGCAGTTAATCCTGATTTCGTCTTTTTTAATATTTACAAAGAAATAATGATGAAAATTACTAACAAGTAACTTGTATTTCTCCCTAAAATATTGTAAGCTCTGCATTCAACTGTTAGTGTGTGCATTAATGCATTAACCTTTAGTATAACTTTCATAGATTTTGTGTCAACTGTTTAAATATTGAAAAAATTAAGTGTAAGTAACAAAGGAAATGTTTCATCTCTATTTTGGTTTTCTCATCGATTAATTAATAGTCTAAGGCAACAATAAATGAGAACAACAAAATGATTTCAATATATTCGGTTCATCTAAATTGAAAAATAAATGTAAAATGTAATTCAGGTTAACCATATCGTCGAAAGAAGTTAAAAACAAAAATCTGTGATTGTGGAGAAAGGATTTCATTTAAAACCCCCTGGAATAAGCTGAAGTTTGAGAAAAACCAATTAATTCTCACGTGATAATTCATCGAGAGGTACCTATGTGCTTCTAAATGAAAAACCTTAAAAAATAAATAAAAATAACAATAAATTACGAATTTGTGATTTCAACATGATGCCCACGATTATAAGCTGAAAACGCAGTAATGCCTATTAGTTATTAATTGTTGATACACTGCCTCATATCTGTGCAACTGAATATTCAGTTTATAAAATTATTTATTAATCATAATATAATACCCAAAATGTTTTTCTATTTTCAGTACCGTATGACTTGTATTCATTACTGCAGCAAAGAGGGTAATGCTGATATCTTACATGAGATTTTGAATCAACTTGACCCAAATATGCTACAAGCAGCTTGCAATCGAATTGCAATGGTAAGTCTTAATTGCCTTAAATGTTTCCTAAACTAACGCAACACTTAGCTATACGGCATTTTGTGTAATCAATAATAGTAAATTATTCGTAGAAAACAATAAAATACGTTATAAGAAAAATGGAACTATATCTATATTCTATATATTTATCGAATTATACATAAATAATTTATAAAGTATATTTTAGGCTTCATCGTTTTTCAAGTACTACTCAATAAGGAATAAAGCAGTTGTTATATTCAGCTATATAATTTATATGCAGCAGAACTCCAAATATCCGAATTAATTGGGACGGGACTCCATTCGGATAATCAAAAATTCGGATAATTGGATTTTTTCCGAAGAAAGGATCTACGTATACTTCTACTACTATATTTTAAACATACAGTAATTAATTACTGAATGTTTAAAATGAGAAAAAAAACTATTTCTTAAAAAAAGTGGTTTTAATTAATTAAAATGATCAAGTATTATTAAGGCAACACTTTTACGTACATGTTATATAGAGTACTGTGCAGTACTTACAAGTACTGAAAGTGATTGCTTGCTGAACATCTCGGTCAAAGCAAGCTGTTTCACTGTCTTCCTCCGTTTTCAGGCAGCCAAGTTGCGCACCCTCTTATCAGTGAGAAGTTGCATGTGGCCACACTCTTAGCATTTTTAGTCTTAATTTTTTTCTTAAATTCTGAAAGCAATTCGGATAGTCATAGTTCGGATAATTGGACTTGTACCGTGCTATACTACACAAGTTATGCGGATAAAGGAGCGTCCAGATATTTGTTTTCCAATAAACTCGAACAGAAAAACAGTATTTGGCAACTGGTCCAACAAAAATGGTTTAAGTTAAACATATCATCCGGCGCTTTCCTGCTCTGTCCTATATAGTAAGGCATTGGACCAATAAAATTTCGACAGGAAAAACCTATGATCATGATAGTTCTAGTCAAAGAAAGTTCAAAACCTGCTGAAATTCATCATAATTATCGTATCTGAAAAACAGATTGCAATGCATACATCAGTTCTTGAATACTGTGAATGAAGATCTTTCGTGAAGATCTTCAGTCCAATAAGGATGGGTTTTGTAAGAGGTCGGCCGAAAAAGCGACATTACAAGTAAATCAATAAACATTGTCGGACATACAATGTTGAATAACTGGCAAGTTACTGCATGGGAAATAGAGATCTATACTGTTTCCCTGCAAATTACTAAATATCTTATCTACTAATAAAATATTCTGCAGACATTATTCTCAGGGATCACATCAGTTTTCATAAAATTTTACCGCGGCAAAAGAACAATTGAATTTTGATGAAAATGCGGTAGCAGCTGAGATCTATTGAAAAGTGTTGAGTGGTGCGAAAGTGAAGATGACAGTTAATTACAATGAAGTACTATGTGTCATGACACATCATAGCACGCACATTAGACCTTGAAATGATGAATTAATACCTAGTTATTATAAGAGAACACACATTAATTATATTATTAAACTTACTGACCTTACTTCATTCAGTTCCACTGCTTTATTTATTTTTCAGAATGGATGGACTCCGTTACTCTACGCTTGCCAAACCGGTCATCCTGAAGTTGTCAAATTGCTACTACAGAATTCTGCAAGAGTGGATGTGTTTGATGAAGTAAGATTCTAATATAGACTAAGATTCTAATACAAAATCCACATTATTAAAACGTGATGAAACTTTTTAAATTATTCCTTAGTTGCCTAATATTAATTACTCCTGTTTACACACCAAAAATAAATTTATGTCTCGAAATGTTTGGAGAAAGGCAATTAATATATATGGTAAACTTGTGAACTCATTTCATCTAAATCTCGCAGTATTTGGTAACGTGTGATCGCTTCAAAATTCAAAATACGAGTATTTTGTAAATACAAATTTTAAGAAATTAAACCGCTAAGTAATAAAATAGAATTATAAAGCTAGGCGTTATGCATCGCAACTATAGAAATTTTGCAATTTTTTAAGCAAATTTTAAAACTTTTTTGTGTATCACTTTCCTTACATTTTCTGATTATATCATTTATATATAGATGCATTGTAAATGTGTTCCTTTTATCAGTCTAGCTGCTTTTAATTTTGCCAAAAGATCACAAAAATATCAAAATACCTGTAAAACTTTTGATAATTGTGATTTTCTCTTATCGAAACTAAATACGCATTTTTAATTCTAAGATTTGTTAAATGTGGTTTTATGAAATATGGAAATATTTTCTGTACAACATCTTAAAAGAATTACTATTAAATGTCAAACTTTTTTAAAAGTAAATCAATTAAAAAATTCTCATTTGGAAATTTCAAAACAGTCTGACATCTCAAAGAAAAGATTACTATTAAAAATTTCAAAAATTTATAACTATATGAAAACTTAAATCTGCGAAAACCATATAAATATTTCTCTTCTATTTTCGAATAATAATAATATTTACTGCTACTATTTTATAAATAAAACCTTCAATTTTAAATGTTCTATTTTTCCTCTGACTTTCAGTTTTTTATATATTATGTGGTACAAGTAGAAAAATATCAAACCATTAAACACGTGTTCCGTTTGAACAAAATTAAAAGTAAAAATATACTGAAAGGTTTGCAGTCCATAAAGTTTTCAAAATACTTCATAATAACCATGCGATTTTATTTTGGATGAAGGCAATATTTTAAAGAAGTAGAGTTAGAATTTTGCAGTCGATCAATTTTACAAAGTTTTTAAAAAGCCTTTTTATTTATGACACTGGTAATGAAATCCTTTGTTGCAAAATCTTGCTGATAACTAAATGGAATTTACTTTTTATTAAGTTTAACTTGCGCAATATTAAACGATGCATTTTAATGCGCTGAATTTAAAGGAAAGATCTCAAGCATAGTGAGCAATAGTCTATTTGTCATGGGAGTTCTATAGCAAACTGAAACCAATAAAATACCTTGAAGAAGTTTTTAAAGATTTTTAAAATATTGCCTTTATCCATATATTTTTACACTGATTATTTTACTAATATATTTTAAAAAATCTTTACATTTTTATTTCCCAGGGCGGCAAAGCAGCTCTACATTTAGCAGCTGAGTTCGGTCATGGGGAAGTAGTGGACATTTTATTGAAACATAAAGCTTTTGCTAACGCCCGATCTAAAAAAGGTATGACACCACTCCATCTAGCTGCTCGTAACGGATACACAGAGATAGTTCAAAAGTTGGTTTCGCAATACGGTGCTACACTCGATGCGTTGACTTTGGTACGTATAAGTCGCGAGGAACAAATACAAGAAAAAAAATATATAATTTTATTGCATGAAACAATATGTTTTTATAATGCAAAGAAGACACCTACATCTGAACGTCTAATGAGAGAGTTTATTCTTTCAGACAAAACGAACACCACTTCATTTGGCTGCAGAAAATGGGAAATTAGACGTTTGTCGAGTTTTGTTGGAAATGCGGTCAGATGCAAATGCCATTGACAACGTAAGGTCTATATTCTCACTTGAAATGATATTAAATTCATATATTATTGCTGCATTTATGTATTTTAAATAAACACATTTATCGCTATAATAAAAACAATATTCATATTAAATTTATTCATAAAGCATTCGTTAGGCTGCTTTTTGCATAAAAAATTATCTCAGTTTATCCTTTGCTGAAGAAAACTAGATACTCGACATAATTCACGTTTTGACTTATTGTCTGATATTCCAAATTTTACGAAAGTCGCCAAATCATAATTAACAACAGTCTTTTTATAAATCTTACATCATTTTCTGAATAAAATTAGTATCAGGTTTCCTGTCCGTGTAGTTTACCTTGAGAAGGTATACTGAAGTTTGAGGTATTAAAAAGTAATCAGAAAAAGTAACGAAGTAATTCTGAATAAGAAGCAGGTAAAATTAATAAAATTACTACATATTCCCCGGCAGATTTTTCGCTAGCTTCTTTAAAATATGATTTAGAAACTTTTGATTTATTCTCGCAATTTTCAACTTCCGCCCAGATTAAAGAAACGAACTCCCCCTTTTAATATTTTTAGATCCTTAGAAATTCATTTGTTACTTTTCCATTAGTAGCGCTACTTTTAGCCCACCAGCGGAAGAGCGGTAAAGTTAACTGATCACTAGTAGTTCGATTCTTAGGTGAACAGGCTGGCTGCATGGGCTTCTTCGCGGTTTACCCTCTGTATAACGGGGTCATAATCAAGTTTACCTTACAAATCTCTAACAACTTGCCGCAAAACTTAGCCAAGACACAATTCCCCCCAGGCCCTGAAATTTCCTTCTTCAGACTGAATTCCTCACTGGTTCAGAACCTCTGATGCAGTAATTCCAATTACCAGATTTCTTTAAACGAGCTAAAAATTTTAAGAAAATAGCTTCGAACACTCGAAGTTGTTCGAATGGTTTTGAAAATAAAAAATTTAACATTTTGTATGGCCGTCGAAAATAGAAGGAAATTTTTTTTAAATGATCATAGCTGATTTAATAAGTTAAATAAAAAAGGCTTCGTGCATTTACGGGCGTTTGATAGTATTAGAAAATAAACACATTAAAATAAATCGCTTTAATGCATATTTTCAACCAAAATTAAATATGGGCATCAAAAGTAGCTGGTTTGGAGACTATGAGTGGATCAAACAATATATTTTTAAACTGCCCAAAAGAGTATTAATTACGAATATCTTACTGAATTTTGCACATAAAACTACGGAACTTTTGCATTTGTTTTACTAAAGCATAATGGAAAGTATCTAATTGAGCTCTTTTACCCTAAACGGAAACTATATCAAAAGTTACATTTTGGATCTGTGAAACCTATCGGTGTTTAGAAAATTCCTTAACTTATTTAGGATATTTTAGAATTGGAAGCACATGACTAGGGTCAATAATTAAGAAACTAAAACCTACAGCTATATTCATAGCTAAGGTTTTCAGCGCCCGCGGACAACTGAAGATCTCCATTCCTCTTGTTTGCCAAGAAGGGAAACATTTCATTCTAAATATTCGTAGCATCAGTTCGGCGCCCCCTGGATGTTGCACCAGGGGACAGGTGTTCCCCCTGGCCCCCCTCTAGCTACGCCTCTAGCTGTATTTTGCGAATGCCCTGTATGATACAGTAGTATTAACACATTTATTGATATGCGCTTTTTGATTTGCTAAGTTTCTTTTAATCCTTTCGGTCAGAAACAGCACAGCATGATTATCCTTTCTCAAATTTCACTCGGGTAATATTTGCGAAATAAGAGATGAAGTACGGAAATAAATATGATGTATATTCAATCTTAATTCTGAAAAGAATAGTTCCAGAATCAAAAGAATCAAATGAATACATCTAATCTTAATTTGATAAATGATAATAGTATTTTTAGAAAGTGTCCTAATAATAGCAATTTTTAAAGTAATTCCCTACGATAATGAAAAACAACTCTTGATTTTCATAACTTTTTGACTTCAGAAAGCGTTTTTGTAACAATTTATAACTAAATTTTAATTTATTTTAATGTAGAACATTTTCCAGATTTTATATTCTGAATTTGATATTCTATTTTATATTCTTATATTATTTATATTTTTACGTTTAGACTATTTTTACTTTTAGATCTTATATTCTATTTTTACGTTTAGACGGGGCAAACTCCTTTGCTGCTGGCAGCTGAAAATGACCATCCAGAAGTGGTCAAACTCTTTCTCAGGCACAAACCCGAATTAGTATCCATGGCCAATGCAGTAAGTTTCAATTTTTTTTTAAATATGCTTTTTCTTTTTTCATTCTTAAATTCATGCATAAATAAACGTCATTAATGCGCAATTAAATTCGATACTTTTTGAAACTAAATTTTTTGTAATAGAAATATTATTGTTTTATGAAAAATATCTGTATTCATTATTATTTACGCATTCTAAAATATTGTTGCAGTGGTGTTAAAATATTAATCAACTTTCGCAGTTACATGATAATAACTGAACAGAAACACCGCAAAATAAATCAATCGATAATGTTTCATTTGATACCATGTGCATTAATTATTTCTTCTCAATTTTTATAATGGACTTTACCTAGATTTTGAAGAGCTAAAGAGATTAAATCGCAAACTAAAATTGATTAATGGCATATTATCAAAAGTTTTTATTGATAAATGTAATTATTTGAATAAAAGTAAGTTCCTCAATCATAGTCTCCACTGGAATAAACAATTGTAAGAATAATTAAGCGTGTTTCCAGGCCAGGATATCTTTGACTGGATACCTATCTGCCAAGGTTAAAGGATCCGAAACTACAAATGAAGTATATATTTTACAGCTTTTTCTGATGTAAAATTTTCAATAATTTCGTAAATAACTTCAATAACTTCATGTTTAGCTAAATCATATTTGAGATAAAAAAATCGCAAGATGATTGATATGCTCTTGACTAATTGTATTTTTAATCATGTTTTCAATGAATTTCCTAATCTGTCAAAAAAATGTTTTTTCAGTTGAAGAAAACGTAATTGCCATTTTACACAATTTTTAACGATGAGATATATTGACAAGTATACATTGTAATTTTTAATTTTTTTAAATTGAGCATAGGGTTCTTATCGGGTTCGTGCATAGGGTATTCTCGAAGATAGTATTTAAATAAAGTAAAAGATTTCGTACATCAAATCTTCTTGTAGATTCTTTTCGTAGGCATTTACAGTATTGCTCCTTTTGGTTTTCAGTTTACGCGTACTGCTGATACTCTGTTTAAATTCGAAATAGTCTGTGTTCTGAAAAGGGTAAAACGAATTCTTTTCCCCGAATTTTAAAATTTCTAAGAACTATCATTGAATATCTTGCATTAAGTCTTTTAAAAGTGTTGTCTGAGTATCAAATGGTATTCTTTTGCTGCACAAGACTATGTGGATAACACATTCTTACATTCTGTGCCAAAACACTTGCATAAGTAGACTTTTCTAAGATCAGAAATATTCGTTTCAGACCATTAATTGCATTCCAGGGCTCGCGCAGTTAATCCTGTAGCCATCTTTCCAAATATGATATACAACATTACAAATACTTCGGGATAATATCTAATAATCGATCGCACATCTTGAATTCTTTCCCTCCATCGTTTTCTGAAAAATATTTGAAGAAATAATAATATGCTCTTTTTCAGTACTTTCCAACACGCAAGATTAAGAATAAAGTGTAGAAGCCTTAACATCATTAAAATTATTACAACCTGTGAGCTGGTATTAGCAGCGCTGATTTTCGCGCAATTATGTAAATTGAACACTGAGAATGGCAATTTTGAAAAATTACTTTTTTTTTTAATTTCAAAGCTGTATAAATTTCTTCGGTTATTTATCTCGAGGTTCTCCGGTAAAGTTCATGAATTCAAAGAAATATTCATTCACTTAATGTCATATGAATCTTGGCTTTGGGATACCTATCTGGAATTAAGATTTTCTACTCATTGTGAGAGATATCTGATGTTATATCGGTCATTATTCTACAAAAATGCATCTCATCTTTCGTCATAAATGGTTTGGAAAAATTGTATTTCTAAAGGCAAAACAAATCTCAGTTTCAGAATGCCATAAAAAATGCTGCGCTAATATTTTCATATTTTTACCTTCCACCACTATTTTAAAGCTTTCGCAAAATATTGCTGCATTAATTTTTAATTACCCTTCATATTTTCCAGTCAGTTTTAAAATTCATAAATAATTCCCATTTATATTCCCATATCATCAGTCTTTAAAAGCTATGCATCTAAAATAGTGTAAGATCTAAAAATCTTGATAAATGTATTCTGTTTGAAAGCGGCATGAGGTAAATGATACGTTTAAATTAAAGTTAAAAAATTATCTCCTGTTTTTCACTCATAATAGTAACTTATCAAAAATATTATTAACCAACAAAGCAGTCATTGCAAGAATGAATAATCGAAGGTGCTATGTGCTTAAAATTATTAATTTTGTTAGGACATATCAAATTATACGCTGAAAATATTCATATCGTTGTTTTCTATTCAAGATGCCATCATTTTTTATCTGTGCCACTAGAAAAAAAAGGACTTTCATTTCAAGAAAATGAAATACATTAAGTAAAACCCTAAAATATACCTACCAAATATTTTTAATGATCCACTTCCATTTATTAAGAACAGAAACATAGTTATTTAAATTAATAAACTTAAAAAAGAATTACTTCGAAATAATTAGTAATTCGGAAATATTTGTGATTCTGAGATACCATCCATTCTAAGATGAATCCCATTTTCAGCGATGTTTTTATATGAATATGAAATAAATCCCAGCATCGAAGATATACGGTATATGAATGCAATGTGCTTTGGAATCTATGTCCTACTTTACACACACATCCTAAGTAACTTAAAATTTTAAACACATGAATAATAATAAATAATGAAACAAAGCAAAATAAAATAAAAGACCAGTTTATATACCCCCTCCAAAAAATTTTTACAAACGTTATGCATGTTAGTTTTTCTAATATTCTTTTGATTTATGAGGCAAATGAAGTCAAAGAAAAGGGAGAATTAGGAAACTGAAAAATCAGAATTACTATAATGAAACTATGAATAGAAAACTATCGAATAGTGAGAATATCATATTTTGGAAATAACACACAGAATCTGCTAATATTGCAATATTATGCATAGTAGTTCTTTAAACTATATAGACCATAAATACCTGTTAATGGCATGGTCGTGCAGTAGTTAGCGCTGCAAGATGTCGTACTGTTGGGATCGGGTTCAAAGCCCGGGGAAGGCTTGGAATGTTTACTTGTGTCTGTGTGGGATGGGAGCATTCAAAATACTGGCTAGCCAAAATCTCCGAGGATTTTAGGGATAGTGGAAGAAGACCCACATATGCGTCCCCCCTCGGGCAAATTTGCGACAGAACGTTCATATTCTCGAGAAAGTAAAATCAGTTGCTCTCTGTACACTTTGGGCAATAGCCTCGAGGTTGAAACCGATAAATGGCCGATGGGACATTGGCTATTTCCGAAGAAGGAATTAAGCTGCATGTCCAGTTATTTGAAACAACCAACAAAACCATATAATTTTATATATCCAAATTCGGTATTATTCTGTTTTGAGGGCCGTAAGAAAATTGCAGCGAAAATGTTTGCGCAAAAGCGCCAAATCTAGTAAACGCACCCATTTAACAGCGCGCCAAATCTAGCGTATGCGCTGATTTCAGATTGTCGTAAGTTTATATAGTTCTACATTTCTTAAGACGTCATTGAAATACTAGTTTCATTTTTAAATCCTTTTTATGATTTTAAATCCTTTTTTGATATCCTATGGAATTAACAATTTGGGAATTGCCCATGACGAAAAGTCGGCAATAGAATTTTGGGTAAAGTGCAGAATCATCCACTGCTTGACGCGTTTTCAAGAATTGCACATACTCGGTATCCATGCGCACATCGACCTATTTTCACTTAAAAAAAAAAAAAAAAAAAAAAAAAAAATCCTAGAATTGCACAAAAATGGCACTGCGCACATCCTTTACCGAGAATATTTTCAAAGAAAAAGCATCATTCATTATAGAAAATTACGTTTGAACAACCAACGAAATGAAATTATGCTTTAGCGATAATTCGGTAGCGAAATAGCGATGCAGGCATCCATTCAGTTATGTTTAGCAATTTCTATATAAAAATCTAATAATGATCTGAAATAGTTATTTACTCTTATGCTTCCATTCAGTCATGTTTAGCATTTTTATATAAATTATAATAATAAAAATGTATTATATGAAATCAACCTTTCATCTAAATTAAAGCATCAATCTTAGATAGTTATTTACTATTATACCTCCTTTTTTGCCGCAATTATTAAAGTTGCCGCAATTCTTTTTGGCAGCATTCGCATCAACGATAATTTGGCGATTTTTTACGGTTCCGAAACCGAATAGTACCCAAAATTCTTCCTAAGATTAATCAAGATGACCATATAAACTGCAAAATTTAAATTCGTCATAAATTACACACACTTAGACGTGCTTGAAGGTTCCTGTGAAATAACTGAAATCTCTTTGAACTGCTTTCTATCATCGTAGACTGACATATTTATAACTGTATTATGATACGAACATATGTATGAACATCCAGAAAGTGATCCAGTATTTCTCACTAATAACCTGTTTTTATTTTCTCTGCATTTAGAACGGATTTACTTGCGCTCATATTGCCGCTATGAAAGGAAGCGTGGCTGTAATTAAAGAACTGATGAAATTCAATCGATCTATGGTTACTTCAGCTAGAAATCTGGTAAGTTTAAAGTGTTTTTTTAAGCTGTGAAATGTCGAATTTGCTTACTTTCATTCTTATCTGGTACGTACATTTATTGCTTTCCATAGATGAGAGCGATTGAATTACAAGAAGTCTTTATGATTCGAGGTAAAATATAATCGAATTGAAATAAGCCGAAACTAAGGGGATTGCAAAAACGTTTTGAGCAATTGAAGATTTAGGCCAACCAGAGTTTTGGTAAAAATATTCGGTACCTATGAAAAACCACATTCTAAGTAGATATACATGTAAATACATTTAACTGATTAAGGCAACTGCGTCCGTTAATGCTTAAAATTGTTTCAAAATATAAGAAATATTGAAATGTCATTGAAATAAATTTTAATCGTCTGTTTACATTAGTAAATTATTACATAGAGTGATTATGCATGAAAATGCATGATTTTGGCTAAGAACCGGATCATATATATGTTCACTTAAAATTTATAATAAAAGTTAATAATATATTTTGTTTCATTTGTAAACATTAGAAATATTACAGGAAATAATCTAATTAATTTAACAAAAACATTTTTTGCTAATATTGAATATTATGCATATTAGTTCTAAGTAAGTTCTAATTTAGTAATTTAACAAAAACATATTTTAAAACATTTAATATATTATCTTTAAAATATCATACTTTCTGATATTTTAAAGGTAATATAGTAAATGTTCTTAAACATAGATGAAAACAATAGAATATCAAATAGCACAGTTCATTCCAGATAAAAATACATATAACTTTTCTTAAATAAATTAAGATTTGCTTTTTCTAGTATAAATAAAAAGAACTAAAGTTTAAATACTCACGAAAATAAGCCTGTGGTTTCTTTATAGAGGTTGGTTGCTTATGGGGTTGCTTAAATAAATAAAAAATGGCGAAGCAAATTCCTTCATATCTGAGAATTCTGGGTGTTTGGACATGAAGTTTAAAACAACCTCCATGCTTTAGGGATAATATAGTTTTCATTTCAAGGAAAAAGATAAAGAAATTTAGCTTCGTTAAAAAAAAAAAAAAAAAAAAAAAAAAAAAACGATTCTGTACAGGTACTTAATATATGGCATTAGAAATATTTATTGTTAATTAAAATTTATTTAGTTTATTTCTATCAATTAAGTATACTGTCGAAAATGAAAACATTTTAACTATTCAAAATGTGTTACTATTACTCGAATCTCATCAGTTTAAGCAATTACGTATTGTTTAAATTCGAAAGTCAAATTAAAAATCATAACGTTTTGTCAAGTGGCAACCCTATGTAAGATACGTTTGAGATAAATGTTTTATTATTCTACAATTCATAATACTTACAAAAGAAAATGATTGATAAGTTCATGGAAGCGTAAAATAATAATAATTAACTAACGAAAAATACTCCGCTACTGACTTGTCAAAAATTTGACTTTCAGTCACAATGTCAGATAACTTTAAAGCACCAGAATGGTACCAAAAATATAATATTTTTTAAAGTCAGTAGCTTTTAAGGGTACAATTGTAAAAATTTTGCTGCTTACCGATCGAATCATGGATATTTGTGTTGCTCTCTTTACTCCTATTCTTTGCTATAGCTATTTGAATAAAATAAAATAATACGACTTTTCACCATCAACATAAATTGTAACACGTTCTGCTCGCACTTGTGAATAAACAAATACTATTTTAGATGATTTTTTTTCATCGTTCTTTCATTTAAAAGATAAATAATTAAAAGGACTTTCTTTAAAAATAATCCAATTACATTACAAAAAAATAACACTTTTATTTTGAGACATACAAGTTGATTTTTAAATAAAATAAAAATTTTTCTAAGATTTTTATGCGAGTTACATAATAATTAGCGATTTTATACTCACATAAGGTTTATATACGATTGGCTAAAATTTCTTGACATTATGACTAATGATTTCAGAGCAATAATGCACGCAATTACTTACAAATCACTTTATGATTATGCAGAAGTATATTATTAAAGAGTATTGGTTACATAATCATTACATTTGAATCAATGAATTGTAACGAGTCGAAATTTTCTTATAACTTCACATTTAATTAGTTTTTAAAAGTTGTGTAACTATTTGCGTTTTATTTAATTACTTTAATTATTAAAAAAAGTCTTGAATTCTAATTCATGCATTGCCAAGCAGAAAATTCCCTTTTTGACAATTATCTGTTATGTTGCTCTCTTAAATTATTTGCATCTACATCTCCAAACAGTACTTACATTTTAAAATTAAGAAGATTTAATAATTTCTAATCATGCCTAAACTTGTTTGTAAACTCAAGCAGAACTTTTTTTTTTTAAACGCACACTAAGTAAACCTTTATGTTGCAGTTAAATAGTTGACTTACATGATATCCACAAAAATAAAGAAGCTTTCAATTGTTTTTTATCTCTTGTTTAATGCGATTCCGTTTAAACTATGAACAAACTATGTTTCCGTAAAATCACAGAGATTCATCAAGTCACCAACCCCCCAATTTAACGAGTATCACTTGTTGTAGATGATTGGTTTAACCATTATGCTGCCTTTATGAATTTTGTTTCTCGCATAATTCGATTTATAAGTAAAAATCGAAGCTGCCGTCAGTTTCCCTCATATTCTTTATACTGATTTGGTACTTTATTTTCAAACCAATGCATTCCCAATATTCAGAAATTTTTTCATCCCATCATTTAAAACTGCATTTTTGAATTATTTAATTATAACTCTTAAAAAAAATATCTTCAACAAAAGACAAGAAGAAAATCATTTTCATAGTAAATACATAATTTAAAGTATTTCACCCAAATTTTGCTGCTTAAAAAATTTAAATTTATAGCTCTTTTTATACTCAGAAATGTTTGTTGAAAATATAAAAGTTAAACTACGTATTATTTGTGTTTTGATAGGTTACCAAATTGGTTACTTTTAACCTTTCGCCAATGTGATAATGGGCTTTGTTATTAAACAAATTTTAAAGCTCTTATCGTTCATGATTGAAATTAATGATTGAAAAACCATTCATGATTCAAAAATCTTGTCATTAATGATTTATTGTAATGAATGGTTGAAAAGTATGTGTGGAAACTAGCAATGTACAGATTTAATATTTAAAACAATTTCTTTAACTAAATGCATATGTTGCTTTTGCACGTACATAATAATATGATACCCATTTCGTTTTAGCTAAAGTTTAAACCGTGTTTAAAATAATATTTTAACGTACATAAATATTGGGTTTTTGAAAAGAGAAATTACGTTGTATTATTAAGAAAAATTTAAATAAATGTGTTTTTCGAATAAGTTAGCTATATCTGTGACGGTACAGCAGTAATTTTAGGCGACCTTATTCAAATATTAAAATATTAAATGGCAGTGCTCTATATGAGCAAAGAAATTAACTATGGAAATAGAATGAAAGAGTTCAAGTTGGATTCTGTATCAACGTTCATTTGCTTCCTGTAATTACACACATATATATATATATACATATAGTAAGCTTTCCGTAACAGTCGTACGTTTGTATTACGTTTATAGCGAAACATCCCTTTTGACCTTCTTTTGCATTTAAACGCTTCTTTATTCACACAGCGAAAACTAAAGAACCTTTCTTCAAGTATGCTGAAAAATGCTAAGAAATAGCTAGCTTAACGATACACCATAATATTTACTTTTGTTAGTTTAAAGCAAGAAAATAATTTAGTTTCAAATATTGTCATTTTCGAAAAGTTTGCTTTAGAATTTGCAAGCATTATTATGTATGTATGTGAGCATTTTTTAATAGGTAAATAGTTGAATCAGAAACATGTCAGGCATTTCTAGTCCAATTTTCTTTCTTCTGCTTCTATAATTTAATAATGTGATATGTTTATAATTAAGTATTTGTATTAGAATAGTAAATCATATCAATTATAAAAGTATGGGTAGTGATAAAACGTAATTCTTTTAAAGGTTTAATTTTCGAACAAGACAAGGAGAAATACTGCAGTTCAAATACTAATTGTTACATTTTTGTTTCTAGACAGGTAATACAGCTTTGCATCTTGCAGCCTCTGGCGGACACGCAGAAGTTGTCAAAGTATTATTAGAAGCTGGATCGTCTGCCACGGAAGAGAATGCTGTAAGTTTATCTAATCTAAAGAAACAATCAATCTAATCAGTTCTTTAATTTAATCAAATATGTAATCTTTCTTAAATAAATCCTTCATGAAATATTTTGTGTCAAAACATGTATTCAAACTCCAGTTAAGTGCATTTCCATATAATATAATACTTGTTAAATATGCATTATTAATACATACTAAAGCACGATGCTAAAATCTCTGTTATAATAATTTATGGTACTTTTCCATTTTGCCGGCGCAAGCGATAAGTCGCCAGTAATGGTACAACCGATGCAAACGAAATATCCTCGCTGGTAACCTTTTACTTAACAATTTCAAAACAAGTCGCAGCCATTTCTTATCAGATTGATTGTTTCTTTCAATACTGGCATACAATTACATAGAATTTTTACAAGATAATTCAATTTTATGTCCTAAGGCCATTCGCGGGCGGTAAGTCAATTCGGATACAATCACACCACTCACTCGATGGCTAAAATATAGAAAAGGCAAAGTCAAGAGTTAAATTCATCAATTCTAATGAGAATGCACTAGCGAAGTAAAGCACTGCGGTTTTACAAAATTTCTGAATAAGCTATTCGTACGAATTGAAATAATTCTTGCATTTAAACTTGTATTCCAAATTAAGATTTAACTTGAAATTAATGTAGATAATTACTGAGAGAATTAGATTTATGTAGGGTAGTTTACGTGAAATGAGATCACTTGAGGTCACGTGATGAACCAGCAACCAGGATATAAGGAGTTACGATAATGAGTAAATTCTTAAATTAAGGTCTTTACAAATTTATTGTCTTTTTATTGGCTTTTTTACAAAAATTTTAAACGACATTAATGTTTATGCTTCAAAATAAAAAATTCTTTAGAACTAACATTTGTCAACATTTTTTATGTGTATACTATGTTTTCGCCATAAAATCTGCTTGACGAGATTTGTGCCGGCGAAACGGAAAAGTACCGAATTTATATTACATTCGAAGTTTTAGAAATTTTGCAAATATGAAAACAATATAAAATTTAGAAAGATAAATGCGTATGGTAAGTTTGATAATGAGATCTCATTAATCAAATAAGATTCTGAACATAATAGCAATTCTTCAGAATAGCAATTGAACCTCTTATTTATCGTTTTGGAAGACAGGCATAAATATTGTTACGATTTTGTATATATCTAAATTATGTTAGTGAAAAACATAAAAAAACAATAGTTAACAACAAGAAAACGAGTGAAAATGCGCTGGAAAAGAACGTAGGACAACCCCATTACTGGTGAAATTACTGACGGAGGAAAGACTATATAACACGAAACAACTTGCTGAGAACTCAGGGATAATATTCAGTTCAAATTATTAAGAAATCTTGTGCGAGCTATTGATGTTGAATCTTAATTAAGAATTTAGTAAGATCACTCTGAAATTTCATACGTGGAAAAGCACCGAAGGAATTTTTTTAAAAAATTATTACGCATCCAAGAAAACGGAAAAAATAAAGTATCAAACGCTGTAGCATTTAAAGCTAATACCCGTATTAAGAATTTTTATGTAAATTTTTAAATTTCGTTATAGTTAAAATGAACTGTTTTAATTGCGGCTATTAATCTTCTAGAGTTGCGATCAGTTCTTATTCAGTTTTCTTCAAAGAAGTATGAGAAATTGTGGTTTTTTATAAATTTATACGCTTCCATCGTGTTCTTGTGCATACGAGCCAGTAACGCTCGTAAAAAGCTTTAAAGAATTATGAAAATTCTTCTAGTTTCTGAGTGCGGTTCTTTAAAAAAAAAAAAACAAAGGTTTAAAAAAAAAAATTTCCAGTATAAAAAAAAAAAAAAAAAAAAGTCAGTGCTTTTTAGATTTTTTTTACTTTAGCTTAGGACTACGTAAACACTTTTAACATTTTCATTACGATAAATAATTTTGATGAGGATGAATCTCAATTTCTAGACTCTTCAGATTCATAGAACATACAGTATAAGGTTGCAATTGCAGTTAGCATTGTACGGTGAAAACGAATATAGAAATAACGGTTGTGAAGTTCTTGAAGCATTTTATATCAGAGAAGAATATACAAAAATTCTGATATATTATATAAAATTTTTAATCACAGTTTGCGCAGTGTTTTTCACAGTTCGGGAAAACTATGATTCCAGGAATATTAAGATCAATTCAACAATTCAATATTCGGGAATATTATGACCAGTTTCAAAATTATGCATATATATGCTTGTCTTAATATATTCAACTTAATTCAATATTAATAATATTTCAGTTTAAATATGCAGTCCATATTGTATTTAAAAATTACCGTCCTAATGAAATGGTTACATCAATTAATGTTTAATACTACTGCAATCATTGTTAATGATTTAAAAATAATAATCCTAACTAACTGTAAATCTTTTGCAATTCTTACGCTCATGTCTGTATTTAAAAAAAAGAGGAAATTTAAAAAATTTTCACAATAACTATTCTTGCATCGAGTAAATGTGCTTGCAAAGAATTAACTTATTAATTTTATTTTAGGATGGCTACACTGCTCTACATCTTGCAGCAAAAGATGGCCACGTTAAAGTTTTACAAACTCTGAAATCCGCTGTTTCTTGGAGAGTATGCAGTAAAAAGGTACGTTCTTAAAAACTTGAACTATTTCATGTAGGGTACATTGCTTCATAAAGCGTTTTATTGTTAAGTTGTATGATTACGATAAAGAATTGCAGAAATTGTTTTATATAAAACGAAAAAAACTATTTTATATTACTTAAAATACGAATTTTACAAATACGTCGTCGCATATTCTGGTGTCACAGTATGTATGCAATAACTTTATTTTTATAAAAATGTAAATTAAGTTTTAATCATTTAAATGAAGCTAGGATATTTCTTGATGCCTAAGTTATTTTCAAAAATCTTTGCTAATACCTCAGATTTAATAACATGAGGCTGAAACTAATTTTTGCTAAAATACGAAGAAAGAAAAAAGGAAAGTAAAAGAGGAAGAAAAATCTCTTTTAATTCATTAAGCCCCTAATTGTCTCTGCATCTTCTTGCCTTCCTCCAACAGCAATACTTGAAGAAGATAAACGATGTTATAATTTCTAGGAGAAACTCAGGATTGAATCCACTGCGCCGTGAATGACGGTGCAGTGGATCTTAATACTAGAATACATTAAAAAGCATAGATAATAAAAGGATACTGCAAATGAAAAGGGAATAGCATCGAGATTAATCGAAATAATTTATGTCATTCAAGCATTTGAAAACATAAATGAAGGAGACAAAGGGGTGTAAATAGAAAAAACAAAACAAAAGCATTTGAATGATTTGTGATTTTACTAGATCATGACATTCTTGACGCCGTTAATGACGGTGCGGTGACTTAATATGCGCAAATAGTTATGGTGATGCGTATTAATATGGTGATGCGGTGATTTAATAAAAGCAAGCGAAGGTTCACGAAGAGACTACAAAAAGGAGAATAACGTTGCAATGGGTTATTTATTGTGAATAAACTGGCTTCAAATTGAATGACTTTATGGATTTTTGCAGTATTTATTGTGAAAGAATATCAGCATGCTATCAAAGCAGCATAACAGACATTTTCCAGAAAGAAAGCTAAATGTAAATGTAAAAGTGAAGGTAAAATAACCCTGGAATAAGCAGAGAAGCTGTTATTGTAAATAAATCAAGTTCAAAATGAATGGTCTTTTAGATTTGTGCGGCATTTACCATATTCTGTGAGAAAATGTTAGCATGGCTATCAAAGGAATATGTAGTCATCTTACAGAAGGAAACTACATATTTATACAAATTTTCATTGTTATTTTATTTGAACACTGCTCAAACAATGTACAGTACAATGTTGTTCATTTTAATCCACTGAAGCCTTTATTTTTTTTACAGTAGCTATATAGTAGTTAAAAAATTTTCCGGGATTATTCTTCAACTTCATTTTAATTCTATAAATACTTTAAGTTTTACGGTACACATACGGTAGTTGATAATTTGCTGAATTATTCTTCGTCTACCTTATTTTGAGTTTTCTGTGTCTTAAATAGTACAGATAATCAAGAGTTTAAAATATTTATACTATCTTGGTATTAGTATAGCCGAGTTAAAATTACCTAATTCCCTTAAATTTTAGTTCATTTATTTTAGTTCCATTACATCCTTAAATCTTCCATCTTCATCACCAGCCTTCCATTTTCGTCCTTAAATCTTAGTTCCATTTCATCCATTTTAGTCTCCAAAAAGACTTAAGGTCGTCCATTAATTCAACCTCAATTAAGACGATGATGTCTGAAGATATTACCATCAAAACTTGGAAGCTGTAAAAGCGGAAACTACAACTGTGCCCATGAAAAAGAAATACACGTAAACTAACATGCAGCTGTGTTACAGTAAGAATTTGTATGATATTTGTCTTTGCTGCGATACCGCATTGAAATCTGCATTTATTATCTAATTTGCTAAAGTTTGCTTTACGCCAACATGCCATTACGTCCTTCACAAAAGACTTAAATCAGTTCACGTTTTCAATAATCGATGGAAAGTCAGTTTCGTTCGCTTTTAGCTTTTAGGCGTTGTTTGACATAATTTGGCCATTTACTTTCAAGATCTGAAAAATCCCGTAAATAATTTCTGTGTAAAATAATAGTGATTTCATCTCCACATTATGCCTTTTCAGCTTGTGAAATGTTTAATAAGGAAGGTTCTAAACATTGTTTTTATGTTTTTTAGAGCGATTTGCTTCTTAGTCATTTGATCAGCTGGCACATTCTTAGAGTAGTTAGAGACATGAAACCAAATAAATTTAGTCCGAAATTTCTTACCTGTTTTTCTTTCAATGTGCGATTCGGCTACCATTTTCTTGTCGGGAATTGAGTAAATCTCATGGAAAACCAAACGTTTTATAGATACTTTTTACCGTTATCAACAACAGTCATGAAATTTTCAAATTCCTATTGACACTTCCTTTTTTGACTTCCAAGTAGTTTCATTTTTTTGTTGCTTCTCTGGAGATACAATTGATGTAAAACTGACAAGTCTTGATATTCTGATAGAAAGGTGGGCAAAAACTAACTAATAAATTTCTTGAATCTACTCTGGATATTTAACGATAAACAATCATTATTACACTCAAAATATTTGTTAAAACAGCTTCGTAAAGTGATACTAGTCAGTAAATGTTTTTAATTAAGCAGTGCATAAAAGCAGTGTATGAAGTAGCTGCTTTGAATGTTTAAGAAATCTTAAAGTGAAGTGCATTCATAAGAAAACTCCAACAAAATTCAATAAGAATAAATAATATTATAATGGCAATACATTTCGTAAAATTTTTTTTTACGAAATATATTGCCATTATATGCCATCATTAAGATCCAAAAACGGCTATAATGTTAACATACTAAATGCCCCAAGAATGCCTAATTATAAAAAGTAAAAAATAGCAATATTAGAAAGTAGTAAATTAAAAACGACAAGTTAATTTAATTTTCAATAATTTTTAAAAATACCTACGTTGCAACGTGTTAATATATTTATTAAACCAGATTCAACAAAAATGGAAACGTGGAGTTCTATCGGTCCCCGATGTTACAAAATGTTTCATATACACACTTTGCGTGCAATTTCTAGCAATTTGCCTTTCAAATTTGCAAAACTTATCGATCCCGTTGTTATTTTTTTATGTTCTACATATGTTGCGCGAACACAAAGATAAGAAATATCAGCTTGTCATTTAACACGTTAGATGTGTATTTTATAAGTGGCTTTATATGTTTCTTTTCGTTTTATTTGCAAGGGTTATATAAGCAGAGAAATAAAATATGTGGACATATCTTAATTTGTGCAGCGACAGACAGTATTTCTTTTTATTTGTTCAATATAATGTAGCATGGATTTATGGTAAAATGTTCTTTCAATTCATGTGTGTATTTTAATTAGCAGTCTATTCAGAATGAAGTGTATAATTAAGGTGCTTTATTTTATTTAAATTAGACCGGAATGACAGCCCTTCATGTCGCAGCTAGCTGTGGACAGACAGAATTTGTTCAAGAAATGTTGACCCAAATACCTGCAACTATTCCAAGTGAAAGACCTGGAGATACAAGTCTGAGTGATGACGTAAGTAAAAAACTACAATATATTGTATAATAGATATACGTAAAATAAAAATAATATATATGTAAATATAAATTATAATTGAAATTAATAGTAAATATAAATTATAATTGAAATTAATAGTAATTAACCCTTTATTGCTGAATTTTAATCTAACTATTCCCCTCTCTCTGTTCTAAAAATAGTAATAATTTCTAATGCATGGCGTCATTTCGAAACTAATAAATGCCATATGACTCTTACATAATGGTGAAGAAAATGGAACTAAAGCTCAAACAGCCAATAGTAATTTTACAGCAGTATTAATTATCCAATCATATGCATTGGGAACCGAAACTAATTCATTCTGAATTAAGGTTTCATCCTGTATACAACTTATTGTGAGACATATGCCTGTTTACCTACGTTATACGCCAGGCGTCCCCGTCCTCCGTCACCTGTACACAACTTATTTGCTTTCTGCACTTCGACATAGCTAGACTGCTGCTTACTGCTTCTCTTCTTACCGTATAACTATCCAAAACATAAACGTTTTGACACAGGCACAAATTAGAGTGCCAAGTTGTTTGTGGCCGCAACATGTTTACTGAAATAATGATTAATATTTAATGTGCCTCGGCTGCCAAGTCGATTCTGATTTTGGATCAACATTCTACACCAATCAACATTTTTACATCATTTCAACTAAATTTGCTTTCATTACATATACATACATCTAGCACCAGTTAAATGTAGTCATATATATATTATGATGTATTAAATTTTTCATTCATGTTTTGAACTAATTAGCAAAATTTAAACTTTAAAGTGAACAGTATTAAAAATGTTTTCTAAATCGATATACATTATAAAGAATGAAAATAAAATGCAAAATTACTATAGTAATTAGACATTGTTTGTTTAATATTTAAATACAACCTTTCTGTTGAAATTGACAAATACGAATCAAATTAATTATTATCGAGTGTTAATAATATATAATATACTAAAACTTCTAGCAGTTACATGTGAAGTTTTAACTTCACCTATTTCCCATTAAATAAGTTTATATTTCTGTGTATTCAATTCTACCGAAAATCTTATTCTCTGCTGTTTATTGTTATCAGTAATCTTAACGTCTCTCTTCTATAATAATTCATAAATGAATGCGTATTTGTTAACAATGTCAATCAGACAGATTCATTTATAACACATAATGTCAATGGTGTTATTTCTACTAAATGTGTCTTAGTGAAGGTTATTCTATATTGTTTTCAGATTTTGATCTTGGAATACTATTTTAATATTGGTACACAGTCAATGCTTATAAGAAGCGAATAAATTTCAACTTTATTAATCATAATGCAGTTGATACACATGTGCAGAATACATGTTTCATGTGTTAATTCCACACAAATATATAACAGCTCCAATGTTCGTACAGTCCAAATAAAGCACAGTGAACCTAAAGTGCAGCTACAACATATTTTGTTTTCCATTTACCGTAGTTACGCGAATCTAATGCGCATCGTTTTTGACCAAATGTAGTATTCAAAATTGGGGTGCGCATTAGATTCGAGTGCAAAGTTCGCCGATGACGTCAACCAAATTTCTCGACTACATTTACCGTTACATTTATCGTTGACACATTATTGCATAGAGGATACAAACTGCAGAGTACGTAGTCACGAAATGGAGGGCAAACAGAGAAGAATGTCATATGACGCTACTTTCAAACGTAAAGTAATTCTTTATGCTGAAAAAATGGCAATAGGAAGGCAGGGAGAGAGTTCAACGTAGCTGAGAGCAATGTTCGCTTGTGGCGGCAACAGAAATTGGCACTGTTTGCAACTAAAGCTAGTAGAAAGAAATTCAATATCCCTCGCAAAGGAAGACACCCTAAAATTGAAGAAAAAGTTTTGGAGTTTGTACGTGAAAGGAGGAAGAATGGACAACCTGTGACTAGTGACACCATAAGAAAGCAAAGTAAAAGAGGAGACTGAAGTTCTTGGAAATTACCGAAACAAGAGTTTAAGGCTAGCCGTGGATGGATGGATCGGTTTATGAAGCGGATGGGCTTATCTCTAAGATGTCGTACAACAATATGGCCAAAAGCTGTCCTGCAGATTTTGAGGGAAAAACTACTAACATTTCAGCGGTATGTCATCACACTTCGGAAGGAAAAAAGAATTTTTCAATGGGGCAAATTGGCAATGCTGACGAGACGCCAATTTGGTTTGATATGCCTTGTAACTACACCATTACGGAGAAGGGGACTAAGGGAAGTTATCATCAAAACTTCGGGATGTGAAAAAAACATAACAGTAGAATAACAGCAGGCAATGATAATGGCAATAACAGCAGAACGGGTGCAAACTTTCCCGCTTTCTTAATCTTCAAATGGAAAACATGCCCTAAAACCCCTAAGAATGAAAAGCTGTTCCCAGATGATGTCCTGATTCGAAACCAAGAGAAGGGGTGGATGACGGAATCATTAATGCTTGATTGGCTCCGAAATGTATGGAAACGCCGTCCCGGTGGGCTCTCTAATCCACCATCAATGCTTTGTCTGGACGCATTTTGTGGTCATCTCACCGACGACGTAAAAAAAGAAGATGCACAGCCTAGGCAGTGATCTTGCTATCATTCCTGGAGGTTATGACGTCTGTGTTACAACCCTTGGATGTTAGTATAAATAAACCTTTTAAGTGGTACGTTTAGGAGGAGTACGAAAAATGGTTTTGTGAGCCAAACCGTGTATTGACCCTGACAGGAAAAATTAAGCGTGCTGCACCGCACATTGTTGCACACTGCGTTTCTGCTGCCTGGAAAAGCATTGAAGCACCAATGATTGTGAAATCTTTCAAGAAATGCTGCATTAAAAATTCATTGAATGGCAGTGAAGATGACGTGCTCTGGAACGCCGAGGATGACGATGACGATGATGAGGAAAGAAAAAATGAATCTGCTTTTGACGAAGAAAGCTGCGAGGATTCCAGTGACGAAAACATTAGTGAATAAAGACGTTTACTATTAATCACTGATTGTAGAAACTGTTAGAAATGTTACGATTTATTTCATGTTCATATTTTACGATAGGTACCGTATATACTGTAGTGCTAATTAACAATGATTGTTTCACATGACAATAGCCCACTAATAGGTTAATTCTATGTTCTGCTACTTTATGTATAAATCGATTGTTGTATAAAATATGGTATCTAAATTTAAATAAAATTATCATACCATTGATGGATAGTTTATATACAAAGCCATTGTTGTATAAAATAAGATTCAATAAATTCCTCATACCATTGATGCGCATTACATTCGCCGAAAGACAATTTTTTTAATTATTTAAAGTTTTAAAATGGGGATGCGCATTAGATTCGATGGCGCATTAGATTCGCATAAATACGGTATATCGAATATGAAATAGAAATTTTAAATGAAGCAAGTTAATTAGTTAATAATACTCCTAAAAATACAAGTCTAAAATTAGTAACAAATTTATGGTGCAAGAGACCCACATAACCTGAACACTTCAGGGCCTCTTATCGTAACAGTAGAGACGTTTACTATTTTTTTAATTAATTAATGTTTAAGTTGCTTTCTCAGTTGCAACTTTCACGACCCTAAAAAGCTACCTAGATCTAAAACGTATTTGACAGTGAATATAATGGTGAAATAATGTTATGGTGAAAATAAGTTATTTAAAAAAAATATTATGGTGAAATAAGTTATTTAAAAAAATTATCATTGACAATAAACTGTCTCAACTACTACAGACAACGAATGAAAAGGCAACAATGCGTATTGTCTAAAAGAATTTAAACCTATTTAAATTGCAAATATAAATGCTGTATCTGTTATAAAATACGTAAAATAAGTTGCCATGTTTTTATAAGAAAACTGAAGTGTTTTATACACTTTTTTCCAGTTTCTAAAATTAACGTATTAAACCCAATTCGATTATTTTTTTTACAGTATGGATTCACTCCTCTGCATCTGGCTGCGGAATCTGGTCACGAAGGTGTAGTGCGGGTCTTGTTGAACAGCTCTGGAGTTCAGACGGATTGTGCAACGGTTGTGCAGGTAAATATACTGGCATAATAAGTTACATATAGTTAAAATATATAGCATCAAACCAATGTCAAAACGTATGATTTATGTTCATTTTTCCCCCTTTCGATAGCTATGGGCTATCTGTAAATGAAATAATAAAGTCCTAATGGAAGTGTCTGTAATAGCAACTAAAATGAACTTTTTATTGTTGTCTTTAAAAACATGAACGTGATTACAACGTATTCAATTTTATATTAGAATTACACAACAGGCTATTAATTTTGGAAATTATAATATGATATTTCAAGAGTTTTAGAGTGCTCCATATCATAATAAATTATAGTTCCATACTGATTCCTTAATACAGACGTCCTAAAATGTTGTGCATATCAAAGCTCTAAAAAACTCTGACTATTTATTTAATGCAATTTATTTTTCACTGTAACAGAATGGTTAGCTAATAATGTAAAAAACACATTAACTAACATTTAAGCAGATATCTTTTAGGAGACTTTAACAGAAACTGGTTGGTAACTGTACAAACTGGTTGGTAACAGTATGGGTTTACCTTGTCTCGCATTAAATGACATTTTTCTTTAAAGGGCATTTTACCTATGCATCTAGCTGCAAGGGGTGGTCACTTGGCTGTAGCTGGTCTTTTACTCAGTCGTTCTACGGAACAGTTACAAACTGCTGATAAGCAAGGTAGAACGCCTTTACATATGGCATCTGCACAAGGTCATAAGGAGATGGTGGGGCTATTGCTTGGACAAGGGGCTGACATCAACGTTGCTGATAATGTAAGTATAAGTTTGTTACAATTCCTTTTCGTGACAATATTTGCAGACAATTTGTTGTGTCCTAACATTCAAGGACTATTTGGTTTAGAGCTTTAGTTGTTATGGAGACGCGTTTTGATGTACAGAAATTTTCTTCTCCGATGATCTCTTGGCTAAATGTAGTTTAGTTAGGATGACCTTGCGCCTATTATTATACCTTTCCCCTCGAATAATAAATCTTGCACTAAATTTCATAGTTCTGTGGCTTTTCGTCTCTGCGCCATGCATTAAACAGAAATGTTCACATATATGAGCTCTTTCTTTTATTATTCCAGATATTTGTTAAGTATTTGACTATTCTTTGGAAACAATATTTACGAATAACAAATTTTTCTAGATGTCTTAGAAAACTGGGCTTATATAAAATAATTATTTAAAACTCAAATATTTTTATCCTTGCTCTCTAGAATGGATGGACAGCGTTGCATTACACCACACGTCATGGTTTTCTTGATGTCGTTCAGCTTCTTGTCAACAGCGGAGCGTCCCCCACAGCAGCTACAAGTGTAAGTATAGCTTTTAGTAATCAAAATTTCATATAACATTTGATGGGAACAGGGATTATTTCTTGACTTAGAAATATTCTCCTTCAAATATATAGCATAAAAAGAAGATGAAACCTTATATTCGAATAAGAGTGTTATGTTCATAACATACTAGTAACTATTTGAAACTTAAGAATGACCAAAGTATATTGTACAGACATTAGGTAATTTTTTGGGGGGGCAGGCAAGATAAAAACTTAGCAACGCCTTCACCAGAAATCGAACCACGGACCTCTCAATTACGCACTGAGCGTTCAGATCATCACACCACGAAGGCATGCCAAGAAGGCGGGAGAAATACCTTATATACTCCCCCTTTTTAAAGAGTGACTGGGTTTTTTAGGGGACCCAATCACCAAATCCTGGGTGAGGAAAATCATCATCCAACACCCTTTTAGTTCGGGCGCCACTGTAGAGACATTAGGTATTTTTCTGAAAGCAGAAAAGATGAAAAATATGCAAAATAAGGAAAAACCCTACAATATTAGCTATCCATATTAACGCTATTCTTTCCATTTTAAGGTAAAAAAGTAAATTTTCTGGGAAAAAGTATGAAACTGCTTTTAAAAATCTTAAAATGTATCTAATTTTTTTTTTTCAAATCACTTGCGGTCAGCGATTTTTCACCAATATTCTGCACTTTAGGAAATACATATTTCTCAATATAATTTTATTCTCTGAAATAAATGTATAAAAAATGCACACATAATTAGAAAATTCTTGCTTTTTATTACCTATATTCTGAAACAGAAACTAATTAATGTATTTTCCTAGCATTTATATATCTTGAGCTATTGAATATTTAACACATGCTATGGTGTTTAACTTTCACAAAATATTTTGTTAATAATAATTACGTCTTGAACAATGTTCTTGAAAATAAATTTAAGCGTTTTACTCATATTTCAGATTTCTATATGGTATATGAAAAGAAAAAAAAATGAACGTAAACATTAAAGACATTAGTGTGATGAACAATAATTTGTAAATTCTGTTTCAGGATGGAAAAGTGCCTCTCTGTCTAGCTGCAGCTGCAGGTCATTATGATGTATTAAACTACCTCTTGAAGAAAGAACACGATACACACACACTCATGAATGACAGCAGTGTAAGTTTTCAAACAGCATGAAGGATCAAATCTTGTTTTCTCTTACGATTTTAGTGATGTAATGCAAAATATATTTGTCAGTCACATACAGTAGAGCCTCGTTCTATCATTCCTGTAATAATCGCTGCATGGATCATTCTCTGCTTCTGGTCTTGAAAAAGGTTCTATATAAATAAAATTATTTATTATTGCGCTATTATTTCTCGAAGTATAGTTTATCGTATTATTCCTTCGTAAATCATATTTCCTGCGTTTATTTATAAAGTTTTGAAAAATATACGTATTAATTATATACGTTATTTTCTCTTTGTGTAATAAATATGGTAATATAATACCGCTTCGTATATGACCTTAAATTGTTCTAGAATGTTAATGTATTGTTGTAGGTTTCTGTTAGTTTTTGAAGCTTTCAAGATTAATACCTAGTTTGATTGTATAATATTATGGCATAAGCAATAATAAGACTAAAAATACGTAAATTGAGTAAGAAAAGGTGCCAGTTTCACAGAGTCAAAAAATTTAAAGCGTTTTTCTATGCATAAGTCTAGAAGCGAAGCGGGCTGTAAAAATAGTTTACATCTCGAAAGATCAAATTTTCAGTTAAAACAAAATCCAACGAAATCGTAAAGAATAACAAGAATTTTTTATTCAAAAATAGTTTTTTTTTTATGTAATATACCCATCTTGAGTGTCAAAATTTTTTTTCATTATAGTAAGTTACTTATTTACCCAGTGCGATTGATCAAAGTTCTGTTAAAATAAAATGGATATTTCAGCATATATTCTCTTAATTTTCATCTTTAAACCCGTAATTGCATGAACTATTTTGAAAATAAAATTAAAATTTAATCAATGCATTAACAAACCATTAAATTTTAAAAGCTGAACAAAGCTATTTCTCATCTATTAGAGCGGCTCACATTTGTTTTCGGAAGTTTGTATTTTTGAAATTTATTTGAATAGATCGTGTGCTAAATATTGAAGCACAGACTTGAACTGTTTTTCTTGTATATTTTTTTCTGTATTATAAGTCTTGCTTGTTGTAAAAGAAATATCATCAAAGTAGTTTCTGTAAAAAAATAATTTCTTAAAAAAGTGTTAATCAGTAACTCATATATAATAATTCGGGAACTTATATTTTTGCTGAAAAGTTTTAGTAAACAGTGATTCTTCTTATATTTTTATTTTTAAATAAAAACACATCACAAGAATTATCTGCATTTGGAAATTTTTACTTGTTTAGCAAAATATATCAATAGGTCTATATATAAAATAAACATAAGAAAACGCTACAAATAAACGACAAATTCCGTTAGAAATTCAGTAGTTCTTTTTTTAAAGCTGGTAAAATTGTTCGAAATATCCAAAGAAATCATTAATGTAAAGTATTTAATTATGTTTGATGTAACAAATCAATGGACACTCGTAGAACTGGTGAAAATGTTCCAGAATTCGGACCACAATCCAAGTTAACACCAAGGAACCGCAGAAAAATTAAACAAGTCACAAAAATAATATTGTAAAAAGTTCGGAAGATTTAGAAGAACGCTTTGCAATAAAAGCTAGCCTTAAAACTTTTAGAATAGTCATTTAGGGCAGATGGATACGATTGGCGATCAACATGCGTGGAATCTAACATACACTCTTTTGCAAAAAAATCGAAACACCATGAAGGAAGTGGCTTTCTTTGATGAAATTGAATATGTGTATAACTCAGATAATAAATGATTAAAAAATCAAAGTCATAGCACCTGTTCGCGGCTCACAATCACCCATTGAGTGTTCAAATTAGTAGTTGGTCGAACCGCCCCTGGTGGCAATGTATGCTTGAATTCGTCGAGGCAAGAAGTGGTAGAGGTTCCTAATGTCATCCTGCGACACATTCTGCCAGGAATTCATCAGTTGTCACTCCAGATCTGCGATATTTTGTGGTATCCGAATCTGGCGGCCTACTATATCCCAGACATGCTCGATTAGTGAAAGGTGTGGTGACCTTGCTGGCCAAGGAAGAGTATCAACCGCACGAAGACAGTCTACAGATATGCGAACGGTATGTGGCCTGGCATTATCTTGTTGAAAATGGCCCCAAGATGACGTGCCATGAAGGGTAAGTAAACAAGGAAAATACGTCTGGCGTTTGTAAAATCTACAGAAAGCATATCGTACTGGAATAAAGTTATATTTGCAAAAAAATTCAAAATTTGAACCTATAGACGAATTAAAATGTGGCAAACTCTGAATTAACCCGCAACTGGGTAGGTGCGGTGACATAAACCGCTCAGGTTGGTTCTCCCATCATTCCTATTTTAATTTTAGCTAGGGTACTGTAATATATGAGGTATATGCTTTGTAATATATGAGGGCCTATGTTTGGTAGCAATGCCTTTCTTTCTCTTCTTACAAAAAATTGTATAGAAATTTTTCATGAAGAAAATAGCTAAATATAAAATCTGAGAACCACCATTCAACAATTTATCTTGCATATAAAAATGGTAGAGCTTCGATTAGTCGAACTTCGAACTTCAATAGTTAACAATTTTCGATAAGGTAAACTGAATACTTTTTCTTGAAGAAATACGTTACAAATCAATCTTATTTTTTTCTAAATGAGTCATATTTTATTGATTTGATTAGTCGAACTTTTTTCAGAGGCCGCTAAAATTATTTCTATTTCATTCACGAAAAGCAGAATCCGATTTTATTCGCAACACATGTGCTTCAAAATATCTTCTTTTCAGTGATAGTTTAAAATAAAAAATAAAAAAAAAAAGTTGAATTTTATAATATTTACTACCGATTTCATAATAAATAATGATACTGTTTTCCCCCAAAAGCATGTTTAAATCGTCAAATAAATTTGTTTCTAATTTATGAAACTGATTTTTGTATTCTTTCTTTCAGTTCCTCATAGACTTGATGGTTTCCAGTAAGGCTCATGCTAACAAACCTGTCTTGGAATTCGTGTTAGTATCAGCAGCGCCAATAGAAACAGCAGCTAAAATGGCTCGCAGCTATCAGTTACTATCTCTAAAAGAAAAGGATCGTGCAAGGGACTTGGAAGTTATGGCAGTCTTTTGTGAAGCTATGGCTGCAGATCTTTTAGGCATCACGGCCATATCATATAATACGGGAACATTACTTAGATCTGTGGATTCACAGAATCAGCCATTTTTGGATGTACTGATAGAACTTCAACAGAAAGAAGTTGTTGCTCATCCGGCAGTACAGAAATATCTCACAGACTTATGGATGGGCAGCTTACAATGGGCGTCATGGAAGATGTCCCTCATGTTTTTGTCGTTCCTAGTATGCCCACTGATATGGATTGCCTTCTCATTACCCCTAGGACATAGGTTCACAAGCATACCCATTATCAAATTCATGTCATACTTGGTGTCACATATCTTCTTCATACTTTTACTTTCATTTACCATCGTCAACCCATGGCTGCCACTGTGGAACTCTACTCACCTCATACCATACGTACATGAATGGTTGCTACTCATCTGGTTGATTGGACTTTGGGTATCAGATGCAACAAATCCAAAGGACAGGGAGGGTTTAGGTTTTATAAAAGTTATCATAATGACTGTCGGTTCCATGGGTATAGCAACGCATGTTTTAGCATTTGTTTTTCCGGACGAACATTCTGTACTAGTGTGTTTATACGTACGCAATCAGTTCCTCGCTGTAGCTCTTCTATTGTGTTTTGTCGAATTTTTAAATTTTTTGACATTTCATCATTTATTTGGACCATGGACAGTAATCATCAGAGATCTCATAAAAGACTTGATGAGATTTTTAGCTATATTAGGTATCTTTTTAGTGGGCTTCTCTTTACATCTTTGCGCCATATACCAACCAGTATTCCTCCCTCAAGGCGCAGACAACCTTACGCTGGCCGTATTTCAGTCTCCCATCAACACCTTCGAAATGCTGTTCTTCGCTCTGTTCGGCCTCGTGGAACCGGATTTCATGCCACCCATGCATCTAAGTCCTGCCTTCTCCAAAGCAATAATGAAGGTGGTGTTTGGAATATATATGATGGTGACAGTTATTGTTCTCATCAATCTTCTCATCGCCATGATGTCCAACACTTACCAAAGGATACAAGCCCAGTCGGACACCGAATGGAAGTTCGGACGGGCCAAGCTTATCCGAAATATGAATAAAACATCACCGTCACCTTCTCCCATTTGCCTCTTCACACTTCTTGGACAGCTTTTCTGCCGATGCCCGAAGAAAATTACAGGTAAAACGATGCAAGATAGAAATCACTGCAATTTATTTTTGCATGAAAATAATGTTATGGTTTATCAATATTTACTTTGTAATATGTCCTAAAAGTCTATTCATTTAGCCAACAATTAAATCTGTAATTTTTAATATTAATAATGTCCATTCAATTTATTTTCAATTATTTCAATACTTTCAATTATTCCCCGTCCAAACAGAAAAGTGGTTAGTGATGCTGACTGCTGTACCGAAGGGCACCGGTTCGAATCCCGGACAAAGCATGGATGCTTGTAAATGTATAGTACCTGTGCGGCACGGGGGCATTCAAAATATGCGGTGAGCTGAAAGTCCTTTCGAGAAGTTGGTGGTAGGATAAGAGGGTTGGGACACCCTCGAACAAATCCCCTGGGAGCTCTGCTTCAAAATTGCGCCGGAACTGAGCAAAGTCGGAATGTCACCTGCATGGTGGTCAAAGCTGTTGCCAAACATAATGCACTCTTGTAGTCTTTGTCACGATGAAATTTGTGGGCTTCTTCTGATTAGGTCAGACAACTGAGATTACTCACAACACAACAAAATTTTATTTTCAAGAAACATTCTACTTATTAAATTAAGAATTAAATAAAGCTGAGAAAAATTTGGTATGATAAAATTTCTCCGATATTTATAAACTACATCAGCTTCTATAGCTACAATTTAAAAAGTAAATATTAAAATGTTCAGTAATGTTTGATTAGATCAAAAGAGTAATTACAAATTTATTTAATTTATTAAAACTTTTGTTTTTTCTATTTTAAAATCTAAAACAAAAAATGAGTAAACATAAGATGCGTTTTCTTTTGTAACTTATTTAATAAAAATAATTACCAGCATTCTTACTTCGCAAATGATAATGCCGTTACTTTTAAATAAATCATAATACTGTGTCGAACGGCGTTCCTTTTTCTGGAAACAGGTCTTGAATATTGTTAAGTCTCTGTCAGATTTTGTTTAACATCAGGTACACAAGAAAGTTTTCATCGCTTCAGGGCAACTTTCAGTTTTAAAATAGTTTGAAATCATGAGAAGTCAGAAGAATAGGAAAATTAATCAAACCGGATAATATTTTTTGGCCTGAAAGTCGCAAGAGATGTACATTAAAAGCGCGTATAAGGCAGAAACTTCGTAGAAATCTTTCTCATGTTTCAGTCGTTTGTTTAAAAATGAACTCATTATTTTTTGATTAATTTGTAATTCCTCAGCCAAGACTAATGATATTAATTAATGATGTTGTATAATTATTATCGTCAGTCAAGAATAGCTATAACAGATAATTATTACTGTCAGCTTAGATTAATAATTTTAACTAATATTTTGTTCTCGGCTATCCGCTTCAGGGATTTTTCATCACAACTTTGAATCTTAGATGCCAGTGGTATTCAAACTTTTTAGAAATGCGATCCTACTTGAGACATGAAGGTAACGTGTTGGCGTCAGGATTTTTCTCTTACATACACTATGCGTATCATTTTGATTTTACGTTATTATTTAACAGAATAGAAATTCACAACCAACATCATTATACTTTATTCTACTGCTCTTTTAAAAAGTGCATGAGTAATTAATATCGTCTGTCGCCGTGGTTACATTCCTTGTCTCTCGTCGTTTTTTTTTTTTTTTTTTTTTTTTTTTTTTTTTTTTAAATTACAAATGCCTTGAATATCTTTTAATACCATGACGCCATCTGGCGGTAGACTGTAGAAATTGCTAACATATGCCAATCCGAAAATTGAAACAATTAATGATTTAACTCTACTTGCTCAGACGTAGCACTAGGCAATATTAAAAATCAGGAAGATATCATTTCTTGAGCGAATTAATATGAAACGAACAGGCGCCATGAAAAACAGTCATGCTGCGTTAAAAGCAGAAATGCAGCAACAGATAATTTGCGAGGAAGTCTTGAAATAGGAAACTTCGGATCAAGAAAAATATTCACGTCTTTCCCAAAGCTTGATTCTTAATTAAAAATATATTTTTTTTTTCCCTTTGAAGTTTGCATTTATCTCACAAAAGTGATCACAAAAGTTTTTTTTATTTTCGAAACCAATGTAGCTTTTTAAATACATAAAATCCATATTAATGAAACAAGGGTTTCTTGGAACTAAGAGTTTACCTAGTGTTCTTTTGACACTAAATATTTTCTCAAAAACGAATTATTGAGTTTAAAAAATTAATATTTTCTCATAAAGTAGACAAACGATATCGCAAGTATTCGAGTATTATTAAAATTATAAATACGATTATCCGCAATAAATGGAATATGTAAATTCGAGAAACTATTTTGCGTCGGACTAAGATATAACATCTAAAAAAAATCGTTTGTTTGAGTTGTTCAGAAAGCACTCAAACGAACTATATTCTACGAGAATAATAATAATATTCAACGAACATTATTTACGATATTCTTCTTTTTTAATTTATTTATTTCTTTTATTTCAACATTTTGTTTTGTTGGCTACTTCAAGAAAGTATATGCGATTAGAACAAGATTAGAAATTCATAAACTATTTCTTCATTTGCAACTAAATAAAAAGAACTCTGTTTTACAGACAGATTACTCTCTGTTTTACGCGTAAAATGCAGGACACAGTACCGTCAAAAGTTTTCAATAATCGAAGTACAGAGAAGAATAGAAAACATAAGGAATGGCAGCGGTCCACAAACCCTCGTGCCAAAAGGCACATCAACTTTTTAAACAGGAAAATCAAGCAAGAAATTATGGAATTCAGAAACAAAAAATGGGACTTTCTCCTATCAAACCTGGATCCTTAAGATCAAGCAGTATGGAAAATTGCTAAATCTCTAAGAAATAGCAGACCAAATCAAACTCATGCAATTCATCACATCGGAATCTCCTATCAATCTGAGGACGAGATTGCTAATATAATGGCTAATGAATTAGAGAAAATATTTCAACCTCACCCGCCTGAGAATAACTCCCAAGAAGAAGAAGTTAATTTTACCATTGACAGTATTAACAATTATCCTATAACAAATTTCATTCCCTTTACTTCACCAAGAGAAGTAAGAGAAATTATTCACAAACTCAAGCCAAGGAAAGCCAAAGGCTATGATCAAGATTAGCAATGAAGCACTTAAAGCTCTTCCTAGACGTTGTATTACTAACATAGTCAATATTTTTAATGCCTGCATCCGAAATAATTATTTCCCTCAGCAATGGAAACACTCCATAATAGTCAATATCTTAAAACCAAAGAAAGATCCTAAACTCGTCACTTCCTACAGACCTATCAGTCTTTTACCTTCATTAGGAAAAGTATTTGAGAAAATCCTCTGCTCAAGGCTCACTAACCATCTCGAAAGACTCAATTTAATAGATGATCTGCAATTCGGCTTCCGCAGTGGACACTGCACGACTCATCAAATTCTCAATTTGGTGGAATTTGTTTCGCAAGCCTTTACTGAGAAAAAACGGGGTGGCTGCATGCTATCTCGACTTCGAAAAGGCCTTTGATAGAGTGTGGCATGCAGGCCTCCTGCATAAATTGAATAATTTTATGCTTCCAAACAGTTTCGTAAAACTCATTAGTTCCTATCTGAAAAACAGGACTTTTCAAGTTCGCTGCGGTGACGCCTTATCTGTCAGAAAAAGAATTCATAGCGGGGTCCCGCAAGGATCCGTTCTTTCCCCCCGGCTCTATAATGTTTATATCAATGATTTCCCGCACCCATTCAACACGAAAATACTCAAATATGCTGACGACACTGTAGTACTGACTGAATCCAGAAGTCCCCAGCTCGCTCTAAGTAATTTACAAATGCATCTCAATATGATCAATCACTGGTGGTGCAAGACTTGGAAAATTAAGCTCAACGCCTCTAAATGTTGTATTGTGCTCTATCGGAGATACAAAACAAGATTAAGAGTTAATACTGATATCTACTTAGATAGAACTCTAATCCCTGTAGCTAATTCCTATAAATATTTAGGTGTTTACGTAGATAAGTCTCTCAACTTCAAAGATTATATTTCTTATATCTTAAACAAAGCAAATGCAGCCTACATGGCAATTTATCTTATTATCGGCAAAAAAAATCGAAGTTCAGTCTAAAAATAAAGAAAATGCTTTACATATCTCTAATTCGACCGATCATGCTATATGCAGTGCCGGCCTGGGCAATCGCCAATAAAACTGAGCGCAAAAAATTGGATATACTTCAAAATAAAATTCTACGTAGCATTGTGAATGCACCTTGGTACGTGAAAAACTCTATAATTCATAACGACCTGGATATTCCATCTGTGCATAACTTTATACTCATGACAGCTCACAACTTCTTCGAGAAGATGAAGCATAGTCAGTATAACGCAATTAAAACAAATGTTGGATTATGATCCAACCATTGAATATACTGTCAAACGCCCAAGGACAATTCATCACAATTCGTTATGGTGGTAACTTGTAAATTTTAATTTTAAAATTTACTTGAACTCTGAAATTGGACTCTATCCTATTATTTGTGTTGCATCTTATACTTATGTTAATCAAGAAAAATTTTTTATTCAAGATTTTTATGTTACTATTTCATTTTTTAAAATTATTTTTTGTATGAATTTTTACTTTATCGTATGATTCTACGAACTTTTGAACTTTTTACGGCCTATCTAAGCTACTGCATACTTCTGAAGGACTTTGAACTCTTATGCCATTCACAGCTTCAAACTGTCTTCGCGCCATTTTCATGATGTCTCACTATTGCTTATCCTGCACTCTTACTAGCTATATTGCAGCTCACCACCTGCATTTGCCATACAACTCACTGAACCTGCCTACATGCTTCAATTTAATGCCATTGCTTACCACTGCACAATTTTTATGATGAACGCCTACTTTCGTAAGTATTAAGATATGCCTGCTCACGCAGCTGAATTTTCTTCGCCCACGGGTGTTGGTACTTCCCTAGTACCATTTATTTGAAAATATCTTTGCCTAGTGCACTTTAATGCGATCTACTGGCGAAAACTCTTTAGTAGTTAATGACCAGAAAAAAGTAAGTCATAAGTCATAATAATCGAAGAGAAAGTGCTTCGAAACTTAACAGCACATTTCATTATTAGTTTGGGAGGCCCACCAGCGGCCGAGCGTTAAAGTCGTAAACACTGGTAGTTCGGTCCGAGGTTCGAATCCCGCGAACGGGCTGGCTGCATGGTTGTTTTCGTGGTTTTCCCCATATGTAACGTGTATACGAGCCAGTTTCCCTTAGAAAGTCCTCCACGAAGGTATCCCTCCCCTTAGGCAGATAGCCTTCGTGTGCTTTGCCATAATTAAATACACCAACATTATTAGTTTGGAATATTTTTTAATCGAGACACTGTTAAAATTTCACTCATATCTGTTGGATAGGATAATGGCTGCACGACAAGGGAAATATCCAAATTATTGGAAGAACACCTTCCTCGAAATTTGAGAAAAATGACAATTCTAAACACTGCAAGAAGGTAAAATTGGCGCACGGCAGCTAATTTAACATTTTTGTTTAGGATGATCCATTTTTACTACAGAAAAGAAGCAAAGAAGAATTCATAGTTAGTTCTAGTAGTAGGAATGATGGAGGAGGTGTTGTGATATGCGAGTGAATGTCGCGTTGAAACCACTTTCTTTATACGTAATACACTGTATTAATATGCCACCCAGACGGAAAAATGGTTAGTGACTCCAAAGGGCCCGGGTTCGGATCCCGAATGAGGCATGGATGCAATTGGTCCATCCCTTCACAGAGGCAACGGTGGCCTATCCGTTGCCTCTGTGAATTATTACGTATCTCCATAATTATTACGTATCTCCATAATAAAGGGACCACGCCCTTAATAGTGGTCAAAGCCTGTAAAGAATACAGACCGCCAGTGTCGACAAAAAAAAAATTAATTATTTTTATATGCAATCCGTATTGATATTCTTAAACTGATTTTGAAATCATCAGCACAAAATTTAAACTCGCAAATCTATCAAAATAAATTACCATATTATGCATATTGCTATGAATATGTGATTCTGATTGCTATATAATTAAACTAAAGAACTCAAAACACATCCTCAGTGCTCAGATTTAACATATATTGAACATTCGGCGAGAAATAGGATATAATAATCGGAAAAAATATTTCTTTAAAACATCAACTGAAATTAATAATGCAAGATGAATGAAGAAGTCCCTGAAGGACTATTGTTTGAGTTTTGCTTTGAATCACTATAAATGCCCGTTTCAATTTTCAAACTGTTGCCATTAAGTATTAGAGTCCTGCATTATATTTGAAGAAATTAAATAATGAAAAATCTGCATAAATGTATGTATATTTCTCGCATTGTGATAAAACAACGGTACATAGAGCCATCGAATTTTTGAATGACTTAATCCTCTTACGAATATGGGCATGTGGAAGACCCAATTTGAAATTTGGAATTTGTTTTATTATCGATTTCATATTTTGTAAAACTTTAACGAACAATGGCAACACTCTACGGATTGGAAAAAAAACCTTTTTATCTCCAGCGCGCGGAACTTTGTATCGGAAATTCTAAAGATAGGCTCATTTTAAATTATTTTGCGACATTGCTATTGAACTGAATTTCATGTTTTAAGTGCAAAGAACATGATATTTAATAAATAAAGGTAACGGACAAAACGTTAAAAAAAACACCCTTTTAGACGTAATTTAAAATCCGAAACCTTTCAGATTTTTTTGTTAAAAAGTATCATAAGCGCTGGGATGGCTGAATCGACAAACTAGCGTATGTTTTAAGAACTGCCAAGCATGACACGCCGGGAAACACGCCCGCTGAATTATATTTGAATGTTTTTAGTTATGATGTTTTTCACCCCAGTTTTCTGATTATTAACGCTATAACGTTTTTTTTTTTTTTTTTTTTACTTGTAGGGGTGAAACCTCAGTTACATTTAATGAAATCTAAGAGAGAAGCAGCAATTCAGAGAGGAGATGTCCCAAGAATCATGCCAGCTGCATGGCAGAGACGACGCACTAGAAGATCACAACAAATTATGCCTGTCGGTAAGCACTCAGAATACTTTATTATGCCATTTTTTTAAAAATTTACATTAAAAAGTATTCAAACTATTATTATTATTATCAAGAAAATTTATATGTAATTAAGCATACGTCGAAAGCATAGGATCATTGCTTCTGAGTTTCAGTTACTATACTTCAACAAGGAAAGAATGCATATCCAACGCATTATTGCCCCAAAAGTAATACAATTAATATAACCATAATAAATATGAATTTCATATCGAATCAAATACTATAAGGAAGCAAGTAAAAAATCAAAACGATTTCTGGGAAGGTTTTACATTGTTTCGTATAAAAATTCCAATTAAATTTCATAGCACGCATTGTTTGCAAATGTTCATCCATTGATAATGATGTGTGCTGGGAATTTACATACTTCATTTTCGTAAATGTTTCTTCACATTAGTAAGTACTCCTAAATAGATATATAAATCCTTTTGCATATGATTTTAATTGAACGCATTTAACATCTGAAAATATATTTATAGAAGTGGGTTAGATCCATTTTTAAACATTTTTTGGCGCATGACCTTTTTGCAGATAATTCACTCCCAACTGAAGGTCTGACGGAAGCTCCTCAATTATACATTAAAAATGGATTTTGAAATATGGAAATGTCTTTTGCATTTGCATCAAGATCCGATAAACGCTATTGTAACTGCAACTTAAGGTCAGAAAGTACATCTGCTGCGAATTTTTAGGAGAATAAAAAATTTCGCTTATATTTGAAATTTTTTACAGCATGGAAAATGATCATACTTGTTTAATGCGATTTCTGTTTCCAATAATAAATCTTTCGGCGATATAACTACACAGTATAATACGTTTCACATATGAGCACTGTTTTTTCCCTGTAATTTTTAATTCGTTAAGATATCCCACGATTAGTTGTAGCAAAAGCCATAGCCATTCATTGTTCCATAGCCAGTCACTGTTCGGGAATAGTAGTTGTACGTAGTTTTTCTTATTTAGAGGAATTTTTTTACTTCTCTCAGTTCAAAAAAGTCTCAATAAAGCTTTTGCTGAATCATTGATATATTGGCAAGTATAGAAGAATAGAAGCAAATTCTTCACTCACCTCAAACTCTTTATTAATCTCTCGAATTATCCCTGTCCACAATCCACAGCTAACGAAAACCACTTCAAATTTTATTTTCGTCTCATTTTATAATGAACTCTTGATGTGGTTCTCGATGTCCCAAACCCTACCAACAGTTCATCTCGTAGGAAGACTAACATATTGAAACAAATTCATTTCCTCTGAGCACATTTCCTGGGCTGCCGCAAGTAAATGTGATTTAATAAATTCACAGTCGATAACCTTTTCGTAGAATACATGAGCTATTCGTGAGCTACTTCTTATCAACTTTTACTTTCACGAAAAGATTGCACTATATGAATGAAGCACTCCGTTTTAAACTTTCCAGTTTCAGAGATTGTTCATTTTCTTTGAGTTCGAATACTGCGTTGCGTGTCTAGTTTGGTAATGAGGACGCATATTGCACTTCTTTTGCACAGCTGTCATTACATAATACTCTGTCATTTAATTCTATGACAAAATAATTCACACTCCATTCCGCTTTAAAAGCACGACATCTGAAGCCCACTTTTTTCTTCTTATCTGGTCTTGAGAGTGATGTGGCAACGGTAAGGATTAAATAATAAAGAGAACAAAATATCACAGAGCCCCTATAGTCAGTTAAGCGCCGACAGACGTCACAGACCACGTGCGCAGCTAAAGCTAAACTAACAGAACTGGCAGCGCTTGTTCTATGGGCAACGGCAGACGATGAAATATGAATATGCGACGCCAGTAGCGATACGTGCGGTCAATATTCACAACTTATCCATTCAACTATCGGCGATTGCGTAAGAGCACGTAATTTAGTTTACTTAAAATTGTTTCATGTAAAAAAAAAAAAACAACATTAAGCCACAGGCCGGATTAAATTACGCGCGGCCCGTAGTCTGCCGACCCCTGTCCTAAAACGATCTCATAGATGGCATTTGATGTTTTGATACAGAACATTTTTACAGTATTTCAGACTGCAACACCTTATATACTTAGAGACTTGAAAAAAAAAATAAATAAATAAATAAACTTGACTGCTCTATTTTCGCTGACCTTTCCATAATCGAATTGAACAATTTCCTAGACTAAAATGATGAACTAGTTAGCAAATCAAATCTGAGTAACAGAATATTTTTACGTATTTCCTTAAAATACAATGACATAACTAAAAACTACAAAATCTGATTTAACAATACTCATAATAATAAAAATAAAATTAAAAAAAAGGCTTGTAGGAAATGCATCTACACCTTTCACAAAAGTAGTGTTTTTAAAAAGAAATGTTTATCGGTATATCATTTATGAAAAAAATTTCTTTTGCTGTATTTCAAAACAAAACTTTGTAATTGATTGCAATGAGAGAAGAAAACGTTTAATCAATATAGTCATTTAATATGGCGTATAACATTGTGTAACCCTTTTTTTTAGAAACATTCAAGGAAAGATGAAAAGCGAATCCGCATCCACAGAGTTAGTTACATTCCAAACCTGTTTTAAATAATAAAATCGATCCTTATTCATGTTTGATTCCCTTCAATAAAAAAACCTGATGTGTGCACCATGACTTCCTTGTACGGAATATTAAATTATACGCATTTTTTCTTGAATTTCATTTAAACTTATTGGATTGAATTAAATCTACTTCTTCGATAGCGCATAAACCACAATAGAATAAATGCACTTTTCAAAATTCACTATATTTGTTTACCATAGCGACACTCTGGCCCTAGGTCCACTTAACAGCTCTACAATTCAATCATTTTTTTAACGTTTTTTACTTCCTTATACAAAGTAAAAAGGAAGTATTGTAATCGCGAAAAGTTTCAGGCAGCATATTTCAACGAAAATATCCATTTTGGCCGCTATCGAATGCAATTTAACGATGTATTTGCATAATATCTGTACGTAAGGACAGAATAAAAGACTCGTTTCCTCCAAAAAATTATAAAACTGCTTTAAAATTAATTCTGAAGAGAATTTTTCGTGGCGTCGGTATGAACGTATCTCGCATAACTCAAAAATGAGTAGCCTTAGAACGTTGAAATTTTGTATATAGGACTGCTATAACACGTAGATGTGCACCTCGTATTTTGGTTGCTATCGGCTGCACCAAACGTCTATAAATATATTTATATATATATCCACTCTGTTACCCGGCTCAGTGATCTCAGTTTTCTTTACTCTTATATGTTTGTAAAATTGTACAATTTTTGCTTTAAAAATGATATGAATTATGTTGTTCTTATCTTCCGGTTAAGGTTTTTATGCCGTTAGTAAATCTGCATGCAATTACTTTTAGAATTATCAACAATTTTAAAGCTGTTTAAGTGCCGCTAAGCCTAATAATTTTTTGGATGGCGGCCATTGCTTGTTTACATTTGAAACTGCAGGATAGTGGATTTGTTGCCAATCTAGAGAAACTTATCTTCGCAACAACAAAGATAACGCCTTCATTTATTATTGCGAATTAAATCGTGCTTAATCCTTTCTGGAATTTTTTTCGAGGAAATAAGTGTTTAAGATTTACTTCATAATTTTTAATACAGATATTTTGAGTTTTTATGTATTTTTGCCTTGTCGCGAAGTGAGAACTGAATTAATTGTATGAGAAATACTCAATCATCTGTGATAAAATGTTTTTTTTGTTTTGTTTGCTTAATTTTTTTATACATCGTTCTAGCTTTATTATAGTATTTGAATAGAACATGTGGCAACGATTAGATAATTCTTTAAATGATATACATTTTGTGCATTCTGAGTTATAATATGAACGAAATATAATACCGTTAAGTGAACTGTTTTAAAGAATGCATTTATTCTATTGTGGTTTATGAAATGCAAGAAAAAATGCGTATAATTTAATATTCCGTTCAAGGAAGTCATGTGGTGTACACATCAGATTTTTAACTATGTCTTATCACTTAGAAAGAGGCAATCAACCATTAAAGGCCTTTACCAATATATTATACTTGACTTTTAAATGCGTGAAAAATAGAGTAAATTGTATCCCATAATATGGAAGTACTTGTGCACATACTGTGCTAGAACTCAGAGATTACTAGCGACAGAGGCTCCTGTGCCGCCACCTGTAGAATAAGTAAACTTTGAACAAATGAGGAGCTCGTTCGTGTGGCGCCATCTATTAGTAGGGAAGAAAAGCATTTTAGTTGACTGGAGCTCTGGTGGTGCCATCTCTTGCAGGATGTATTGTAAGGCATTTTTAAAATTTCATAAAAATTATTCTTCTGATAAGCAATAATTGGTAAGTAAAATGATGAAAAACACAATTTGCAGTACATTGAAACCTTTTACCAGAGTAAAAACTATTTACACACAAAGCCTACCTGCTTTGGCAGGAACAAAGTCCATAGCGCTTTGTATAAGTAAAACTATAAGTAAAGAAAATGAAGTAAAACCTTTGCGAAATAAGAAGAAAACGAAAATATATACATTGCCACCGACTATTATGGTGAATAGTGCAGGGCCTCTTGTGGCATTGTTCAATTTTGATTGAAATTTTGTTCATTTGAAATCATAAATTAATAAATTTGAATTTAATAAACTAAATTTAATAAATTTAAAAATTTAATAAAATAAAGTTTTGTTCATTTCTTGTGGCATCGTTCAATTTTGATTTGATTGTTCAATTGAAATCATAAATTCCTAGTTTTTTGATGATATTCTTAGGATGACTGTCACATTTCATAAAAAAGTTATGAGAAGCTTTTAGAATTTCAGAATCCGTGGGTTTAATTTTTAAGTCATTGAGAAGAGTGCTGTTTTGTACGAACCAAGGCGCATTTGTAATTCATTTTGTTGATGCTGTGGCTATGCGGGATTTTTTCAAACCTCGCCGAAAACGTCTCGGCTGGAGCTCTTCCCGAGTAGAAACAACCAATCAGACAAAAGTTCTGCTTCTGTGATCCCACGTGATCTTCTGTGTGAAATCACGTGATCCCAATCTGAGAGATAATCGATTACTGTTTGGCATTCAAGTCTTTGTAGCAAGTGAAAATGATAACCTAGCTACGTGAGTTTCGTGGAATTATGCGGGTTTTGAGAATTGTCCCTTTCGACGTCAAGTCCCGCGTAGCCGAAACATAACGTGATTAGGACATTACTCTATCAAGATACACTGCTACTTCACATAAAGGTAGCCTGCCTTTGAGAATATTCTGAGGAAAACCGGTAAGAATTCGTTCTAGAATGTTCTCGCTCCATCTACGGCATATTGCCAATTCTGTCACCAGATGGGCGATTCTGCACCAAATCTGGCAACCCTAACCCTGCTTTGAAGAAACTATCATTCAGCAACAATATTTATTTGAAGTTATTGACATTTTGGAAGGCAATTTTAATTAGTTTAAAATCACTTTGTTGCCATGTTTTTAATTATTTCTTCTAGATAGCAGACAAAAATGCGTCTCGCCTGAAAAATAACTCAGAACACTTGTCACTGCTTCATTCTTAGAAATTTTCTCGAATGTAGTCATACAGCGAGTTTCAAAAAGAATACAGTCAAAAGTCTTTAATTCGGACTCGTCGGGACTTCGGTGATTCCGGATTATCGATTTTTCCTATTATAGACCATCAGTTTAAATCTGGTAAGATGGCATGCAGAAATTATAAAATTCAAAATATGAAACTGTAATTTATAAAATAATGAGCAATTATGATCTAAAGGGTATCAAAATTTGCAAAAAAAAAGCTTAATATTTATTTGTTTACTTTTTAAACATTTCTTTCAACGCGCGCATGCGTAAAGCATACGTTATGCATAGCCGAAATTAGAAAATTGCAACCAGAAAACTATTTGATTTTGTATTCGTGATATTTATAATGACGAGGAATTTTATTTAAATCATATCAAAGATGGAGTACATCGAGATGAAATACTACATTTAATAAGGAATTATAAGCCGAATAAAATAAAAACATCTGCCCTGAAGATAACGGTAGTGCTGACAGATCAACTTCCAGTTCATTGCGCGCCGCGACGTTCCCCCTCCCCCCCGTGCAGAGCAGCGTGAAATTGATAAACAGATTTCGGAACGGTTAGATAAACAAAGGATATGCCTCTATCCATTTTTTGGAGCAATTCCACTTTTTGTTTGATGGACATTGAAACATACTTTCGTTTTCTAGATCCTTTGGGAGCTCCAGCATCGGAAATTCTATTTGACATAATCGAAAGTTCAAGCTTACTTTTATAAAATTGCTCTTACAGTCTGCAAAAAATAATAAGCCGGATCCAATTCGAAGATTAAGGAACAATGCAATCATCAACATTAACTGAAATAGATAATTAAATAATTTTAGCTTATACCGTCCGTTATACATTAAACGCGCACGCGAAAACGTACTCTGCGCTTGTGCGCAGTCGTAAAGGTCTTACGCGCACGCGTAAACGCCTATGCTCGTGCGTCAACGCGGCGCATGCACAGAAAGTTTTTAGCTTTGAGGTCCGGATTATGGGTGTCCGAATTAACGACTTTTGACTGTATATGTATTTCGAATGCATATATTTATTAAGCTGCATGACATACGAATATAAAACTTATGTACAGACATTCGCACACATATGTAGGAACCTCTCAAATTCAGATTACAGATGTTCAATATGCCTTCCATCAGCAACACGAACAATATCACATTGATACTCAAATTCCTCCCATACTTGGGTAAGCATGTCCGTCGTCACTGATGTTATGGCAGTACAGATCCAGTTCTTCACCTCTTCCAGTTCTGTGGGAATGGTGGTACACAAACGTCATCTTTAATGAAACCCCACAGGAAGAAGTCGCAGGGTGTCAAATCCAGTGACCGTGGAGGCCAGCTGAGACATGCTAAGTCACCAGCTCCTTGACGACCAATACAACGGTTTGGTAGAGTTTCATTCAGATAATCATGCACTTGGAGACATGATTATCTGAACTGGCTGTTTCCGAGGCTCTCGGAAACAGCCAGTTTTTTAACATAGCAAGCTACTGCTGACCATTAACCGTGCTTCCATCAAAGAAGAATGAGCTGTAAACAGAGGATCGGATATCGCACAAAACACATTGATTTTGGGCAAAACACATTGATTTTCAACACAAAACACATTGATTTTCAACATGTTCAAACGCTGCATGTGAGTTCTGTAGGCCCCAAATTTGAACATTGTGTTTGTTTGCATGACCACTAACATGAAAAGTCACTTCATCACTGAACGCGATGAGTTGTGCGAAAGTGTTATCATTGTCAATAGCATCAATAATCTCGTTACAAAATGCCACACATTTGCTTTTGTCATCAGGATGCAAAGCCTGTAACAAATGTAACTTGTACGGCTTCATAAGTAACCGATGTCTCAAAACATGCCAAATTGTTGTTATAGGCAGTGGTAACTCCCGACTGGCACGACGAGTTGATTTTGAAGGACTACATTGGAAAGCAGTTTGAATTCGTGCAACATTTTTGTCGGGAAGATGATGGCAGGCAGGACTCTTTCCTTTACGTACACATTCTGTATTTAGAAACTGTCGATACCATCTGCGAGTGTTCCACCCATTCGGAGGATAACTTTGTACCTCAACTTGAAACATCTTTGCACTGTAATCGCGGAATTGCACTTCGCAAACTCGAGAACACAAAATGATTTCTGCCACAGAGTAGCCATTTTAAACATGCGACGGTTACCACGCAAAACAGAAGACAACTGACATCTAGTGGCTATTAATATAAACTAGAATACGTATTCGTTTCGCCAATAGCCAAGCCAAGGCGAGGCGCAGCGATCGATATTTTGGACAAAATAACACTTTGTAATATGTATATTCTTTTTTAACCACAGTGTATTTCTGATGTTGCTTTCATTGAGCCTGAAACAAAATTTCAAGCATACTACAGTGTGATTCAGAAGTCACCAAATTTTCATTTTATTATTTATTCTGACAATGGAAAATCTTTACAAGTACAACTGTACTCTTAGACCTGCAGATTCGATATCTATAAAATTTCTTTTGACATTTCAAAATGTATGCCAATACGCTGAGTGCTGTATTCCCACAATAATCATGACTATATACTCATGGATATGTTTAAGTTTCATTAATTCGACACATTCCATTTATTGCTAAGAAAAATGTTCCTTCTTAACGGCAAAAATTAGAAGTCGAAAAATTCAATGATCTGCCTGGAGACCATGAGATCTTAAACAAAATTGCTTATTTCATTTGAATGGACATGTTAATGGAATACACATACCTAGCCAGCAAATAATCTTCATGAGGTACCACTTCACACTAAAAACGTGGGAGTATATGTGCAATATCTCGGAGATATTATGTGTCTTTCTAAATTCAACTGTTGTGCCTAACATTTATGTGCACATCATCCAACAATCTATGGTAATACTTGAAGAAGAAAGTTATTGCTGGTTCCAGCAAGCCAGTACTGACATTTTTAGATTAGAGTTTGGGGAACTTTTGAATTGTACTGTATTTCTTTAACCAGCTGCAGATGACTGACACGTACGTATACGCAGCAAACCGTCCATTTATTACATCAACTCCATACGCAAAGAGTTAAGTTCAGCCCAAAGGAAAGTGGGATAATGAAAATATGAAACATCGTAATATCACACAAATGCAAAATGCATGCAACTGGCTTGCATTACAGTGAAAATATTGCAAAAGCCTAGCTATTCAGCTAACTGGAAAGTTCAAGCAACCGAAATATTTTAGAACCCCCCCTCTAAAAAAAGTAAATAAATAAAAATAAGAGAGTACGTATAAGAAAGACATTATCGCCAAACGGTGTGAATTATTGCCGATAATGGCTAGGCATAATGTTACTAATGTAATCATAAGATCATCGCCAGACTTATGTAAACTTTAGTTGTTGATAAGCCAACGCTTAGTTTTGTAAAAGAGGATACAAGCACATGCTATTTCCATTTTTCCTTAACTTTTGGCAAAAAATATTAAAATTTTTGGCCTCCCTTCAATGGAACATCATGCATTGCAGTATTTTCAAAATAACAGGATCCAATCAAAAAGTGTGTGTTTATGGGCACGATATGCGATTTTATTTTTAAATGGATAAATAATGGAAATAATAGAAATAAAATATGAAAACTTATGATAAGTGTATTAAATCTCTTAAGCTATATAAGTAAATTGTATATGTTGATTATCTAATTAAATAATGAACGATCTTGTTGTCTTAAACATCTGCCAGCATGTTTGGCACAAGTTTAGCGGCATTTTGCCAACTTCCATACTTCGACGGTACTTCATTATCAGTATTAACATTCCTGTGTTTAAGAATTACGAAATTATGTCAGCTTTTAAGTCTGAAATGCAGTTCTTTTTTACCGAAATCTTACATAATTTTAAAAGTAGGCTTTAATAACAAGATGACTTTTTATAATTTTAAACTGAAATCTTCTAGTTATTTGTTTTTTAAAAGTGGATTGTACTTTTTATATGCTCAGCTATCTAAAATGTCTCGAGCTTTCCGGATTCTCAATTTTTAAATGTCATAATGTAAAAACAGAAAGATGCCACAGAAGTCAAAATATTTTTCGCATCATTCTTTTCCACAGTTACTAATTCCAATCTGAGTTCTTTTTTTATAGCATTTAGTACTGAATGTAACTTTACTGACTAACGAACTTACCAAAGTCACCTGATACTTTCCTTCATGGACCATTCAAGTCATAATGGGAAATTTGTATTAAAATTTCAATGTCTTTTTTTTCTTTTCAGTGCAAAGCCTGACTGCTGGACGACCAATTGCAAAAGTTGTTGACTGGCCAACTATTGTCCTTAAATATTTGGAAGTAACGGGTTCTGATATAAAAATGGAATTGCAAGAGGAAGCTCATACTAATGACTGAGAAAACACAGATACTTAGAATGAATTTAGTCTGATTATGGTGCTTCCTAGAAAGAAAAATTCCTGTTGAATCTAGGCATCCAGAGCATTGACAGATCAAATTGTCAAATAAACTGATGAAAATCTGAACTAAAGAAATATTTTTAGAAGTGTAGATAAAATTTGTGATGAATCATAATTAATTCTTATATAATGTAAATATAATGAGCAGAAATTTGTTCAATGAAAATTTTATAATATATTTTAGAAAATAAATAATCTTTTTGTGACTATTCTTTTTATTATTCCTGCTTTTACAAATAACCAAAAGTTCTCATACAAGGGATGTGTTGTTATATAAAATGTAATTATTTCTTGAATGTAGGAACCTATATAAAATCTCAGTCCCTAAAGAAATATTGTAAATATAATGGTACATTTGCATTATCCACCTAGCGTTCCCGCAAAGTCGCCAGACATTAGCAACTACTTTCTCGCCAATCTAATAAATGAAAATCAGTACCCATTTACAAAAAATGGTGGCGTGCTGAAAATTACATAAAACAATAAAGAATTTTTTTTTAAATTAAAAAAGGAAGAAACATCCACTATGAAATAAAAATTACGCAAAGCAAACAACCATAATGAAACAATCAAAATTTCATAAAATATTAACAAATTAACTAAATTAAAAATGCAATAAACATCCTTAATAAAACATTTAACTTTCTATTTTCTTCCTTCTGCACAGCCACCTGTTTTATCTTTAGGGGAAAAAAAAATCAGAAAACTGCAGACTCCTCGAACATTGAGGAGCAAATTGGCATTCCTCTCCATGTATATATCGATCTATTTTAACTTTAAAAAAAGTCAGAGAATTGCTTTTATTCAGAAAAACCAAATTTTTTGACATTCTTCTTTTTCTGTATTAGACATGCATACTTTTCGCAGGTAACTGCATCAATCAGTATCTGTATATGGAGACATATCGAGACAATGAGAACTGTAAGAATGACGAAACTTACCAGATGTATATTCTTTAAACCAGTAATAAATACAGCAAACAGCTGTCGTAAATAATATTCTGCTATTCTCCAACCAATTTCCTATTAGCATTCAAACACTTTGCTGCCAATGTGGATACCACGGAAGTATCAATATAATTACAATAGACCTTCCAAAAATAATTTACACATAAGTTCAACTTTAAGATTATATAAATCATTTTTAATCATTCCAACATATAGTATTTATATACATTCTTTAGATTTAATTCTATCTTGACAAATTTTATAAAATCACACGGCATATTTTATTCCATTTATATATATATAAACTCAGTCTATTTACATGTGTAAACATATACACAGATACAAATACACTAAGGGGTTATGTCCACAAACCAATGGAAACACGTTTTTTGTGTTCCTGAAGCTTCTTCACACATATACTTATTCAGTTTAAGAGTCCCGCTCATTGTGCAAATAGCAATGTTCATTGTCGATCACGATTATTTTGATAACAACACTCACTTTCAAGATGCAACTGTTTTACGATTGGATTTGTAATTCTGATCTACCATAATGTTTGTGACAATCTCCGATGTTCCATTTGACGTCATCCATTTTAAGCAGTTATATGTTGATCTAAGCAGGCACCTGATCTCTAGCTAAAAAACAACAAAAAATATTACCACCACCACCCCCAAAAAAAGAAGAAAGAAAGAAATAAAAGGGAGGAATAAAAAATTACAAAAAATGTTTGAAAACTCTAATTTTTAAATTTTGAGCAGAATCTTGAGGTAAATAAACCTAGAATGCTCAAAATTAGGAGATTAGGCCCTAACAATAATATTTTTAAAAATACCATATGAAAGTAATTTTATAAATGTGAGTGCATTGTACCATACATACATTCATTGCTGGCATATAGCAAGTGACAGGGAAATGTTATTGAGGTGCCAAACATCATCAAAAGAGACCATTACAGAGGAGGAGACTTACTTGTAAGGGATGGGATAGTAACAAATGGCTGCATCAACCTCTATGTGATTCCTGGTGATTCCATCACAGCCATCCAACATCACAACAAAATTCTACACCCTCTTGTGCACCCTTTTATTGCTGCAATGGATACCGATGCAATATTTATAGACGATAATGCCTCCCACATAGAGCTTGGATGATGAGGAGTTATCAGGAACGTTAAAGCATTTCACATCTGCCGTGGTCTGCTAGATTAACGGACCTGAATCCCATACAGAAAGTGTACGACATGTTGGGATAATACATAGCAGGTCACAGTGTATCGCCAGACATCCTCCATGAGCTCCAACATGCATTATTGCAGGAATGGGTGCTACTGGCCACAACAAACAATCAACAATACTATTTTTAGGTTGCTTCACTGTTGTCAAGCATGTATTTCAGTTAGAGGTTATCACATCCATTATTAACGTGATGTTTTCATTTTACATTCATCCAATCCATTTGGGTTTTTTCTCCAATATAAAGGTTGTAACACACGTTTTTTTGTATATTTTCACTTTGTTATTAGTTATGTAGTCTAATAATGCCACACTAACCTCTTGGATCAGTTTCACAAATATACACTTAATAGTTTTTGTTTTATTCCATATTTTTGCCTTTGTTGCTTAGTTTTTTAGCAGAAGTGTATGTGTGTATATATATATTTAAGTTCAATACGATGCAAGTCAAAGTATCATGCTTCTTACAAGATACAAAAGTAGAAGAAAATTTAAATAGTACTTTTCTTCAAAAGTAGAAGAAAATTTAGATATTTCACATTTATAAATAACTGATCTTGTCCTCACTTTTCCAAAACTATCAGCATTCATAATAATTATCGTTATAAATTAATAAATTATCAATAATTATTAACTTGTGAGGAATAAAAATTTAAAGAACTACAAAACACTGACTTTAAAATACTTTTGCCAAAACTTCTACTTTGCGAAATTTGTTTAAAAAATTTATAAAAAATTTTACAAATGCATTTTCGTAAACAGTTGATTAAATGAGGGGGGAATAAAATCATTGAAATCGTGTTCTATATTTTATTTTGGCTTTAAAAATAATAAAATTTCAGTCTTGCATAAATTAGCAAAAATATTAATACACAAGCAAAAAATATAGCATGTGGTTTTAATATCATAATGACCTTTATGAACAGCAAAATACAAAAAGAACAGTTAAAAGAACTTCATTCAATTCACAATCTACTGAAACTTTTAAAATTATTTACAAAATTATTTTTGAATTTGAAATCTCAGCTTTTGGTGTGCTTACTAAAATAGTATACATAATTATTTAAAAAAAATATTGCAGAAAAATAATTCAGTGGCAACGCTGCATTTTCTATAAATTAAAAAAAAAAGAATATTTTTTTAAACAATTCAGGGAAAATAAAATTAAAGAATTCACCAAGTTATACAACACCAGAATCACATTAAAAATTTTTTCCTTTCCATCTTTTTTCTTTTTTCACAGATAAAAGGTTAAAGCACTATGCTACAGATTCAGTTTATGGCTACCATTTAAAATGACTTATTTACAGTTAAATTTTCATAACATAACACGAAACTTTTTGATAAATTTCTGATTCAGATTAATGCAAAGCTTCATATTTTATGAATAATTCCGAGAAACATACTGAAATTAATTTCAATATGCAAACCAGATGCAATTTGAAGAAAATGAATGCTCTACTTTTTTAGTTAACTAGAATTAATTTTTACTACTGGCGAAAAATAAAAACTGATTCAGATAATGTTAAATTTTGACCCCCCCCTCAAAAAAAGTAGTTTTAACATCTTCAAATATCATATAATTATAAATAAATAATATGATGAATTACTATATTCATCATATTATTCCAGCATACTGATCAGCATTTTACTGCATGATGAAATAAAGCATGTGAATTTGTCTAAAATATTATTCACCGAAGGAAGAAAAATAAACATTTAAATACTGTTACTAAAATCTAAAATTTCAACACAAACAAATTACAGAAATCTTCAGAATGATTTTTATTTATCTTGTAAATAGGATAAACCAGGAGATAAAAAATAATCTAAATTGATTTAAAACTTATATAAAAGTATTGTTTACATATAAATATATTATCATTATTATTAGACAGCAAACAATATGTTTTTGAAAATATACAGGCACTTTTTATAAAGAACATCACAAGCCTAGTATTAATATAATTTTATTATTCTTAATACTTAGCATAAAACTGAATAACTGCTTAAAAAATACATAAGTTGTTTTCAAACACATTAAGTATGAAACAGCTACTATAAAATTTCATACAGAAGAATTTAAGTAAATCTAAATCAGATTACAAAAATAAACCTTAACAAATTACGTCAAGATTAATAAAACTAATAATCATACTTACTCTTAACCCCCCCCAAAAAAAACTCCATTAAATCTCTTACAAAACAGTTCTCAGTTGAAATTTCATGATTTAAAAAAATAATTTAGTTCAATATAAATTATTCTAAACTTACAATCAGTCATTTCACATTATCTGTACAAGAATGACAATCTTTGTGAAATTTTTTTCAAAATATCTTGTTACTATAAAGGATAATTTTGACAATAGAACTGGTGCAAGGATCTGCTCAGGGCTGGACCAATATTCCTAGAAAATAATTAATATTTAATTTGCACTGCAGAAATCAGACTTTAATACAGAGGGTGATTACAAATTTTTAGAAAATTTTGATAAATAATTAAACAAAATAAATAAATAAATAAATAAATAAACAAATGTTTCAAAAACAAAATTTTTTCAAAAAAAAAAGGGGGAGGAATACATGGGATCAAAATTTTTAAGTGCAAAATAAGTAACATTATTAATTAGAAAGCAAAAGCTTCAGTCACTACTTCTAAACGGAAAAAAGACTTCAAACAAATATATGAGAAAAATCCTATGATGCAAAAATCAACTGTAAAGTCTTAAAATATATCTGTAACAATAATAAATAAAATAATAAACCAAGATTTACAACTTAAAAAACTAAAAAGCATAATGTTCACTGGCTTTTGCTGAGACATGTGGCTCAATGCAGAACCATTTGTATTACAATTTGTGTGCAACCCTACAAGAAAACTATTTACCAGGAGATAAAAAAGAAATATAGAGTGATCCTTGATGGAGCATGGGTTTACTTAAATAACTGTAAAAAAAAAGTCTATTATCTATCAAAACCGAAGAGAAAAAATGTATAAATCTGATTCCATGAATGCATAGAAAGTTTTAGTGAGGAGTTATGATTGTCAAAGGATTCTCTTACAGTGGAAAATTAAAAATAAAATGATAGGAAAAAAATCAATGTACTATCAAGAGAAAATTTTACATCCGATATTTACAGAAGAAATTCCATTTTTTTATCCCACTGACTTTCAAACCATATACATATTTATACATATATTTGAAGATGTATCCATCTGTATGTGAACCTTTTGAACTGTTACCTATTGATACTGTTGATGATTTAAATTATTATAATTCTACTAAAAAGTACATTCACATTATTATAGATCATGCTACTCATTATATAACCATAACTATTGATACTTATACAAATTGTTTAAAATAAATATTTCAAATTCAAGTCCCAAAGAAAATTTTAAATGACAGAAATGCTGCTTTTATTTCTTCAAATTTTAAGCATTTTTTGAGAAATAACAATATTACACATTTATTAACTACTGCTATCAGACCACAAACTAAAATAGAAAGAGTTAATCAAGCTAATGTAAGTAGACTAAAATGTAAATTAAATTCTTATCGGGGTAATACTGCATGGATAAAATTATTCCTCCAAATTACCGAAGAGATATAAAATTATACACCACATTCTACAGTAAAATTCCCACCATCTTACTTAAATTAAAAATCTGATATGTACACCACGACTTCCTTGTATGGAATATTAAATTATATGCAGTTTTCCCACATTTTATTTTAACATACTGAATTAAAAGTTAACGAATTTTGAATTAAATCTACTTTGTTGATAGCACTTAGACCACAATAGATAAATGCACTCTTTTAAAGTTCACTATATTTATTTACCATAGCAACACTTCGGCACTACGTTCACTTAACAGCATTAACATTTATTTTAAAACTCAGAGTGCACAAAAATTATATCATCTGAAGAATTACCATAAGTTCCTATTCAAATACTATAATAAATCTAAAACAATATATGAAAGAAATAAAATAAATATTAAAAAAACTTTTTCGCAGAAGATTCAGGGCCACTTACCTAATGCACATGCGCTACCAATTAATTCAGTTCTCACTTTGCGGCAAGGCAAAAATACATAAAATTCAAAATATTTTCATTAAAATTTTACAGCTATAGAAAAACGTAAAACACCAAATACAGTTAAAACAATTTTTACAATTAAAGTTACAGTTTCTATATAAAAATAAGCTAATAACTTAAATGTTAATTCCATAATGAGTTAAGCATATTTTAATTCGCAATAATAAAAGAAGACGTTACTTTGTTGTTGGGAAGCTTAGTTTCTCTAGAGTGGCAACAAATCCACTGTTCTGGTAAATTGTAAATATAAGCAAACATGGATGGCATACTAATCAGAAATTAAGCTTAGTCGCACTTAAAAATTTTAACTTTTAAATTGTTGATAATTCCACAATTATTGTTTTGTAGGTTAACTAAAGGTATAAAAACCTTAACCAGAAGATAAGAACAACATTAATTCAAATCATTTTAAAGCAAAAATGCACAATTTACAAATATATAAGAATAAGTAATGAGATCACTGAGCCGAGTAACAAAGTGGATATAAATATATATATTTATATACATTTTTAGACCAAAAAAAAAAAAACGACGCACCACGACAGACACCGAGAAGATATAAAACAAATTGGACACAAATTGATATGCAGACAGGCTTTGATGGAAAATGCAAAATTTTACATTTTGGCTGCTAATGAATGAACGGTTGTCGCTACAGCGCATCTGATCTGCGCAGCTGGCAGAATATTTAAGAGGAGAAATTACAATTCCAGGTCATAAATTCTTCACGAATTTCATTCCGTGTACTCTGGTAGACAGTAACTATGCCTCGCATACAGGTGTGCGAACAATATGCGCAGATGTCAGAATTTGAGAAAGGTCGTGTAGTTGGGCTCAAAGGAGCTGATTGGTCTTATCGGCGAATAGCTCGACATTTGAGCAGAAGCGATGCCACTATTAGACGATGTTGGCAGGAATGGGTGAACCATGGCCGCACACAACATCAAGAAGGAAGTGGTAGGTCTAGAGAAACGACAGAATGTGAAGACAGCAATCGTCAGAGTGGCACTCACAGCCTCAGATGCATCATTACCATCGATTGTATGTGCAACTAGTGCTTCAGTGACTGCAAGAACCATTCATAGACAGCTCACAGAAAGGAGGCTGAGGTCACAATGCCCCTTGTGCCGACTACCATTGACCTCTGTACAACGTCAAGCCCATTTGCAGTGGTGTCGGGCTCATTTGCACTGGAATGTCACTGACTGGAGCAGAATAGTCTTCAGTGATCAGTCCCACTTTGAACTGAGCCCTGATGACCAGCGAAAGTGAGTCTGGAGATGCCCCGGACAGCGGTGTGATACCAACATGACTTTCTTCTGGCAGACAGGTCCACAATCAGGAGTGATGGTCTGGGGTGCCATTTCATTTCATAGTAGGACCCCTTTGGTTGTCATCCGTCACAACCTTTACAGCACAGCGGTACGTCGACAAAGTTCTAAGGCCTGTTTTGTTGTCCTTCACGTCATGCCACCCTGGGCTTACATTTCAGCAAGGTAATGCCCGCCCCCACACTACACATGTTTCTACTGCTAGCCTTAGTGCTGGCTGAATATTACCTTGGCCAGCAAGGTCGCCAGATCTCTCTCTTATTGAACACTTTTGGAGCATTATGGGAAGGGCTCTCCGACCAGCTCGGATGTTGACGATCTAATGTGCCAGTTGGACAGAATTTGGCAGGACATCCACAACCTCTAGCAATCGATGCCAATGCCAAGCCGAATAACTGCTTCCATAAGGACCAGAGGTGAACAAACGCGTTACTGACTTTTTCACTTTGTGAAGCTCTATCACTTCAATAAATCATCCAATTTTTCTCAAACTATAATCATTTGTTTTTCTGTTCATGTACATCACTTCTACCGATTTTCGTCCCATTTGGATGGTGAGTCTTTTTTTATTTTTATTTTTATTTTTTCTTCTGTCTAAGAGTGTACTTTTGGTACGGCTGATTGCAACCAAAATACGAGGTGCACATCTACATGTTATAGCAGTCCTATATACAAAATTTCAACGTTCTGAGGCTACTCACTTTTGAGTTATGCGAGATACATACGTAAGTCCTATATACAAAATTTCAACGTTCTGAGGCTACTCATTTTTGAGTTATGCAAGATACATACGTATGTACGCACAGATGCCATGAAAACTGCTCTTTAGAATTCATTTTAAATTAGTTTTACTTTTTTTTTTTTTTTTTTTTTTTTTGGGCGGGGGAAGAGTCCTTTATTCTGTCCTTACGAACAGATGTCAAGCAAAAACATCATTAAATTGCATTCGATAGCGGTGAATATGGATATTTGCATTGAAATATGATGGCTGAAACTTTTCGCGAATTACAATACTTCCTTCATACAAGGAAGTAAAAATGGAATGGAACTTAAATGGAAAATTACCTTATAATCCTTTATTTGAAAATCAAGATTTGTACCCACCAATTGAAGAAGCTAGTAAAATTGCTCAACAAAGGTCTGATGATGATCATAATGTAAACAATGCAAGTAAAGTAAAAAGCAAGTAATTTTGAACTTGGTAAAGAACAGAAAGCTTTCACCTTCATTTTTAGACCCTTATAAAATTTTAAAAAATTATTCTGAAATTTACTTTGTAATAGCATAGTAGTTTTACCAAATTCCCTTACTAAAAAGAAATCAGAAATTGTCTATTCTAACAGGCTCAGAGCTTTTTAATCCAGCAAGTGGATTTATACAGAAATAGTAGAATAGCTGTTGCTATTCAAAATGATGTCAATTTTATTTCCCAAATTAGGCATAAAAATTTCTTAACAATTTTTTTAATCGAATTGTTACTTTATAACCTGATAAAGAAATTAAACTCTAATTACGACTATTTATTTCCAAATTTCCCCTTCTCTCAGTATGGCTCCTTCGCTGTCTTACCCTTTTCTTCTGCACAGAGATTTTCCGTTCAAAATTTGTTGCATACGTCCTCCTAAGGCCAGAGGTAAGCAGAGGAAAAACTCTAAACTTCCACATTTTGCAATCTGGATATCATACCAAATTTTAAAAGACTGCATGTTATCTTGCTATAATTTGACCTGATATTTTACACTCTTTATATCCTCTCCTTTGGGAGTATACTGTGATACCACATACCTACTGTCCTCCTAGAGTACTCCTAATCCCAATCCCCAAATTAACTTATTATTTTTTTATTTGTCAATTTTATTTCCCAAATTAGATTATTTTTTTTATTTAGGAGAGTCAGCTAGTCATGACAGACTAGCAAGCATTTTTTTTTTTTTTTTTTTAATAATTACATTCCTCTGACCATTCAATAATTACATTTCAGCATACACAACACACATATTTAACTTATTTTTTATTATTATTGCAGGATAATGTTAGATTCTGTTTACTAAATTTCTATGACATAACTTGAGGATACAAATTATTGGCCGTAACTTTGTATTACAAGTATGTAACATAAAAGAATTTTTATAGCCATAATGGTACTGTTCCGTTAGAGTGGTGTCGGTTAAAAATACACTGCATTTTGTTTGACACCAATTTAAAAATTATGAAATAATAATAGAGTTCAAAAGATTTTAAAAAATAATTCTGTAAAAGTAAACTTTTTACAATTTCTTAATCCCTAAAGAAAGTAAATTTTAAAAAAAAATGTTTAATCTACAATATTCTACACATAAATGAAAAATAACAAAACAAAATGAAATTCAATCTAAATAGGTGGCATAAAATTACAAATATCATTCAATATTGCATTAAAAAAACTTCAATTTTTTAATATAATCGACACCACATAAATTCTATGAAATATGACTCTAAATAGTTCCTAGCAGTGCTCAGCTGATGTTTATTTCTCAATTTAGCACTGCCCTACAATCCTTTCATAGTTAGGATATGGCATAATTATAATTTTTTCAGGGTCTAGAATAAATTATGATTCAAAGTAAAATGCTTATGCTGGAAAAGATATAAGAAAGAGGAATTAAGAATCCCAGCATTTCTTAATTCCTCTTTCTTATATCCTTTCCAGCAATCTGAAAATATAATGCTGCCATCCATAATGTTTTCCTGAATAGCAGTCATCAATATCGTAGCACAATGATTGGGAATGGTGACTAGAAAACATTGATTTCCTGGCATAAACCCCATTGTCCCCTTAAGAACACGTCCAACGTTGTTTTTTTCTTTTTGTGAAAAGACTAATAGAAGAAGCTATTACAATAGTAAAAAGTAGCTAATCCAATCTATTGTCGTATTATGTCCGATTCCTAACTGAAGTTAGCAAAATTCAGTCGACAATTGAATCCTTTTTTTTTTTTTTTTTTTTTTTTTTTCACAGCAAGAACGTACATAACAACGCCATATAGGAGCTATTGTTTGAGTTAAAAGTTAACTTCATTGGATGATTTTAAAAACGAAGTCTATTGTTATGAATTATTCCTTTGTTCTGAAAAAATCTTATGACAGCCTCTTCATCATTAGGTAACTGTCAAAATGTGTAATCCATCATACTAAGAAAATGGCGAAATATGGCAAAAAAATAGCGAGAGATGATATTTCGAACGTTAAATTCTCGAGCCACAATATTTCTTGTGTTGTTGTAGAATTGTTTTTTCCCCTCATTTTTTCTCCATTTTTAACTGATGACGCTCTAATACAACAATACTGCCATAACACAAACTTGAAACTTTATCATACAAACCACATACATTTTATAAGGAACACAGGTTTTTATGTGTTTAATTGTATTTAAGCATTCCATAGTCATCAGCAGTTAGTTACATTGATTCACTTGTAGAGTACCTGCCATTTTTTGTGAAAATTTATTATTACATTGTTTTTGTTTGTTTTATATATTAAGTACTGTACTGCTCTACAATAACAAAATCTGAATTTGTTTCATACCTCAAGTATTCTGAATTTGTTTATATGTTAAGTATTACATCTATGTTATATTATCTAATATATAGATATAAAATAAAATTTTATGTCTATATATTAGAAACATTTTGTTTTCATACTGATTATAATGCATACTTTTACGAGATTTTCAACTGTAAAATTCATTTCTCAAGATTTTTTGCAAGAACTCAGTCTTTGTAATATTTTCAATGGTTGATACTCTAAATTCAGGACATCTGGAGAAAATGTTTCAACAATATTTCAAGAACATTACAAACTTATGTTTTAGAAACTTTCAAATTGAACTTGAATTACATTTCCTATCTGTATAATATTTTGCTATAATATTTCTAAATTATATTTCTGTATGTTGTTGTTCTGCATTCAAATATGAGAAAATTCATGAAATAAATGACGGGGCATGGTAAAACCTAAATGCTTTGTCCCTGAAGCACTTTATTTGCTTTTGCATTGCAACTGTAAATGCTGCAAATATTCTACAAAATTTCAATTTTCTTTTATAACACTAATGCTTTCTTCTCAAAAGTTTTTATGTTGTCAAGCCTTTTTCTCTTTAAAGAGAGAGAATATGTACCCAAGTTTCGAACCCAGATGAACAGGTTGGCTGATTGATCGCTTTTCCGTATATATAATGTGAATTTCCCTTAGTTCCAGTTTCCCTTAGAAAGTCCTCCATAAAGGCATTCCCCACTTTCAGGCAAAGAGCCACTGCATGTTTTGCACTATTCAAATAACCTAATAATCAAACTTATGTAGATGCAAAACTTCTAGCCCCAACACAAGATTTCTAATTTATTTTGACACTTTAATCATTGCAGATTAAGTTCTAAACATATATACACAACTGCAAAACCTTTTAGTCTACACAAGATTCCCAATTTATTTTGACACAAACAATAAAAGTAAAAATTGTTTCCTCACATAATATATAATAATTGAACATTTTCTTAACATCTGCGTTAAGAACACTAAACATCTGACTTACTATGTATTCAATATTTAAGCATTTTGCAGCAATTTGGTGCTGTGCTATTGTTTTGACTCAGCATTAAGGAAATATTTAGAATCATTTTCATTCACTTACTTTTTAGAAGCTCCAAATTTTATACAAGAGACCATCTGGATTTTCTCTTCTTCTGTTCTGCATTTGTCATATGCTTCAAGAAATCTAAAATAGATAAGCTTTATTTCATAAATTTAATTTTAAACACAAGGTACATTATGCAAAAAGAAATTGTCAACAATAAATAGCTAGAAAATATTAAAAGATTCCACTGAGTAATTCTTGAGCACGATCATAAATTCCAAACTTACTTGATTATGAAGACAAGTATGAACTAAAACTCTAATTGATCTATTAATTTACATACCATATGAGATAATCCATTATACCCATATTATCTTTGTATATTAAGGAAGTTTAGTGTTGATGTCTTAATTAGAAACTTTTTCACATGGATGTTTATTGCCATTTTATAATTTGTTATTATTATATGAAGCTTTAATATAATCTCTACATTGTTATAATTTTTATTTGCACAAATTTCTATCTCACTCTCTCATTGATATTCATATCCAAAATTTGCTAGAAAAAATCAAAATTCACAAAAATTTACTCATTAAAATACCAATAAAAATGACAAATGAATAACATAAAAATATTACCAGTAAAACAATAATACTTGCATTATTTTATGATAAACATATACAGTAAAAATCATACTTTAATAATAATTATTTCACACGTGTATGTAAAAAAAAGTGCATTTAAAAAAATTCTTAAGGTCTTTCAAATATCAAAAGGTTTACTCTAATTTAGCTATGACCCAGGATATATATATATATGTGTGTGTGTTTATGATGATGTAGATGCTGATAAAAATGAATATGTTAATTATAAGCAATCATGGAAGCCTGAATACTTTTTATTGGGACATTTTTAACTTATGCACAGTAAATATGTCACAAAAATCATGCCTTTACTTGAATAGCAACATTTGTATTGTTATATTTTTGTAATTAATATCGACAGAGGAAACCAATGCAAACACCAAGCTGATAATACATAAAGAAGAAAAAAAAATGCAAACTTTCCAAATGAAAGTTTAAGACCGACTGAATTATGTTTCTGCTTCATTTTGATTGGTGTTTTGAATTTCAGTTTGCAAAATTTAAAATTATTATTAGCTAAAATGTTATGCAAGTGTCTTTATTATATAAGAATCCTATTAAAAGGATTAATTTTGAAATGACACAGCTTACAGAGATTTATTATAAGTAGCTAATATTTTTAGGATGCAAACAGAAAATAACTAAATTAAAATAGAGAGTTGAGGGACTATTGCAAACTAAAATTTTGCTTCACATATTATTTTTATCTTGCATACTCATATACTTATATATATATATATTGCATAAAGGATATAACTTTTTTATATATTGTAATGTGTCTTAATGCTAACAGATGAAGTTTGTCACCTTTTCTTTAATAGCCTAACAGCATTCCAATTACTGGATCATCAACTTCATGCCCTTTAACTTGCACAATGAAGATTTTGTGATTAATTTGGATTGGATTATTTAATTATATCACTACACAGTTTGAGCTAACTGATAATGGGAAGGAATACCTTCTTGGAAGATTTTAAAGGAAAACTGGCTCAGATTTACATTACGCAAAACCTCAAGCCAGTCCATTTGACAACCAGAAACAAAAGCTGGGGTGAATAACCAACATTTTATTACTTTTACCATAAAAGGCACTCAACCATGATGCTTAATATGCTTAAACGTTTTTCATTATTATTTTTAAAGCTTTACTTTCTTAAAAAAGGGGGGGGGGAATTTTAAACTGTGTGACCAATCTTTTCCCATCTGACTATTCAGTTCTCCTGGCACACAGCCATTTTAAGAGCCATGTCATGCATAAATATTGATAAAGTTAGGATGAAATTCTCACTGACACAATATTTCTTTACTTTAAATTTTTACAATCTCACATGTATTACATTGATTGCAATGTGATAAAATCTTGAAACAAAGCTACGCATCATTACATTTCTGGTTTAAGTATAAATCTTACTTCAATGATAATGAAGAAGAAAGGTGCAGCTGTTTTTCATATACTAAAACATCTAGTATATAAAATATGAGGTATTGGAATAAAAAACTTATTAAATGTGAGTATAAATGGGTAACTAACAGGTGAAATGATAAAAACAACTTCAACTTTTATAGTATGTGATGATAATAATAGTTCAACTCAATTACTTTTCAATTCTAGGAAGCAGAAGAATCAAAATTATTTGCCTCCAACAAACATAAATTTCCTTGATGTGTAATCTCAAGAGATCCATGAATGTAACCAGATACAGTGTCAAGGATTCATGAAGAATCTTTTTATACAAGAACTAGCTTGGAATTTAATCTTAGAATATTTTTAACACACTGTCATGGCCAGACTTACAAAAAGGAAAAAATAATGGCAAATAAGCTAATTTTTTTCAAGATACCCTATGAGTTTGTTACACATTTGTTTTACTTACAGCATAAATTTGGTCACTAGTAATGAAATTAAATAAATTATCAGTAATGATACTAAATTTCTTTGATATTTGTTAACTTTATTTTTCTGAATATGTGAAAGGCTGACAAATTCTAATGGTCTGTTAACCATAGTTATGTATACTTAAGCGTGAATCCACTACATAAAGCCAGATGTGACGTGAGACTGAATGCATTAAGTGTCAAAGCCATCGCTTTCTACAGTATACTACATCTGAGCTAAAGAATGTAAAACTGCTTCATAATCAACTAGTATTACTTTGCAGTATTCAGACAAATAAATGATGATACATGTGTTGGGAAGATAGAATACTTGACGGGAAAGAACTAATATTGGCTTGGCAGACATTAAATCTGTAAAAATACAGAACATGTTCACACATTTTTGGAATGATTTTCATAAAGAATTATTTATTAAAAAAAGCAAATGTTTTGGGATATAAATTTCTGGAAATACATTATTATTTGAAATGGGAAGTATTGTGGGCTAGTTTAAAATTATTCTTTTTCAAAATGTCAAAAGTTAACAAGCTGCGGATTGAAGGATATGTTTTTGAACTTTCCAAAAAGAAATGTTCCTATTCCATAATCAAAACAAGTTGTGCAGTGCATGGTATTAAAATTTCTAGAGCAGAATAAACAATATTATTAATCAGGAAGAGAAAAATGGTTAATCATTGCCTCTACATGGAAAAAAGACTCAATGAAAAAAATGTACACTCTGTTTCTAATGTTTCTAAAGTTAAATAATTGGTAACAAGAGAAAAACTCGCCAATACACAAATCAAGCAATGCAGTTAAGTATATCTGTAGCAACAATAAATAAAATAAGAAACCAAGATTTACAACTTAAGGAAGCTAAAAAACACAATACAGTCAAAAGTCGTTAATCCGGACTCGTCGGACTTCGCGATTCCGGATTATAGATCATCAGTTTTAAATCTCGTAAGATGGCATGCAGAAATAAAATAAAAATAGAAACGTAATTTAGAAAAAAGAACAATTATGATCTAAAGGGTATCAAAATTTACAAAAAAAAAAAAAGCTTAATATTTATTTGTTTACTTTATAAACATTTCTTTCAAAAGTTGTTTAAGTTGCTTCGTTTTATGTGAAATACTTCTCTTTATTATAAAATAGACATAATTTTTGTTCTGCTACAAAGTTCCGTTCCAAGTCCCGTTAATGCTGTGCCGAGAATACCGACTAAACTGGTCATCGAAATTTTTTCGTTTCACTAATTCTCTGTAACATTTTCATGTTGACATCGAAACATACTTCGTTGAGATCCTTTGGAAGTTCAAGCATCGGAAATCTATTTGACAAAATCGAAAGTTCAAGTTACTTTTACAAAATTGTCTTACAGTCTGCAAAAAATAATAAGGGGATCCAATTCGAAGATTAAGGAACAATGCAATCATTAACATTAACTGAATAGATAATTAGATAATTTTAGCTTACACCGTCGTTATACATTAAACGCAAGCGAAAATGTATTCTGCACTTGCGCACAAGATATGCGCAGTATCAAGGTCTTACGCGCATGCGTAAAACCCTGTGCGTATGTGCCAACGCGGCGCATGCGCAGAAAGTTTTAGCTTGAGGTCCGGAATAGATCATTCCGGATTATGGGTGTCAGAATTAACGACTTTTGACTGTAAATATAAAGTCAGCTTTTGCCAAGGCAAATTGCATAATACAGAACAATTTCTAGAAACCTGTATGAAAACTATTCAGCAGGAGATAAATGGAATTACATTGTAACCCTTGATGAAGCACAGGTTTACCTAACTGACAGCAATAAAAAAAAAATTAAAAAAAAAAGTCTATTTATTATCAAAAACTAAGAGAAAAAAAAATTGTATAAACCGTTAATGCAAATAAAGTTTCAGTAACGAGTTTATGATTCTTGCAGGATTTTCTTATAATAGGATAGTAAAAATAAGGAAAAATATTAAAATATACTCAGTATACTATAAAAAGAAAGTATTGTGTCCAATATTTATAGAAGAATTTCCATTTCTTTATCCCAACAACTTTCATAAAGTGAAACTTCATCAAAACAAAGCAGCTAGTCATAGTCTGAAAAGCACCACTGCATTCTTTGAAAAAATAAAGACTGATGCAAGTATTGTGCAGATACAGTTACAACATATTCCTGTGAAGTCCTCCGGCATTTTACCTATGGTCTATTTTCCCTTGGTCTCTTGAAAAGAGCTCTTTCTAAGCACAAACCCATCATTATTGATGGACTTCAGAAAGCAAGAGAAGAGGAATAAAAACCAGTACTCCAGGAAATTTTACAACACACACACACACACACAAAAAAAAAAAAAAAAAAAAAAAGCACCTCTATTATGGAAATCATGCTGTAGACTTACAATTCAGAAAAAAGGCTATCAGATCGAACATTTAAACAAATAATCTTTGCATTTTAAACATTAATTAAACAGCCTCGAAATCATTCTAAAAATGTATAAACATTGCTGTCAGATATAAATTCTATTGAAGCTCAACAACTATAGCTTCTAGTTTGAGATTTCATAAATAAATAATAATTGCGCATGTTTATGATTTATATATTCCTTGTGAGATATGGATTAATTCTGCAAGATAATACTAACACAAAACACATAATTTATCGTACATAAACAATCTGTTTGACAAACATTCAAGAAACTTTCATATTTCTTCAGTCCTCACACTTTTCAAATCTGAAACACATACAACTAGTATCATTAAGTTAAATAAATATTGTGGAAAACTTTAAGTTGGCTCTCGTCAGGTTAAAATCATGGATTACCATTTAACACACCATGTGCAAAACGACAACTTATGCAGCCTCTATTTTTGCAATTTTTTATCATAAATACATACTCTTAGTTACAAAAAGCTTTAAATGACAAAAATATTATTTTTTTTTTTCAGCTTTAAATTTTAAAAATCAATCATTTAAAAACCATGAAATCTAACTTTTTATATGGTGCGCTGGTCCCTGTAGTTATACTTAGTAAAAGTTAATACTCCTTTTAAAACATAAAAAGCTTGACTTGCATATGATAAAAATTGATCAAAATATTTAACATCTGAGGCTTTTGTAGATTATACTGTACCAGAAAAACAAATTTATCACCTTTCTTGAGAGATTAAGTTTTCAAATGCTAAAATACAACAATAATATTCACATGTAGTTTTATTACTATAGAAACATAACCTAATTGTCATACAAAAAAATTCGTTACACCAGAAATATTTTTCATACTTGATTTAAGCAAATAATGCTACAAGTTAGTCTTTTTACTATTTTCTAAAACATGAATTTTATAAGAATATATGAATAAGAACTTGAAAAAATATGAATTGATAAAAATTTTTCACAGCAGTCTCCATAGCAATGCTTATCATTCCATGGCCTGTTAACTACAGAAAAATTTTATTACACTTGTATTTCATTTTTAGATAGATACAAATTTATATATCTCCCTCTTCAGTCTGTACTACACTTGACTTTTCAGGAAGTCATATCTGAAACTTTAAATTAAAATAGCTCAATCAGTTTTTAACATACAGGAGTCAAATCACTTGTTTTATTTCTTCCATCAAGTATAAACAATAAATATAACTATAGCAATCACATAAAAAATTCAATTTTAAAATGCTAAAACATGACTATTTGCATCATTTTTTAAATATTTTTGTACATATCTAATCAAACAAAAGCAAGGACAAAAATATAGGGCTGCAGCTTTTATGGGCAAAAATTAATATACTAACACACCATTTCCAGAAATTTGTTAACTATACGCCATACTAAGTAACCAATACTGGGACAGATTGTGATCAAAAGGAACAGCAACATAACATTTGGCATTTCTCTTCAAAATTTCTGAATAAAAATTTCAAATAATATTTTTCTGTTAATAAATAAGTACTGAAAGAAAATGGCAATTTACTCAATACGCATACCTTTTTACAGTTCTTAAAAAAGAAAATCAGTAAATCTTACTTTGTAGGTGTTTCAAAGTGTGACACAATAGCAGCTGCTCGATCAACTGATAGCCCAAAAAATTGTAATAACTGTTTTGCAAACATTTCTTTGACTGTCAGAGTCTAAAATATAAATTTAAGAATTCTAAAACAATTTTATACAAATACAATATAAAATTCAAACAACTTCATGTAAATTTATTAATACATTTATTTATTACAATTTTACATACACACAGTACATCAAATCATTTTATCTCAAATACACCAGTGTAAAACATTAACTTTTATCACACATAATTCACAAAACAATACAAAAGTGTTAGTTCATATAAACATATTTGATAATCTCTTTTTAAATATGATACATTGATAAGTATATGTAAATAATACTGATAGCCCAAAAAATTGTAATAACTGCTGGCAAACATTTCTTTGACTGTCAGAATCTAAAATATGAATTTAAGAACTTTAAAACAATTTTATACATATGCAATATAAAATTAAAACAATTTCATGTAAATTTATTAATACATTTATTTATTACAATTTTACATACACACAGTATATCAAACATTTTATCTCAAATGCACCAATGTAAAATGTTTAACTTTTATCATGCATAATTTACAAAACAGGATGAAAATGTTAGTTCACATAAACATTTTTGATAATCTATTTTTAAATATGATGCGTGCATAAGTAGCTGTAAGGAAAATTAAATATAAATTATGATTTATATTATTTAATTTTTATCCCAAAACCTTTTTTAAAAATTCTTTATCAAAATCATTCTAAAAATTTTTGAACATGTCTTTCCATGATACATGTCTTGGAATGTGTCTTTCCAAGACATGTATCACCATCTGTTTGTTTGGATATTGCACAATAATACCAGTTGATCATGAAGCAGTTTTGACATTCTTCAGCTCAGATACAGCACACTACAGGAAGCTGAGGGCTTTGACAGTTGTATATTTGGGATATGTTATCTGGGGCAGTAATTAAATATTTTTATATTTAATTGCTGCTGCAGTAAATCACAGCTGGAATCATCATCTACTTTTAGCACACATCATCAAATTTGTAAAAATAAAATAAATTTATAAATTATAAAATAATTTATAAAAATAAAATAAATAAATTAAAATAAGGTATAGAAAACAAACATATCACATGAACTTATTGTGACCAATATGACACCAAAAAAGCAGAAACATTACACTAAATTTACTAGAAGATATATCATATGTAGAAAGAATAGGATTTCTAATTTTGTAATGAGTTTTTCACATATAATTACAAAACAGTATAAAATTTCAAGCAATATATAGCAAGTTCCATGGTTGTTGAATTTATATATATATATAAATGATACGATACAGAGAAATTATGAATAAAAACTAATATGAAAGTCATTCAAAAAAATTGTTAATAAAACTAGTTATCCAAAATAAAAGAAAACAAGTGTATTTTTTAATAATTGGCAGTCTCGTGAAAATAAACACATATCTGGATCATGGAAAATAAACACATATCTGGAAACACATATCTGGATTTATAGATACAATAATAAATAACCCAAGAGATATATCCATTAAATGTAAGAAGATATACATACTTTGAGCATGTAAATTAACTTATTTAAAAATTACTTAACTTAAACCACTATGGATAGCTCAACTCCTGGTCAGAATTACTTACATTATTCTACTCTACATTGATGTATTCAAATAGAAGAGGTCCCCATCCCCACACATTATTTACATGTCAAATGTTAAAATTAAATTTAGTTCAATCAGTTATATCTAGAAGCGGAAAAAAAAAAGGCATTAATTTTATTTACATTCCTCAAAAAAATAAGAAAAAACTATAAGGGACTGAAAAAAATGTGTAATTTTAATCAGCAGTTATCTGTCAATACTTGAGTTTAAAGGGAAAAGCTTTTTTTTTTAGTGAATGATTTTTGCAAATGCCATACACACATAGCTGCATTCATGAAATGGTTCTTATCATTTATAAAGCATGCAGGACATTCAGAATCATTAACTGCCCACCAGCATCTGAGCAGTAAAGTCACTGAACACTGGTAGTTTGTTCTGAGGTTCGAATCCCATGAATGGGCTGGCTGCATGGGTATTTTCGTGCTTTTCTCCATGTGAAAAGAGACAGTTTTTCTTAGAAAGTCCTCCGTGAAGGCATCTATCTCCTTAGGCAGATAGTTAATGTGCTTTGCTGTAATCTCAATAAACAAAATGGAAAAATAATAATTAAAAAAAATGGAATCATTAACCTACCTTATTTTTAACTGAAGAGCAATTAAATTCCTTAAATGTCATAAATGAATAAGATGAGCACTTTTTCTTTTGCATAGCTTCTTTTGGTGCTGAGACTAAAGTTTGATTCTAAAGTTAGAAGAGCAATTTGTTAATGAAAATAATTAATAAAAAAAAAAAAATCTGAAATTTTTCAGATTTTAAATTACGTCCAAAGGGGCGTTTTTTTAACGTTTTGAGTGTTACCTTTATTTATTATTAAATATCATGTTCTTTGCACTTAAACCATAAAATTCAGTTCAAGAGCAATATCGCAAAATAAATGTTAATTAAGCATATCTTTAGAATTTCCGATATACACAGTCTCGCGAGCTGGAGATAAAAGTATTTTTTTTCTATATAACGTTGCCATTTCTCGCTTTTAAAGCATTGAGTTTGTAAATCAAAAATTCAATAAAGTTTTACAAAATATAAAATCTATAATAAAACAAATTCCAAATTTGGGATTTCAGATGCCCATATTCGCAGTACGATTTCGTCATTCAAATTCGATGGCTCTATGTACCATTGTTTTATCACAATGCGAAGAAATAGACAATCATTTATGCAGATTTTTCATTATTAATATTTATTTCTTCAAATATAATGCAGGACTCTAACATTTTGTGGCAACAGTTTGAAAAGTGAAACCGACGTTTATAGGAGTCCGACGCAAAATCGCAAAACGAAAACAATAGTCCTTCAGGGACAAAGCCCCTTTGGAATAATAACAACTTTGTTAATGTTAAAATTAAAAATAAAAGAAAGAAAGCATGCAAATAAGTTTCATCACACTTTGACATTTGATTTCATATTTGCACTGCAATTTAACATAACTTTTAATAAAGGCATTATTATTTTAACTGTTTAATATTTGAGAGAAATTTAATTAATAACATGCAATTCATAAGCCAAAGGTAAATATTTGAACAATATAAATATATCAATTACAAATAACTGCCAGAGAATAAAAGAAATTCAGTTATATTACAATTTTAATAACTAGCAAAAACTGCAGTTATTACTATTTAGTAAAGAAAATTTTAAAAATATGATACTGAGTGACAAAAATAAAGTTTAGCCTTATGTTGATGACAGCATTAAAGAATAAAAAACAGGTGGCTAGTAGTCAAAACATTTTACATTTGAAAAGTCATTCAAAAATAAATATTTGAAGTTCAAATTTATAGCAATTTAAAAAATCAATTTCATAAATGCACTCCAATTAGTTTCTAAATCAAAATTTTAAACAATATATAGCATGTTCCATGGTTGTTGAATTTATATACAGTCAAAAATCTTTAATCTGGAATCGTCTCGACTTCTGCGATTCCGGGTTATAGATCGGTTTTTCTGGGTTATAGATCATCAATTTAAATCTGGTAAGATGGCATGCAGAAATTATAAAATTAAAAATATAAAACTGCAATTTATGAAATAAAGGGCAATTATGATCTAAAGGGTATCAAAATTTACCAAAAAAAAAGCTTAATATTTATTTGTTTAAAACATTTCTTTCAACGTGTGCATGCATAAAGCATACATTACGCATAGTCGAAATTAGAAAATTGAAACCAGAAAACTATTTGATGTGTATTTATAATATTTATAATGACGAGGAATTTGATTTAAATCATATCAAAGACTGAGTATATTGAGATAAAATACAGTAATAAAGTACGTACAGAAATACAGCAATAAAGTAAGGAATTATAAGCCGAATAAAATAAAAACATCTGCTCTGAAGATAAGGATAGTGCTGACAGATCAACTTACAGTTCATTGTGTGCTGCAATGTCCCCCCCCCCCCGCAGAGCAGCGTGAAATTGATAAACAGATTTTGGAATGGTTAGAGAAACAAAGGATATGCCTTTATCATTTTTCGCAGCAATTCCACTTTTTGTTTGATGGACATCGAAACATGTTTTCGCTTTGTAGATCCTTTGGCAGCTCCAGAATCGGAAATTCTTTTTGACAATCGAAAGCTCAAGCTTACTTTTATAAAATTGCTCTAACAGTCTGCAAAAAATAATAAGCCGGATCCAATTCGAAGATTAAGGAACAACGCAATCTGCAACATTAACTGAAATAGATAATTAGATAATTTTAGCCTAGCTTATACCATCCATTATACATTAAATGCACATGCGTAAACGTATTATGCGCATGCGTAAATGTATTATGCATTTATGCATGTGAAGAAAGTTTGTAGCTTTGAGGTCCGGATTATAGATCATTCCAGTTTATGGATGTCCGGATTAAAGAATTTTCACTGTATATATAAATGATATGATACAGAGAAACTATGAATAAAAACTAATATGTAAGTCATTCACAAAATTGTTAATAAAACTAGTTATCCAAAATAAAAGAAAGCAAGTGTATTTTTTTATAATTGGCAGTCTTGTGAAAATAAACATATGTCTGGATTCACTGCAAATGTAATGATAAATAAAATCAATATAAGACAATAAAGCTTCTTAACATAGTCAAAAAAAATACATACATAAATTGAAGTCAGACAGTATATGAAAGAACTTTACACTCTATTTAAGATACTTAATAATATATACAGTACAAAATCAACCTGATGTTCAAGCAACAATCATTTTACCACTTATTTTGTCATTTTGGTCTCAAATAAGTTCTATGTATGTAACTTTATATGTTCCCACATTCATCATTGCCTGAATGACTGTTTTGGCACACTTTGCAAATCACATTTCCAACATGCCATTTGGAATTTTTTTTTAAAAAAGTGAACTTTGAATTACCTTTCCTTCGGAGTATAAATCTAACAATACATTAATGCAGTAACACTTTGTGAATAGAAATCAGATGTATCCAGGTTATTAGCCTATTTAATGCTATTTAATTGCAAGTTGTCATAATTTTAATTCTATTGTTTATCCCTGTTTGTTTTCAATAGTTTTACAGTTAGTTTTCAATATAGGTCCCAAGACATATGGATGAAAAATCTGATCTGTACACTACATAACTTCCTTGTACAGAATATTAAATATGTATGCATTTTTTCCTGCATTGCATTTAAACTTATTGAACTAAATATACTCCGTTGATAGCACATAAACCACAACAGAATAAATGCACTCTTTAAAATTCACTATATTTATTTACCATAGTGACACTCTGGTGCTAGGTTCACTTAATAGCGTTGCATGTCATTCATTTTATAACTCAGAAAGCACAAAAACTATATCATCTGAAGAATTAACTAAACATTGCCACATGTTATATTCAAATACAATGCGATGTGTTGCTCATAAACATTCTCCTCTGTCCGAGACAGAATGGCGACAATATTTGCTGCTAATACAAAACACTTATTTCCTTGAATTTCATTAGAGATACATTTCTCATTCAATTAACTCAGTTATCACTTTGCGGCAAGGCAAAAATAATAAAAACTCAAAATACCTTCATTAAAAATTGAAAGATATGGAAAAGCATTTTTTCAATTAAAATTTGAGTTTCTGCACAAAAACAAAAAATTTGGCCAGCAAGAAAGGCAGATTTTTCGGTGCACAATACTAAAAGTTTCTTTTGGTCCCACTTGACAAAAAAAAAAAAAAAAAAAAAAAAAGACACTGAAGTTGCAGAGACTTAATTGACTATTCTGCTAAGTTTCAAACATAAACAAATATGGCTGCTATGGTTAAAAAAATTACGCTTAGCCGCACTTAAAACAACTTTTAAATTATTGATAATTCTAAAACTATTGCATGCAGATTAACGAAAGGCATAAAAACCTTAACCGGAAGATAAGAACAACATAATTCAATCAAAAAGCAAAAAATAAAGCAAAAAATGCGTAATTTACCAAAATATAAGAATAAAAAAACTGAGCTCATGGAGCCGAGTAACAAAATGGGTAGCCACATATATAAAGAAGACAGTTTGTGTGTTTGTCCTCTAATAACTCAGCCACTAGTATAGCTATCGTCACCAAACTTTCTACAATTCTTTTTTTTTGGGTCCTGGAAAAGGTCGACATACATTTTTTTCAAAAAAAATGTAGCTAAAATCAGAGATATTAATAAAAACTCGGAAAAGCGATAATTTTCACCCTCATTTTTTCACCTGGCAACAGTCTCGCAAGCTAGAGATGAAAATCTGCTTTATTTCGAAAGTTGTTGCCACTGCTCGCTTTCAAATCCTAGAGTTTGTTAATAAAAAATTTCTAAGTTTTAAGATGAAATACAAATAGCATTGCCAAACATTAAATACATTATTCCAGATTCCAAAAATTTGAGGGAAGCCATTTCGACTATTCCCATCTTTAATTAGCCAAAATATTAACTAAAAACATTGAAAGCACTAATTTTCGCACTCATTTTTCTAAGTGGCAACAGTCTCGTGTGTGAGATAAAAATGCTTTATTTTGAAAAGTGTTGCTACTGCTCACTTTCAAATCGTAAAGTTTGTTAATAAAAAATTTGTAAGTTTTATGAACTCTATACATATAAAGAAGAATGTCTGTTTGTGTGTTTGTTTGCGTTATTGATTTCTGATCAATTATAATTTTTTCCCGCATTTAATCAACTAAAATTGAATATAGGTGAAATACTGGATGGAACTCGAGCTTTTACGACCATTTGATTAGAAAGACGAAAATCATTAAAAACTGTGTGCCATTGTTGCTGATATAATGAGAGAGAATTAGCTTATTTTACTATCGATATTTTTTATGTGGATTCCATATCGCAGACTGAAAAATGTATGACTATGAATCATAATTTTTGCATTGTTATTAAAGAAGGATTACAGTGGTATCATTCTCTCCGTTTGTTAGATACATTACTCTCAATGTAGCTTAACTGGCATTGGGTACTTCTGCTAGTATATATATACATAAAGAAACTTAATGGAAAAATTAAAAGACAAAAATCAAAAGGATATTTTTTAAACCCATCCTGTGCTATAGCTGCAGTACTGAAGTAAAATAAACTTAAAGCATCTAAATTTAAAAGTAAATTGGAGTCAAAGCAAGGCAATACCTCAACAATGTTTCCAGGAGCTTCAAGGTACTATACATTAGGAATACACTTTGTTACCATAGGAACTCCTGGGCAATCTATTGCACAGCATGACAAATCACTGTAAACCTTACATTTCAGTTAAGAATGACCATATACATTATTTTCTATATATTGAAGGTAGGTCATGTATGGTTAAATAAAGATTTTATGCAAGTTTCATGTTTTTAGCTAAAATATCATTCCAGTTATGCTGTTCCTTTATATTTTTTTTCCCATGTGCTAATCATTTGCAGTATATAACTCATTTATAATATTTTGTAGTTTATCGACTAAATCATTTTCCCTACATTCATCATTTTGTCCCTCTATCATGATGGAAAAAGAATATAGACAAAGTTCCACTACATACATATATATTTAAAAGGGAAAAAATATGAATAATAATTACAGTGTAAAAATCTCAGCAATTTTAACAGATCATCAGAACTTTGAATCTGTACTTACATAATTACCTCAGTTGTGTTTTATCACAGAAACATTTAAAAAAAATACCTGATACTTATTTTTAATCAACTTGGTCATTACAGAAAGATATGCAACAGACTCTCGTATTCCCTGTGTTCTCTTCACGAAAAAGCCATCTATTATCTAAGATAAAAGAAAAAGACAGTATCTTACAAAATGTTCAGCTGTTATCTTTATATATTTGCATTCACATAATCATAATAAGAAGTATAACTGTTTTACAGTTATATCCCCTCTCTTAATCTTATCGTGATAGTAAAGACATCATATTTCGACAGATGTTGTTTGCACATTTTTTAAATGATTTTGCTTTGTTATAAAAAAAAATTGTCTGCTTAAAACAACAACTATAATTTTAAAAGTATAAATTACAGTCTGCTACTTGACAGTTTTATTTTCATGCAAAATGGCACTTTTAAAGAAGCAGTGGATGAAGGCTACGTTTGTGCTCTTTCCAAAGAAAATTATTCATATCCAATTATTAAAAAATGTTGTGAAAGCCATAGTTTTTTGATATCTCAAGCTGCAATAGGTAATACTGTCAACAAGAATGGAAAAAAATGTCAAAATTTGGCTTCAAATGGAAAAATTATTCCAAATAGCCAAAAAAAAAAAAAAAAAAAAAAAAAAAAAAAGAAGGTTTTGAATGCTAAGGTAAGATTTTTAATGTTAAAAGAAAATTTACTAATTCAAAGGACAGTCGCAAAATCATTAAAATGCTCAGTATCAATTGTAAACAAAATGATTAATGTTGATTTGAGTCTTAAAAAGGTGAAAAAACATAAAGGTGCATTGAACACGCTATAGAATTTTTTTATGGGTATCATATATCCCAAAAAAAATGGAAAAATATTGTCACCATAGATTTGGGTGTATTTAAATGACTGCAATAAAAATTTTATAATAACTAAAGAGATGGAAAAAAATCTGGTTCAAAGACATGGTTCAAAGAATCTAAAGAAATTTTTCAAAGGGAATTATGATTACTGCTGGTTTTTTCCATAACGGCAAATTTAAAATAAAGAGAGTGGAGAAAAATGTTAAGACCTACTCCATATATTATCAGGAACATATTTTAGACCCAATTTTCAAATATGAAACATCTCTTTAGAATAGAAGATAAACATGCCAATGTGACAATCAAAATCGCAATAACAACCTTGTATTTAGCGTACATATATTAAAACATCTTCTCTTTACCCACACTGTCATCAATCAGTAGAAATGCATCAAGACAAAGTAAGCAGCCACAGGTCAAAATCTACTCTTAATGTCTTTGGGGGAAAAATGGAACAAGAAATGGGAAACAAGGCCATATCCTTCACGCATATCTCTACTAAATCTCCTGATGTATCATTTATGGGTTTTTGTGCTTTTGGACTTAAAACGTGGAATGTCCAAATGTCAACCTACAACCCTACTTGGACTTTGAAAAGCTGTTCAAGAAGAATGGGATAAAATACCTTTTCTGATACTACAAAAGTTTTTTTTTTTTTTTTTTTTTTGTCTTGGACTTTATAACGTGTAGAAACATAGTAAAGAATAAAGGTTATCAAAGAGAACATTTGAAACAAAGTTTTTAGGTGAAATATTTCATAAAAATAAATAGCAACTTTAAGACAGCAATATTTCATTTAAATTCAAATCAGAAAATATTTTCAACAAATGAGGAGCGACTAATGTACAAGACAGTCAGGATATTTCAGAAATTCTATGCAATTACGAATACAACACTTTCAGTATTTATCACCATTCACAAACAGCAATTTTTACTGGCTTTACAACATGATTGTTAAGGAATTATTTGTGATAAAAGGCCCTGATTCAGAACAATACCTTTTGAATGGACTGGAATGATGGCTTCAATAATATAGGCTTTGCATAAGTAGAAACAACAGAAAACTGTTTATTTTGGAAGAATGATAACCAGTTACATTAGCAATATTGCAAAATTTGGTAGTTGAATTAAATAAAGCATCAGCCGTGACTACAATGAAAAGTGCCCTCGCATCGTGTTGGCATTACATCAGAAAAATGGACTCTGTCTTTTGCATAGCATATGATCATGACATCATTCACTTTTGTTGGTTGAAATGTTTTGCGCTTCCATATCTTCTGATCCAACATCACAGACAGTCATAAGTTTATGAAAAGAGGCTATAAACTTAATATCTGGCATCTGACAGGAAGCTGCTGTATTTCAGAGAAGAGTATTAGGCCATACCTCATTATAAATTCCCATCCATTGACCTATTTGGCTGAAAATGATGCAAAACTCATCCCTTTGAGTCCTACTTTAGTTCTCCAAAACATAAGAACATCCAGTGTTCTTGACATTGATGCCATAGATCACAAAACATTTGCAGCAGAATTGGAAGTAAATGATGGTTCTTATCTGATAGCATGATAGTTTCATTTCAAACACCTTGTTTTAATGATTCACAACACAGTGTTCTACAGGGTTCATAGCCACATTTTAGTTAAAAAAAATAAGCACCTATAAGCACTTTTCAAGCACATTTTAAGAAAAAAAATAAGCACCTGTCTAATTACATCATACACAACTGCATAACCTTAAAAATTAGACTTGTAATTTAAATATGAGAAATGCAGTATTTATTAAGAGAGAATAAGCATTACCTCAACCATGGAAAATAATTACTTTTTTTTTATTTATTTATTTTTTTTTATTTATTTTTATTTTAAATAACAGTTCAATTTACAGAACTAGTTTACAATGAGAGAAAAAAAAACTATTCAGAACTAAACTATATTACAGATTTAATGATGAAATTTCAGTTCAATATAGAGAAATAAATAAGGCATATTTATTGTATTCGCTTGGAACCTAATAATAAATACAATTTATTTTTCACTCATATTGATATTTAAATAATTTAAATCTAAATTCTGAACATTTTCTAAATTTTCATGTGTATATCAGTTTTTCCTTAACAGATATTGCAAAGCAAAGTAATTTAAATTAAAAAAGACGAACATTTCTGAAATCAGAAGACGGAAATTTGCGTCATGCAGTCATCCTTTAACAGTAAAAGCTTATCTACCCGCATACTTGAAAATTGGCGAATATTCGGACAGCGGAGCGTAACTTGAGAAAGAGGAGCGGAGGGGGATAGACTGTACCCGTTCTTTAGATTTTTCCGCTAATAAATGCTTTTGACATTTGATATGTGATCATATAAAACGGAACTAAAAATATTCTGCTAGCAAGCATAGTAAAACTCTTTTAAGTATTCATAAACAAATCTCAGACTGAACATCAAAATTAATTATCTCTGCAAAATATCGCAAACGTTATTGCGCAATATGTTGGGTTCGTAGACTGCACTTTTAGTCCTATTCAATCCAGATAGGAAAGTGACCAAAAAAAAAAAGTCCGTTGCTTCTTTTGCAACGAATATTCAAGACTTTGCGGATAAAGGGGAGAACCTCCCAACCTTTGTACTGTATAATGTATTGGCCAAAAAAATGAAATTATTTAACTATATGATTACTTTCCCTTTATTTTAAGCCATTCCGAATATTATTCCTTAGAAAGCATCTGTGTTAAAACACAACCATTTTGGAAGTTTACTATACTTCCAGCAGTTACTGCAACTATGTTATTATAAACATTCATACATATATCTAATATAAGCATAACGATCATAATAAACACAAATATGAACTGACCAAGCAGAACGAGAATGCAAATTTTTAAGATCTTGACAGAAATTCAAACGTGTATAGTATTTGGGTGGGAGGAAAAGAATACGGAATGTACCAGAATTTTATACTGCTTTCCCAATTCTTTGACTAATAGAAGGACGGGCACCTGTCTGTACTCTTCGTGCACACCAAAGGTTATGTTAATGCAGAGAAAGGGGGAGAAGCTGTTTCCGGGAGTATGATTCACCATCTGACATTCCATATTAGGAAGAAGAGTTGTTTATTTAGTTTTGGCTTTGGTACGGGAAAAAATAGAGCGTTCATTAAAAAAAAAAAAAAAAAAAAAAAACACTAAAAACAAAATAATAAGGGCTTTAAAGAAAAAGTAAGCACCTATAAGGGCCTTTATATTTTATTTTCAAATATAAGGACTTGTAAGCACTTATAAGCACACCTACGAACCCTGGTTCTAGAGCAAATCTCATTCTTTCAAGTGCGAAAAATCATTTGATAAAATATCATTAAGCCCACCAATGCAAACTGTTTGGGCAAAAGATATTTGCAGAGACAGGAAACTTTCGCTAAAGCCTAATATATTATTAAACCTCTCTTTGAGTATGACCCAAGTAAATGAGATGTTATCATGAAGTTAATCAGGTACGCCTTCCTCAGAATCGAATTCCAAGCTCTTCTATCCCTGGCTATGGACATCCAATTGGTTATTTTTAAAATTCTTAAGTCTGTTTCCAAACAGTCAAGCCACCTAAGTTTAGGTCTCCCTCCCTCTTTTTCAGGTGCCAAATGGTCTGGCCGAGATCTTTTTAGTTACTCGATTTTCATCTATTCTGCACAGGTGTCCTGCCCATTTAATTCTCTGAATCCTTATATATTTTACTGTATCTATTTCTTTAAAGCATTTATAGAGTTCAGAGTTAGTTCTTCTTCTCCAGATATTGTTACATTTTATGCCACCAAAAATACTTCTCAAAAGCTATAAAGTTTACATCCTTTATAAATCTACATCTTTAAAGAAGAAGCAAAGATAGGTGTGATGATACTTCTCATACTATGTTGTAGACTACTAATGAAATAGACGAAAATAATTATATGAGTCTCAATTCAAAAATAGAAAGTTTTATTCTTTTCACAGAATTTTTTTATTAAAAGTTGTAGAATTTTATGTTAATTAACCCAGTTATCATAGTACTTTTTTTTTATATTATCCCTTTCATCAACTCCCGCTAGGATACAAATTAATTAATGTATTTTAGTGCAAAGTTCTTGAGTTTGATGGTTATGACTAGACAGTTACTTTACTATGCTGTCTTGCTATTGGGTTGATTTATTGTCATTAGTTTCTTTCAAATATTTAGGGCCTAAGCCAAAGTTTATTTAGGTGCATGTTTTATAGTAATCCTCTTTTAATTTGATTTGAACAAATTGGTTTCAAATATCAGCTATTTGTTTTATTTCATTTTATGTTTGCAAAACTTTCAGAAATTATTAGACAGAGCACAAAATTCAAACATCATATGCAAATTTAAAATAGTCGGAAAGATTTACCTGTGTATTAACAATAGCTTGCTCCAATGTTGATTCTGGTAAACCACAGTGCTTAACACTAGAATGATTTTCCACTAAATACATGGGATGCTTCAAAGCACAGTTTTTCATTCGAAACTGCAAATAATAAGCAGAATGTAATAATAGATTGCCTTCACCAATTTAGTAAACAAAAGAAAATTTTGTATTAGAAAAGGAGAAACAAGTATATAAATTTTAAAACAATCAATATGCACAAATATCACTTGAAAAATAAGAAATTCTCATTTTAGAATTCATCCAGCATGTACTTCTTTGCTTTGTGGTATGATCCCAATTTATGACATACGGCAACATGGATTGAATTCAATCTGTTTCTTGCCAGTTATTAATGAAACTATTGCAGTATGTTATGTTATCCACAGCATAATTTAGAAAACCCTATTTAGCCAAACATACTATAACAAGTAGGAACTTTTTAAGCTGCTTTGATTAAAAAATATGAGGTTAAACAAATTGTCTTTTAGGCCTTGAAATTCCCATCCATCCCCATGGGGTACTGTACACTGACTTAAAAGCTTTAAGGATGCAAAATGAAGGCCAAATATAATCAGGAAGCAAGGCAGGCCCTGAGCATAGTATAATAAGCAAGCATTAGCCTCCAATAAGAAAAACATTCGAAAGCCAAGTTGGAGAGCTGGTGACAGTTCTGCAGCAACAAAATAGAGGTGCATGGTATCTTGTACAAAATTTTTTCAAACAAAGTGTTTAAACCACCACAACACCAACAATATGAACACACAGTGCACAACAATACGAGTTCCATAGAAGTGACAGTTACAACCATACTTGATGCAGTTTTCTATGAAATCCAGAGGAAGAAATGAAACTGAGTGAGGATACAGCCTACAGCCTGCCCACCACAACAGCTATCGATATGCCATTTATGAACAGACATTAATGTGGTAGTCTGTATATACCCCCCCCCAAAAAAAAACGCCCCAAAACCATATTCCCTAGATAACAGCATCATCAGATATCCACAAAGCAAGGTCTACCTCATCACTGCGACCTTCAGTCTTAGCAGGACTAAACCTGGTTTGCCACAGCGCAGCTATGGAGGCAGCTGTCACTAGGATTATGTTAATGAGATGCACAGAGCTTCACGGAGAATAACACTGTGACCTATCCCATTATAAGCAAAAAAGGATTACTTCTAAAAGTTCATCTTACACATCTCAGAGAAGGCATGTACACGCACATGACAATGCTGGACACAGGGTTCATACACATTTCTGCACAGGGTAAATTAAGTAATTGTAAGGACTTTTAAGGACCATTAATGAAAAAAAATTAAGGACCTATGAGCAAATGAGAACTGAAATTCAATTAAAAATATTATCTATGCCTGAACTTCACTTTTGTAATACCATCCTAAAAATAAAGTAGGATGCATTATTATTACACATAATTTAATTAACATAATAATTAATAAGTTTGAAAATAAAATGAACTTTATGAAATTTATCAAATAGCATTAAATGCTTTACACTTATAATAATTGCACATATTTGAAGGAAGATAAGTGACATTTCATTTACATTTCACTAACAGTTAGCTTTACGTTGATTTTTTTATGACTCATTTTGTCACATACTCAGTCTAGAGGCTTAGTAAATAGCAGGTAGATTTTTATGTCAAGCAACATAGGTTAAAATGAGAAGTAAAAATCATAATCAGAATGATTCATAACAAAAGACTGGCTGTTGTTATCACTGCTGCTGCTTGTCTAGAGAGAGATATGCTGATCAGAACAAACCGGAAAGGCCTGATGTAGGCACGGTTGGCAAGTTAATTGGGCTCTATTTGACGCAGTTAGCGTCGTAGCTTCATGCAGAATTTCAGTTCCAATAAGCCACTAAAGCACCAGAGATGATAAGGTTTTCGTATTATTTTAGGTCTCACTAGATGTGAAGAACAGGTTTTACATTAATTTTTACATGTTTGTATTTTATCTTCTGACTAAGGTAAGGATTAAAAAAGATGATAATTCGCTTTAATACACAATGATCATTTTTAATGGTTATAAATGATTAAATTAGGTACTTAGATAACCTTAGTCATTATGAATTTACATAACCACTATTAAATTTTATTTATTTTTCAACAATATTTGTTAAAAAAGCACTATTAAAATCACAATCTAATAAATTTCACAGTTTAAAATACATGTAATTTATGATATTAATTCTTAAACGATATTAGGATAATTACACATTAAAAGCTACAAAATATTTTATGTTTTGTAGCAACAGCACTCAACAAAACATTCATGTGTCTTTTTAATTTAAAACCTTCCCAGACATTTTGGGAATTCCCAGAATTTATATTGATTTCCTTCTCTTTAAGCATCTTTTCTAATAATTAGAAATTTGTCCCAATATACAAACCAATGTTCTCACTAGTTTCTGCCTGCTTTATCTCCTAATTTGTCAACATCACCACAGTGTACCTATGAGGGTTTACTTGGTCTGATAAAAGTTAAATAGTCCAATCCCCCCCCCGAACAGGCGTGAAGCAAATTATTGCTATGTCTGAAAGCAACTACAGAGTCAGACAAAGGTTTAAATAAAGGACTTAGAACATAAAGGCATGTTCTTATGCTAACAAAATCAATTACAGTTTGTGGTGATGTAATTAAACAAGAGTCAAATTCAAATTAAAAATGTGGACTAGTAGTCAAAGACTATATAATTTAATTTTAATTTAAACTGTCTCAGTAAATCCATCGTCATAACAAATTCACATGTCGAAAGAGATAATGATGAATAATTACAAATTATCAGACGTGACAGGAACTAACAAAACAAGCAAGCAAGCAGAGGTCAGAAACGCACTCTATCTTGCACTCTAAAAACCTCAGTTTAAAAACCATCTAAGTGATTTGCATTCTGATGAAAAAACAGGCATGGTAAATTATAGTAAAGGCTGAAATTATAAACAAATGGGTAATTTACATGTACATACATATCTTTGAAGACTATTTTTCTTTCTCTTCATGTGTTCAGTTTCTTTCTTCAACATGTTTTCTTTTCATTAAAGATTTCTGTTATTCTTATTTAAAAAAAAAAAAAAGAAACTAAATGCATTTAAAATATATAGAAAAAGCTGCTAATTTTTCTTTAGTAATATGAACATTCAGAAGAAATATGAAATGTATGTGGTAAGAGCTGGTTACAGAACTGGTGTGGCAGAATTTTTAGAATTTAGTGACACACCGAGAATACCGAGACCTTAGAATAAATTACATTATTAATTTAATGATGTAAGCTTCATAAGGAATAAATATGGCAAAATGACTGCTCATATTAATCAAAACACATGTATGTAAATATATTAGAAGGATATCCATTAATTTGAACATACAATATTGATTTGGAAATATAGAAATTAAAAATGCTGACTTTAGACTTCATGTAAATATGATTGCATATTTAAATTAAAAAAATAAAACTTTAAATGGGAGTTACAATTTTTAAAAAAAATTCTACTTGAAAATTAAAAATCAACTCACTTTTTGTTCCTTAAAACGTCCATCTTTGATACTCTTAGCAAGGTCATCTACTCGTTTTCTTTCAATGATGAAATCTAAAACAAGCTCTCTAGGATTACTGCAGTTTTCTCGAGCAACCCACAGAAAGTCTCCAACATGGAGCTTTCGTATTTCAAATTCTACACTATGCTTTTGGAGTTCAGTCACAAATAACTTCTTATTTTTGCCTTGACTAGGTAAAAAATTAGTATTTTAGCACTTTGCTCAGAAATGTTTTGTACTTTATTTTTAAAAAGTTCTGATTTAATTTTAATTTAACACAAACCAGAAATCCACACAAAAATATCAACAATGAGTGCTAAAAAAAGTAGAACAGCAAAATAATTTTGTTTGAAGAAAACTGAAAACAAAAGTTAGAGAATTAATTATATATATCACTTTTCTTCTTTGTTTTATTAATAATGGCATGTAAATAAATGCTGCAGTGAACATAGTTGTATACATTATATTGAATTAAAAAATATTTTGTAAAGCTTTACATAAAACCAGTGTTCTTCTCTTCAACATATAGCTTTGAATAACAATTGTTAAATTCCTAAATGATACTGATACACAAAAGCATTATGAAATTTCACTCATAATTGAGATTTTACGTTAATAATAAAAAACACATTACCATAATTCAAAAGCAAATCAATTATAAATATGTTTGATATTTTTTATATATCATTGGCAGTTATAAAATGCCAATAAAAAAATCACTTACTTAGAAGTTATTTTCTTTATATATTTTGTAAATAATGTATATTTTCACTTAAGATAATATCAAGAAATGAGAAATTTTTATTCATTCTTCAAAAGGGTGTTTTATTTTAAAACCTTACAATAAAGACATTTTTTTTAAGAATAAATGAAAAAAGTTAACTTATAAGATTATGTCATATTTTCTTAGTCTATAGCATTTTAGTCTTACTTTTTCAATGCTGACATTTCAATACTGCATTTCTACATATGCCAGAGCTTTTTCCAAATAATACATTTTATACAACTCAACCTGATACCTCTCTGGTGATGGATGTGGAACTTAACTTAGTTGTACCAAACGCATGGCTTAAGTCCTACCCCCTATAACCAGATTAAAACTTCTAAGTGGCATTACGAATTGTATGAAGAATGTGCACATAAAGAACAATTGAAGAAATGTAAAAAATATATTACAGCTGATGAATTCCAAAAAATTATAACAGATTTCAAACATACATTCCTTTAATTGACAAATTAATAGGTAATAGTACTTCAGCTACAGAAGTATTTAGAAATTTAAACAATTTTGAATTTAGAAAAAAGTGAAATATTTGTTTTTACTAATGTTAGAACAAATACATGATATACTGATCCTGAATGGATTCATAAGATTAAATTCTTGAAACAAATGAGAATTTCTATGAAATACATCAATGAGTAAAAGTCCAGTTTAGGAAACATTGAGTTCATTCAAGTGGGTTCTGCTACAGAAGGACCAAGTGGGAAGCAATGGACTGACTGAGACACTCACCATACCCACTGAAATAGAAAAAAAGGCTCATAGATTTGATTAGTGGACTTTCATAAACTCTTTGATTGTGATTCAGGTGGAAAAGTGTAATAAAGCAAAAATTCCTGTATCAGACATACGAGCAGTTATTCTGAAACAATGAAAAGAAACCTAGGCATTCAAGTCTCTAGTAATAATGTAGAATTCCTTTCTTTGTTTTCCAAGAAATATTGTGCCTGTTGAAAGAATGTTTTCTATTATAACCAGCATATAATCAAAGGGAAAATTTAGATTCTAGATTTTGATGAATAAAGCTATGCTACATACGAGAACAAAAATTGGTTCATGGGATGCAACAATTTTTTATGATGAGAAGTTGAAAGATTAAAATCTGCTCTATTAAATAATTTCATCATATAAATGTTCATGATAAAATTTTACTGGTATATTGTCCATCACTTGCAAGATGTGCTTGCAATTTCATATAGGTAATATTACTGAAGAATGATGGCAAGCTCAACATGTCTGTGCTGTAAAATTTTGTCTACAGCTTAGTTATGACCAACTCTAGCTTACTTGTACCCTATCAATGGCCCTTTTTGAGTTGAAGAAATATGATCAGCCTATTCAGAGGTAGTTCCATATTTAGGGAGGCATTTTGTCAAAAGTAAAATTTTAAAGCAATTTAACATAATGTTATTATATCTACTGGAAATGACAGAATCTAGAGTCTTTAAATGCAGATATAAACTAATAAAAAGATTACAGAACAATGTGCAGACAGCAAAAATGTTAAGATGGCTAAATCCTAGAAAGAGAACCATAAAAAGTAGATCATCAATAGTAAAAATAAACAGCAGGTAGGCCAGCTTTCTGATACAGAAGTACTTAGTCATTTACAAGATAATTCACTGTTTAGAGGAGGCAAAGAGAATGAAGAAAATGAACCTGAATAAAACATCTTCCATACATTCAGGGATGTATGAGAGATTTTGTCACAAAACAAAGAGATCTTTATTGCAGCAATAGAAGTGTTTTTGCAATTGCAATATTCCATTCTTTGTCACTGAACATCCATCCTTTATATGTATGACCAGTTTATTTAAAAGAGAAATTATATTCTTCCTAAAAGGAAACAGTTGGTTAGATAAAATAGTTAATTAGTATTCAATGGTTTAAGTAGATAAAATATATAACAGCACATAAAGCACATAATGAATTAAAATCAGGGATTAAAAGACAAAATTGTAGTAAAACTGGTATAGTGATTCAAAATGGCTGAAATAACACTGATAATATAATATATTTTATGGTTACTAAACTGATGGTTCTTTTTGCAAATATTGTGTTCCATTTTCAACGAAAGAAGTAGGTGCCCACAAAAATCAGAGCACTGGAAAATTAGTATCAGAATCTTTCAAGAAGTGGAATCATGCTGTAAAATATTTTAAAAAGCACGATTCAAATTTACTCAAATTTGAAAAAAATTAGTGAAAATTCTATTATTAGTATCGACAAAATATTAGACAAAAAGAAAACTGAAAAAGTTTCTAAAAATCAACAAATTTTATGTTTTATTAAGGAAACTGAAATTTTCAGCAGTAAGCAAGGAATTGCTTTAAGGGAGCATTTAGATTATGATCCCTTAAATTTAAATGAGGAAGCAAATAAAAATGAAGGAAACTTTCGAGTACTGATTAAATTTCATGTAGAAGCTGGAGATGATGTTGTAGAAGCTGGAGATGAACATTTGAAAGACAATCGGAGAAATGCTTATATCACTTGAAGAACACAAAACGAAATAATTTCATAAATCAATGAAACTATATTAAAAGGTATTGTTGACCGTGTAAACAAAAGTGAGTGTTTCAGCATCACTGCTGACAAAAATGTATTGTATAAATAATTAACATTAATTAATAAATTGTTTTGTACTGTTTTTTGTTCCCGACAATTGATAAAATCAATAGAATATGTTTGGCGGCATATTGGGTTTATGATGGGAGAATGGTGGACTTTTGACCCTCGACCTCCCTCTGAAAAATTCCTGTGTGTGCCAATGGGTGGTATATATATATATATAGCAAACTGGAAGAAGCATGGTTCAAACCCAGGCAATAGCACGGTTGCTTTCTTATGGCTCTTAAAAAAAATCTCTACAATGGCATCCAAATAAAAGTATAGTAGATGATAATTTGGTACCACTTTGATGTGGTCAACTTGATCTCATATTTCTCCTTTTAAAAGGGGCCAAATTTATGAAATTATTACATTTCAAAAGGTTCACTTTTGTTATGCAAATGGTTAGCACATTCACCTGGCAGCAGGAAGATCCATGATTCCTTAGCAAAAGTATAATTGATTTTCCACATTTTTTATACATAAAATACTAAAGATCTCTACAGTAGCGCACAAACTAAAATGTGATGGGTAATAATTCAACACTACCTGGATTTGGCTCATTGGGTCTCATGCCTCTCTTCAGTTGCAAATATAAGAAATTATCACATTTTACCAGCCAAATCCTGGTGAATACATAATTGATTTTCTTGTTTCCAGCTCCAAACAAACCTAATCTCTTTACAACCTTAGAATAAATATTATAAGCATAGTAGGTGAAATACCTATCAACTAATAATTTTAAGACATGTTCCCTTTTACTGTTGTTCTTCAAGAAGTTTTTAGTTACCTTATTAGTTTCTGGCTAGCTACTGTTACTTTTATAATATGAACTAGTTTATGACAGTTTTAACAGCTTTGCTATCCCTCGTTTAAATCTGTACTCTAAAATACTTGGATTTACTTCAATATCTAAAAAGTGCACAAAACATTAAAGTTAAATCAGAATAATAAATCATACCCAGTAGAAGTTTCACAGTTATCAACACACAATATTATGCTGAAGGAGCCTGGGTAAAGATAAAACAAGCTGAATGAAGGATTTTCACTATAACACAAATCAATTTCTGTTGGTTCTTGTAGAAGTTTTTCTATTCTCCCTCTGTGTATAGTTTTAATCTCGGGGTTTTCTGTTACACTAGAAACTACTTCTTTAGGTTTACTGCGTACTGGATGGGACAAAGGTTTTTCTGATGATGAAGATGCTTCTGATGATGACTGAGAACAACTTGGTGAACCTAAAAAATGTATATATTTTTAACAATGCGTTCTTAAAATTATAGGAAGGCATTTTCTATAAAATAAAAACTTTAAATTTATCAGTTACAAGCCACATTTAAATAAAATAATAGAGCTTGCATTAGCATTCTATATTCTAAATGATAATTTATATAAATTCTTAAATTCATTGTTTTTAATTAAAGTTTTTTTAATTTTCACAATGATTCCTCTGCTCTTTTAAGATAAACCTTCTCTTTAAGACTTCACCCACAATATGAATTAATGCATATTTTGCACATCGATATTATTTTTTTATTTATATCATTATTAAAGAATAAATTTTGAAAAAATGCTCACTTTCAGTAAATTCAATTATATACACTTTATTTATCAAAGTAATACTTGTAGTTACCATCAGCATTCTACATATACTAAAATATTCAGGCGTAGAAAAATTTAATATACTTAATTCAATAACCAAAAGAAAATGGTACCATACCACCACTCCATGATTTACGACAATAAATGAGGTGAAAAAATGGAAAGTAATCAAAATGGCCCATATTTTACACTCCAATAATGAAAGCACTAATATTGTAAAACATAGTGCATGAAAAGCACTGTCACTGAGACACTAAGAGCTTGATAGAATTGAATTTGAATACTAGAGACACTGTCTTCACAAATGAAAGCAATATAATAAATCGATACTCTTTGCCACTATTTACATAAGAACCCCATTCCTAGACATAAATAAGCCAACCAACCAGTTTCTGGATATAAGAGAATTCTAATATATCACTGCTGAAGGAATATTCAAGCTGCTGCTGACCTGTTTACAGGAAATTTGATTTTCATGACAATTTTCTGAGAGAAAATCTCTTGATAGGTGCAACCTATTGCAGTAATGATTAGTTGAAACAAATGTACAGTGATACTACTTAAACATCAGTTTATCAAACTTTACTTTTATATTTTCTTAATCACAGATTAGAACTTTCTACACCAGACGTATAAATAAAGAAAGACTTCTTTCACAAGTAAACAACTTCATATCATTTATCAATAACATTACCAATTTGTATAACCAGTCTCCTAAAAATACAAACGAATCAAAAATGCAAATTTTAATAGCAAAGTTTCTAAAACTGAAGGATTTAAGATCAGTCTTTTCTTACAATATTTCTGGCAAAATGTTGAGGCTTTGTTGCCCAGTTCAAATGTACTAAAGTAGATGAGAATAGAGAAAATACTTAGAGAACCTTGTGTAAAGGACTATTGAGAAAAATCACTAACATCAATTTATTTTAGAGTTTGACTCATGTGTTGAGTTCTTCAGTATTAGCAGAATTTAGTTCAGAATTAAAAGGTCAAGATATTATAATTTATTCTTCTAAAAAAAATCAAATTATTTAATGAAAGGAAAACAAACGTGGTAGCTGGAGTCCTTAAAAACAAAAAATTTTGTAGTATATGCTGAAATAACAAAATGGACTGAGATGCTTATAAAACTCCAAATAATTCTTTCACCTCTGGCAAAACAAAAATTATGAATTTATGAGAAAGATTTAGACTTTCTGATAACAGATCCAAAGATGATTTTGAAAATTTCTTTCCAAAATGACAATTCTATCACCTCATAATGGTTTTTCTAAATACAATTAAGAGATCATCTCAATTTATATAAGTGACTGTGAAAGTGAATTCTCACAGATGAATTTACTAGTGACTCCAACAAGAATTCCACTGCATTTAAACACTATAGCGAACTTAATGTTTTCTCCATCAGTGGCTAAAAAGTCAAGACTAAATGCTGGGAGTTAAATGCGGTTTCAAACTCAGGCAAATTGGCTCGTTGCATGGTTAATTTTGATGGCTTTTCCATTCGTAATTTTAATATGAGTCAGTTTCCCATAGAAAATCTTCCATAAAAACCTACCTTTTCTTACGCAGATAGCCCTTGTATTCAAATAACTTAATTTTATGTTCATAAAATTGGTAGGTCCTCTTTTCAATTTATTTAACCCTTTAGTGCATGTAAATTCATTATTTTTAAAAGGACATCATTAGAACATTTTGCGAAAATTTTTCATCAAAAGTTCCCCAATAATCATATAAGAAACAACAAATGATTTAGTGCCCTCATTTTATGAAAGCAGCTGTGTTTGTGATAGATTTAAGAGCAATTAACCATATACACTTCTGATATTTCTATTGGTTTAAGATATCCATATGTAACTGTGTTAAAATGCGACTAACCTAACACAACATTTTTCAGCTATGACTTGGTTTCATTTAAGTGGATATGTGAATAGTTAAAATACATACATCTGAGGTACAAATAATCTTTGCACAATATATTAGGTACACTTTGTAAGTGAGAGGTGTGGCACGCAATGTCTAGAAGGTTAAAAAATGTTGGACAAATATATTTTTTATTTAACTCTTATGATAATGTAAAAGTGAATATCATCCAGCAATTTGTGGCAATGCATGAAGAAGACAAGCATTACCATTTCCAGCAAGATAGTGCTGCTTACCATATGTCAAACCAAGTAATCAAGTAAACTAAGAATATCTCCAGGATGTTTTCAAAGACTGGTTGATCTCTACAAATGTGTAATTGTGATGAAAATCCATTAGACTTTTATTTGTGGTTCTACACAAACAGCAGAGATGTCATAGCAATAAATAGATCTGTGAAACAACATGATAACAATCATGCAATATATTTTAGTCAGCACTTGGGAATAAAGTGGCAAAAGGTATGTAGTGTTGAATGCATTCAATATTAAAGAAGCATGGGAAACTTTCTAGCATCTTTTGTAAAGAATCCTTTTTCTCCTGTCCACTTGTAATTTAGTAATCCAATGAATTTAAAGCATTAAAGGTAAAAAGTGACTTTTCTGTAGAGTTCAAAACTTTTTTAATTGTACAGTATCAGTAAATACCAGCAGGAAATAATTTACTAAATTCACCAGAATTCATATCATTTATTAAAAACTATGGCAATAAAGTACCAGAACCTAATATCCATAACAATAATAACAATTGTTTTAAAATTTTATCATCATGGGTTTGTTCCATTTAACTTAATTTTTTATTATTGTTCAGAGTTCAACACATTTCACAGTGATTACTGACACTAACTGCATTGCATTAAATATCATGCATAAGGAATCAATTAAGAAAACATAAATGTATTAATAACATACTATTGGCTTGTTTCCATTCAAGTAGTTTTGCATCTAACATAGCACATATCTTATCACCTGAAAAATAGAATAAGTAAATTTAAAGAAATTAAAATGAAAACGTGAGACTGAATATTATGAAAGAAGAAGAAATTATTAATTAAACATAATAACCTCATTTTAATACAACTTACTCACATCAGAATTTGATAACATGGATAATCTATAAATATTAACTATAAATCATATGTATAATAATTAAACATATATTTAGAATTTATTATATAAATTCAAATTTTTAAATTTGGTTCCCATTTTATGTGCCAAGAATAAATTTTTCAAAAGTTTGAATTTTGCATGAAAGATTCCTTATTGCTGTCAGAAATCAAACTTTTGAGATATGTTTACAGTAATGTTCCATGAAGAACTTTACACATATTCCACAATGCTAACAAATCTGCTTATACAGCAGTCGTATTCCTTCGGAGTGAATGTCACACAGAAGTTAAGTTACATCTAATATGAGCCAAGAGCAGGAGAGCACCTTTACAAAAATCTAAAATTCCACATCTACAATTGTTAGTTTGCGTCATAGAATCTCAGCTCAATTTTATGGTAAACGAAGCTTTGAAACTCACAGATGTTCAAAGTACTAATTGAACAAATATCTCAAAGGTCCTGCATTGGATAAAATGTCATGAACCATTAGGAGTATTTGTTAAAACAGAGCAGAAGAAATATGAAAGCTAATAATATCCAAAAATTGGAGACATATTTCTAGTAAACAAAATGCAGCAGTCCTTCCATCTACAGAATGCATGATAAAATAACTTTCTTGAATCCAGATGGTGGGAGAAACCTACCTGGTTCAAAGATAATTGGCCTCAATTAGGCCATTCAGTAAATGAAGAAGTAGTTCTCAAAAAAAAAGGAAAATTTCTATTAATGTACCTTTAAATGAAATTTACAGAGAAAGCTGGTTTTGTCATATCATGGTTTTGTCATATCTGGTTTTGTCAGATGGCACAACTTAAAGCCAATAGAAACAACTCCACTTTCCTTCCTGGAAGATAATGTAGGAGAAACAGTTTTTGAAATTAGGGGTGTGGACCTGGTTGGATCCTGCTTTTCATGAGGCGTGAAGAGTTGAGTGAGTCTTACTTAGACCTGATATAACATCACTATCAACAAAGGCATTTTTACTCTGTTTTCAACGAATCATTGCATGTCACAGCCACACAGTACCATCTACAGCAGGGATGTCAAACTCATAGGTACACTTGGGCCAAACAAACAAGGTTTAACTTTAGGCGGGCCGCCAAAAAAAAAAACCAATATTCATAGAAACATATATTTATTTCAAATAATACAATAATAAACATATATATATATATTATATAGAAAAGAACAAGAAACATTTAATGTTTACGTCCTGATACTTGACATCTCTTCTCTGCTATTATCTTTCCTATTTCGGGAGAAATTTTGTTTGCAGTGATAACTTTCAACGCTGACCCAAGGTGAGCATCATTAATATGGTTTCTAATAGGAGACTTATTACCTTTCATGACTGAAAATAACTGCTTGCACCAATAAGTGCTACCAAACATGGAAATAATCTCATATGCGAATTTTCGAGTATTTTCAAATCCGGCTGGTAAATATTTGTAAAATTCAGGCACGCCCACTCCAATGAATTCTGCTTTAAAATTTGGGTTGCATTGAATCTCGATCACCTCCATTTGCATATGGCTCGGTACTGAGTCAATACTTATTGAGAAAATCGAAGAAAACAAAAAAAAAATTGTCTTCGAGGGAACTAAAATCATTAAACCTCGTTTCAAATTCAGTTGTTAAATTTGCAATTTTTTCTGCGTATTTTTTGATACGAACAAGTATCACCTAAACTTGATTTATTCATGCTGCACGTAGGGAAGTGCGTTAAATCTTCATTTTTTAAGTTTTTTTTCCCAAGAACTAGCTGACATTTGAATGCTTTAATTATGTCAAACATGTTCGTAATGATATGATCTTTTCCTTGTAACGATAAATTTAAATCGGTTAAGTGTTTGGTTATATCAACCAAGAAGATAATCTTGTATCCATTTGGATCGTAAAACAAACTTACGTTTGATTTTTTGTTTTTAAAAACTGACATATTTCTCTTTCAAATCCCAGAATTGTTTGAGAATCTTGGGAGCAAGATAACCAATGTACCTCGTTATAGTAGGACAAACCCGAATATTCACTATCTAACTCACTTAGAAAGCAGTGAATTGACGCTGATTTAAACCTCGAGATCTTATAAAATTTATAACTTTTTTTATACATGACAAAACATTCTCCATATTTATTACTTTCGTGCATAGAACTTCTTGATGTATAATACAATGCATATGATGAATGTTTGAACCGTGAATTTCACTAAGTTTTTTTCTTAGTAATGCTACGAAGCCCTTGTTTTTTTCCCGGTCATTGATGGAGCACCATCTGTAGCTACAGAATTTAATTTTGCCAAAGGTAGATTGTATTTCTGCAGAAGTCCAAAAACACAAGTAAATATAGTATCTTCTCCTGTGGTAGTACCAGGCATTGGTATTAGTTCCAGTAATTCCTCAAAAATGTTAAATTCTTGTCACAAGAACGAAGAAACACTGCTAATTGAGCTTTGCCACTAATGTCCGTGCTCTCGTCACAGGCAATGGAGAAACTTTTGAAACTAGATGATTTTGCTTTGATCTGATCACTTATATTCGCGGCTAAATCAGTAACTCTTTCCGCAACTGTATTTCGAGACAATGAAATTGATTGAAAAGCCTTCACATTTCCAGGACAAACAATTGCTCCAGCTTTCATTAGGCATTCCTTGATGAAATCACCGTCAGTAAAAGGCTTCGAATGTTTAGCTATCAACTTGGACAAGACGTAGCTTGCATGTACCAGCGCTTCACTTTCTTGCAATACTTTACTAAACATGGACTGTTGCTTTTTCACTCCTAACTTGAGCTCTTTCAACTTTCCTTCTCTCATTAATCCTTCGTAATTGTTATATTTCAATTTGTGTTGTTCGTAATGACGTTTAATATTATATAACTTTGGTACATTAATAGTATTATTACATATCAAGCAGATTATTTTATCTTTTATTTCACAGCAAAAATATTCTAATTCCCATTTTACTTGGAATATTCTATGTCAACAGCGATTTTTCGTTTAATTTTACTACCACTTGGTTTTGATATAGACATACTGAATACAAAGGGCTGGAATAAACACGGTTAACATTAAAAAGTTAACACAAAATTTATTCTTTCCACAAGAGATAAATCAAAATGCTGAAATATTTCTTCAAAAATATTCTAACACATATCACCAAATGTCAAACGTTTAGCAAAAATCATTCAAAACAGAAACTAATTCTATCTCGCACAAAAATCGCTACAAAATCAATCACAGCATTAAGTAAACAAACAGTTCGCTAGAACTACAGCTACTACTGAGATGAGTTGTTTGTTCTCGGCTTTTATAAGCTTTATAATTAATTTCTCGAATATATTGGAAACATCTATAAATATCTGGATTTTTGTGGATGGCAACAGCAATTACAAGATATTTATTTATTAGGTATTAAATGCACGCGCTGTTCTATTTTTATCCTTCCAACACAGCTGTCTTTTCAAAAATTGTCTGCGTTGCTAAGGCAACATGAAGCAAATCTAATTACAATTCTAAATTAAAAAAACTAACTAAATAAATAACTATGAAATCCTTAACAATATGAATTAAGTAATAATTATGATTGGAAAACTGAGACCATGAGTTCGGCCACATTCGGCTATCGGGGGATGCGTACAAGTTCCGAGTGCACGTGCCCCCCAAAAGCCGAAAGTAGCTGAACGCAAGCTACTCACACGCATTTGTAATTTAAGTAGTGTGTGTGTCAGCTTGCTGTGAGTAATCTAACAACATTGAATAAATTATCGTTAATTACTTAGCAGTAAACATTTCATTTTTTTCTTCATCAATATGTTATTTTATTATTATATATTATTATTTGCCGATATATTGGCCGGGCCGCAAAAATATTTGTCGTGGGCTGCAAGTTTGACATCCTTGATCTACAGTGACAATGGAAATAATTTTCTTGGGGCCGAAAATTTTATCAAAGATATCAATTGGGAAACAGCTTTGACAGAGGCATCTGTCAAGAAAATTTCATGGAAGTTCATTTTGCCCTCTACCCACTTGGTGAGGAGGGTTTGGGGAATATCTTATTTAAAGAATCAAAAAACTCTTATGGTATGTCACTTGGACACTTCTTTCTTATTTTAGGAAGAAATAATGGGCACATCATGCAGTTATGAGTGAATAGCGAACTCAAGACCTTTGACATATGTTTCAGGAGATCCTAATGATTTGATTCCTCATAGTCTGTCTATGTTCTTGCAGGAGAATTTGACAGTAGAAATTCTGACAAGATCAACTTAAAGAAAGGTTAAAGTAGCAACAGACTTTAAAAGAACTATTAAGGAAACAATTAGGATTTGAATATAAAAGCCAGCTGGTTCTACAAGAGAGGAAAAAATTTCAAAACATCAAACCCAGAGATGTAGTTCTCAAAGAATATGAGGACAAAAGGAGAATCTTCTGGTTCATGGCTAAAGCTATAGATGTATCCAATGAGAAATAAAAGTATACGAGTTTTAAAGATTGAAACTTCTTCAGAAAAGTTGATTTACCGATCCAAAAGATTTATCCTCTTGAAATACAAATTACAGTCAAGAATCAAGAACTTAAGAAAGAAGTAGATAAGAGAGAGGATAGGCAGTTTTTCACTTCCAAATTTGAAGAAACTTTGCATAATTAGATGTGGCATAACTAACAACATTCCTTCTTGTTTTAGAGACACTTAAGCATATATTTTGAACTCAGATACCCTAAGGAATAGTTTGAAAAATACAGGTGTCGGAAAATATTAAGAACACATATTTTATTGTAACTCCATGTAATTAATTTCTTTTTATTTCTTTAGCACTGAATGGTAACAGAAGTTTTTCTTGGTTTGAAATTAAATGTTTTGTTCTGAAAGTCAAACAGTGCTCCTCATAGTTGTGTAATGGAGCAAAATGTATTCATTATTCACATTACCAAGAAACTGAAACTGTAGAAATATGTTATGAATAAAGTAAAGAGCAAAAAGATTCTGCAAAAATTCTTAAAATGCTCACATCTTGATCTGAGCTCTGAACTTTGTCCAACTATGCTATTATTCCATTAGCTGTCATGATTATTTAATCTATTTCTGGACCAATACTCTTATTAAAATTAACTTCAGACTCTGAATATGTAAAATTACCATCCCTTTTTTAACTTACTCAAGTTACTTACTTTACTTTTTAACTTACCTGTTTCCAGGCAGGTATCAGAATTTACTATTTGGTACATAGCATACATTAATTTTATATTAATAACTGAGAAGCTCATTTTATTCACTTCTCTCTCTTGTACCAAAAAAAGCTTGTTTTAGATTTGTTAATGTTCTGTTATATCATGTTCATCAGCAAATGAATAAATTTGTACAGATTTATTAACAATGTTTCTTCTGGTATAGATCTCAAATGTTTAATTACTCTCTTTAAAAATCTGATGAAGAGAAGCCAAGCTGGTTAATCTTTAACCTAATATTTTAGGGCCTAACTACACTTTCTTATTTCTATCAATTGTGAAGGGTCATCAAACTAAAATCCTTAATTTTACTGCCTTTAATGTAAAAAGATGTTAAGTTCCTTCAGAGCCTCAATAAATAGTTTTTGTTTTATGTTCTAAAGTGAATACAAAGATGATAAGTTCCAGTTCCTAAATACTTAAGTTTCTTCTAAGATTAGATGTAAATTAATTATTTATACAGTTGTTGAGCTTCCTTTCCTGAAACTACATTGATAATTTCTATGCAAGTGATAATTTGTTAAGTAAGATATTTAATGTATGTAGTATAAAGGAGGTTTATATCTTTATAATTGAAACATAAGAAAGTTTTTTATTACTGTATTGAGCATGTTGAGCTAAGTTTTCATTCTTCAGAAAATATACCTTTATTGCTCGCTGTTTGTGGGATGTCACGTATTTCCTTTATCATAGCCTTACTTGCATGTTTTAGAAGTTCAAATGATCCTCAGCTACGCTAAGTCCTTTATTAGTTTTTTAATCCCCCCTTTCTGTAATTCTGGCTAATAAAAGGAGTTACATGATTTCTTGAATATTAATGATTGTAAAGTAATCTTTAGCATTTTGGGAGTCATTGTTTAGTTATCAAAATGCTCATTTCACCTCTGAAGAATCTGCATTTTATTAGAATAATTCTACTTTTATTTCTGAAAAGAAATATTCTTAATTTAAGTGCTAGGACTCTATGACTAAATAGTATGACTTATATCTAAAAAACACACAATTGTAGATAAGAAACAAAAAAGATACCTTACCAAAATATTCTAAAATCTTTGCTTCTTTACCGCTTGAAAGAGGTAGAGGATATTTTTTTAAAGATGAAAGAGCCTAAAAAATTCGTATACTTAAAAACAATACAAAAATAATAATATTAAGCATAATTTTAACAACTTCCTCTAATAATATTTCTCCCCCTCACATGTATTAGATAAAAATATTTCTTACTATTAGATAAATAATATGAAGACAAATACCCCATATCATATGAATTCATGTCCAATGTATTTAGAATTAAATTCAAATTTCTAAAATCTACTTAAAAAGTAGTACTGTACTGCAACACACTGTACTGCAACTACTGTACTGCAAAACAAGAATATTTTCTATTATCTACTATAATGAAGATCAATTCATACTAATCAGCTTTGGTCATAAAAGTATAAAGTAAACATGTGTAAATAAAAAATTTTTAAAACAAAAAGAGGGAAATTTCTTCTGGTCTGATCAAAATAGAATGAAAAAAAAAAAAAAAAAAAAAAAACAGATGTGGCCAGCACAGACCTGCCATGAATTTCATGTTTTAAATAGCAACAAGCTTTAAATAAAACATCTTTAAGTAAAGTATCACTACTGATTGATCATTTTTAACCAAAATCTAATTTTTTGTTCTAATAAAAAGAAAGGTCTGCAACATGCAATTAATGGATTATATTTTATCAGATAAAATTAGTCATGTGCAAAAACTGGTTTTTCAAAATATATACCAATATAATCAAACTAAGAGCTGTATTTTATTCGCGAGTTAAAAAACATATAACTTAATTGTTTTTTTAATTAAAGGAAATTGTTTATAATATATTTAAAATAAATACTTTGAAATGAATATTTTAATTTAATTTTCTTCTATGTTATTTCTATAACATCAACAAATCTGAATCCATTTTGATCTCCACATATATCACAGCTGATTTATTTTTGGGATTATAACTCAATAGTTACTACCATGTATTCCAGAATCAGTAAAAAGTAAAGCTATAGAATCACTATTTGGTACTTTTCAATTTTGCTGGCGCAGGCCATAAAGTCGCCAAAAATGATACAACTGATGCCAAACGGAATATCCTCGCTGGTAAACTTTTACACCTCAGTTTCAAAACAAGTTGCAACCATTTCTTATCAGATTGATTGTTTCTTTCAATACTGGCAACAATTACATAGAATTTTTACCAGATAGTTCAATTTTATACCCTAAGCCATTTGCAGTAATTAAATCAATTAGGATGCAATCACACTGCTCACCCAAAGGTGAAAATATAGAAAAGGCAAAGTCAAGGGTTAAATTCATCAGTTCTAATGAAAATGCACTAACGAAGTAAAGCACTGCAGTTTTACATAATTTCTGAGTAAGCTATTCATATGAATTTGAATAATTCCATATTAAGATTTAATTTGAAATTTGTAATGGATTTTTGTAGTGTAGTTTACGCGAGATGAGATCACTTGGGGTCACGTGATATAAACCGGCAAATCAGGATGTTGTATGATGAAAGTATAGTAAATTCTTAAATTAATGTCTTTTTACAAAATTTTTGTGTCTTCAAAATAAAAAATTCTTAGAACTAGCATTTGTTAACACTTTATATGTGTATACTGTGCGTTGTCGCTAATAAAGTCTGCTTGGCAAAATTTGCGCCAGTAAAACAGAAAAGTACCGAACTTTTTTTTTTTTTTTTTTTAATTTTCATAATAAATGATTCTAAGCAAATTTTCACACTACAGCATTAAAATAAAAATACCCTTTTAAATGTTTGCATTTTGCAGTCAGACTCTCCACAGAATGAATGAAAATTTATAGTTTTTTTAAGTTCATTCATTTAATGTTGCATTTTTTCAGAAGCATTTTTTTTACATGGTACAACCTGAAGCATGGTGCAGAAAGATGCAATTAGGACAGAAATATAATGGCTTTCCATGTCTGAAATTCATCCCAGAATGGCAATTCTCAATAACAATAAACTGTCAACAAGACCAAATCTAAACTCTGTGTGTTCGTTTTTCTTTCCTTATGATAGACAATTAATGAATTCCATACAGTAATATCAAAAATGTAGGAAAAAAATTCTCTAATATTTTTCTTTCATATTTTTAATAATTTCAAAATTTTTCAGATTTTGATCAATGTGGTCTATTTTGTTTATAGTATGGGTGTAACCCATTAAGATTTTTGCCTTTACTTTCATAGCAGTCTTAAATTTGTTCCATTTCAAATTCCGAATTGTGGATAGTAATGGAATACTTTTTTTATGCATCCATTCCATTACAGTATTTTTTCCTTTCTGAAAAGTTATGATTTCTTCTTTTTTTCACTTTTCTTTGCTGCACTTCCCTTAGAATTTTTTTTCTGTTCAAATTTAGTGTACTATATAACATGAAATTAATTCAGTTTTCTGATTATGATGAAGAATAGTTACGATCTGTCATAAGACAGTATATTTTATGAAATAAGTGATCCATCATTGACAGGACAGTTTGTGAATAAATGCAAAGATATACTTAGGTTTCCAAATTGTATATTTTCTGCCTACACCATTATCGACAGCAAATAACTCAAAATCAATTCACACATAATAAAGGACTTACACAAGCCCTTTATTAAATTTGAAAAAAAAATTGCATTTCATTACTGAGAATAACCCATATAAAAAGTAACAAAATTACACTATAAACAATTTATCTGTATTTTCAAGCAGTTTAGTCTGCAGAATAAATTCATTTGGTTATGAACATTAAATCAGCATTCAAACTTCTCTTGAATGACTGAATGTGAATGCAGTCTTTCTCCTTTTCTTCCAATCAGTTCATATTTCTCTTTCACTTGATGGTGCACAGATTGTTGAAACTCTTCTGTTATCGGGACCAGATTAAAAAGCGTATGTAAGTAATGCCTGCATGTATGGATGTTTGTGTTCATGTATACATGTACCTATGTATGTATATGTGTATATACACAAACACACATATATGCACATACTTACATATACATGTGCATACAGACATACATTTCTTAAGCCAGTCTCGATAACAAAAGAAATTAACAAATCATTATTATTTACATTGCTCTTGAATTTAAATAGCAGTCAAAATGAAATAGAAGATTAAATGGTTGTATGTTTGATTTATTTTTTAGATGGACTTAACTTTCAATTAACTTTACTATATTTACAATATGGTGATAATCAACAATTTAAATTTATGATCTAACAATGTTTGTATATTCCAGATAATATACAATTAAATTATATAACATTGTTGATAAAAGCAAATACATAACATCTAGCATCACTGCATTAAAATATGGTGGCAATCAACAACATACTATTACAGGGTCATCAAATGGTGTTTATTTCCTGGCAAATTGTTACATTTGATAATCGCTGAATTTTGGTTCAAGAGTTACCCTCAGTTATTCTACAAATATTCAGTTTCAATTCTAACAAACTATACAATTATGTAATTATTATACAATTACTTTTACGAAAAAAATTTCAAACTTGTGCAAGCATGTCAACAAAATATAGTAGTAATAACGATGTTAATAACAATTACTGACACCCCCCCCCAATTTTTTTTTTTTTAATTAAGATGTATTTAACCCATAATACATGTAAAAAAAATAACTATTTTTAACTTAAATTTTTCTTTTTAAACGTGTAATGGCTAAAAGAGTCTATTGTAAGCATTCAATTTCTTGTATACCTTAGCATATACATATTGCGTTTTTAGACCCTTTTCCTTAGCATCATCCTTCCACTCTGTCAACCATTTCTCAAAAAGAGGGTTTGGCTTGGGATATTTCTTTTTCTTTCGCTGCTTTAAATTAGTTTCCATACTAATTTACAAAGCGCGCACTTTTTAATATTGACAGTGGTTACAGTTAAATTTTTATTGTTAAGGCCCGTCTGCACGTAGCGATAGCTTCATATTATTTTAAGTTTTGAAAATTTTTGCATTGAATATTTGAGAAACTTGTAAATGTGAAATAAAAATATATGCAAACTATGATCTCTCACGAGCCGAATTAGAGCATTAAGATCACGCTGCAGTGCTTTAATCTAAAGCGCTTTAATATTTTCTTTATAGTATTTTAGTATTCAGATAATAGAACTTAAGCACTTTAAAATGTAAAAGCACTTGATAACTTTAAAGTGTAATGCAAGAGTGTCTAACCCTCGGCCCTTGGGGCCTCATGCAGCCTATACCTCTGATTGAGTCATTATTCCTCTGAGTGCTTTAATCTGCACAGTCTTTCATTGGAGGCAAATAACTATAATGGTGAAAATTGTTCGAAATGTAAGAATGGGATCTGCCCAAAAACTTTTTGACAGGGGGTTACAGACATCTTACATACGGAAAGACATAATAAAGATGCTAAGTCTGGTCCCGTTAGATCAGAAGAGTCACATTTTGGAGGCATTGAAACTGAATTTCAGGTGTATGAGATTTTTGGTACAGAAATACAAAGTACGGAAGATGAATTCAGACACAGGTTATCGGTTTTAGATAAAGACAGAATTTGTGGATTCATTCTAGTGGCGAAATCCAAACATGTAATCGCAGTGGCTAATCGCACCGACGGTGACCTACGTTTGCGCATGCGCACAACAGCCCAGGTACCAGCATTTTACGCCGATTTCCATAAGGCAAGTGGTAGCGAGAGCGAAGCAAGAGAATAATTTGGAAGTAATAATTATCATTTACAAAGACGAGGTCAATCTATATAGATGATAATGTTCAGGAAATGATTAGGTAAAATAGGGATTTAATGATGGTTCTAATTGCAAGCGAGGACGTGTGATTAGTTAAAATATCTTTAATGTATTGACAAAAAGGTTACAGAAAATACTTAAATTCTTTTATTTAACAAAGGAATTTTATGCAAACTTAGATTCTAGTCTTATAACATAGGACTGTCAGAATTTATTATTCAATAAGAAAACTTACTGAAAATTATAATATTCTTATGTATTCATCACTTTTTCAGTATCCACATATGTTTATAGGTTTAAATGCTATATTTCAAAATCAAAGTTATTTATGAAATAAAACCTTATAAAATCCGATAAATCATTTGTGTGTGAATATTTATAAATCTAAATCTCTTACATTAAATTATTTCTGCTTTTAAATTACATCCCATTATTTATTTCAATTTAATTTATTAATGTGTTTGTACTAATATTTCAAAGTTCTGTGAAATACATTTTATGTCCTGAAAATGCCAAGTATTTCCATTAAATAATAAACAGTCATACAGAATTGTTAATAACCAGTATTCTATGATTATTTGTTCATTTAATAGTTGATTTAATCGCTTTTGACTTATTTCATGTCTAAATTTTCTACACAAAAATCCTCTGTCTAATTTTTGTTATCTTTTCTCGGACGAAAATTTTCAAAGAGTAATGAATTAAAGTCTTGATTGACAAGCAAAACACATCTTTGAAGCTAAATGTATTCTAAGAAGTCAAAAAATGTAAACAAGATTTTGTCCCCCTCCCCCCACAAATCAGTCATTTAACCTATTCCAACCGTTCAGAAAACGATAAAGAGTGCGTCCTAAAAATCTGCCCTTTTTTATATATACTTTAATAAAAGGAAATGCGTTCCTTCTTTTTATAAGAAAAGGGAACCCTTCCATTTCCTTTCTAAACTTTTGAAAGTCGCCAACGCTTAAAAAAAATGATAAACTACGTCAAGGTAGTAACCCGCCTTTAAAAAGAAATATTCACTACATTTAGGCAGTTCGCATACGTAGAATCCATTCTTTTCGATTGGGTTCAAATGACGGATCTGACAGTTTAATGCGCATGCGTGGTTAATGTTGGTGCGAATAGCTTAAGCGGCTAATCGCACCCTGGTGGGAATAGCATCGGATAACAGGTAAGTCCCTCACTTCGAAAACATAAGATTAAAATTAATCATTCCGGCAGAGATATTCCAGATGTGGGATTGTTAATAGGAGCCGATTACTCTAGACAATTCGTGACAAGTATTATCATTGCAATCGACAAAAACCTTACTGCAGACACTGCAAGGCCTGGAGCAAAATCTTAGTACTCTGTCAACTGAGTTGAAATTTGAAGTTGGTTTCGATAGCATTATGAACGAAAACAACAGCAAAAGAAGGAAAATATTCTAGAAGGAAGTCCATTTGAAGAGTATCAGCAGATAATACACCAATGAAAAGATGTGCTAGTTCTAGAGTGAAGACTTTTGCCTCAGATCGCAATATTAGAAGATGATAAAAATTATTTTAATAACAAACTCAAAATTCCTGGCCTTTTTCAACTACAGTTATAATGATGATATAAATACTAAATTAAGAAGATTTTCAGCTATCTGTGAAGCTGTTGCTTTACCTGAAGGTAATGGGGCAAACATTTGAGCTACTAAAATAATTATTGAGCAGAAAACTATTACTCTTTCATCTCTGCCTTCATTTATAAAATCTGTGTTAAAAACTATTTAGAAATAAGAAATAATAATTTGCAGGAAGTATTCAAAGCATATGAAAAGCCTGCTATATCAAGACAAGAAGTTTTTATCATGAAAACCAACAAAGAGAAGACACCAGGAAAGGAGAATAAAAATAATTATCGCGCAATTAAAGAACGAATGTCTGAAATCATACAATCAAAAAGAAAATGCAAAAATGTATCTTTTCTTAAAATTCGTCTAACTACCTTAAAGGAAGGATTCAGATCTGATGTTGCCATCGCTTAAACAATGAATCTTCCTTCTAGAGGCTACGATGTCAAAACATTGCTGCAGAGGAAAGAGGGAGATCCCGACTGGTTTAGACGAGAATTACGTAGAAAAATGGCCTAGATATGAACTACCTCGTTCTACAGGTTATCTCGGCATTTCAGACTCAAGTGTTACGAAATCCAGATCATGCCATAAGTCCTAAAAGATCATTCCCACTGCAATCAACTCTAGGTAACCAGACTAATGCACGAAGAATAGTTGAACCACCTACTGAGTCTTCCATATCAGGCAGACCTAGAACCAGAGTTGGGCAATAAGAAAAGCAGCTGAACCTTTTAACCAAGTAAAGCGGTTGCACAGATAAGTAAATCAATTGCGGTTCAGTGGTTGAACCTCTGATTTTGCAAATTTAGAAACCTGCAAGAATGAAGGATATTCAGGAACGTGAATAAACCCAATATTTATAATTTAATTTAGCATGTTTGATATAATGTAAATATTTTGTGGCGACATTTTATTATTCATTTCTTTGAATTTCTAACTAAAAGAAAAAAAAAAAAGAGAGAGAGACAGTTATTATAAAGAAAGTATTCTAGCCATGTTAATTAAAAAGATATTCGCTTCAAAGTTTGTTTCCATTCTTCCTCAATTCTTAAAAACAAACTAAGATATCAATCGATTTCAAATAACAGTTAGCACAGATAATAGCATTTAGGCACTTTATAGAGGTATCAATGATAATTCTTGATTCGATTGCAAACAGATTATTAATTGCAACAACCCTCTGGCATATACTTCCCCCAAAATGTCTTCTCGATTGATACGAGTCTTTAAACTATAAATCTACAGCCTTTGAATTATTCGCTCCGATTGATGGGAAACTTTCCACTACCTCTCTTGCTCTGGAATCAATGGCAATTGCGTGTACTAAATATTGGAATTTGTTTTCAGGAGCAACATCATCATCTTTATGAGTGTGTTAAAATTGATTTAAAAAAAGGCATCCGCTTTTTTAAATTTTCGCATAATTATCTGAACTTTAATTTAGGCAAAGTTAGCTTTTTCTTCGAACTACTGGTTTCTAAAATTGGTTGAAAAATAATACTTTGGTTTTGAACCTAAGCTTGCAAGATAAACTCTCTTTAGACTCTTGAAATTGATGTCTTTTTCAACTACAGTTCTTTCTTTGCATTTCTACGACAGTAAATTCATCGCTTTTTATTCTAATTATTCATATATAGCTATTATTCAGTCATAACCTGAAAACATAATTATTTTTCATTTCATATTATTCACTCATATTTTTCATTCCCAGAACAAGAAGATGAGCATTATAATTCTTTTATTTATTTGAATCGTTTTATTATTTTATTCTCAGTAAGGCTAGGTATTTTAAAGGCTTATGATACTGCCAGTAAGAAGGGAAGTATTCTTTTAGGAGTGAGGATCTGATTTTCCAAATGTGCTGAATAAAGATTTGACGTTTTACCTGTTGCAGTAAACAGTGACGGTCTATGTGTTTCTTCACCTTGGATTATTTGTTTATTGCCCCCTTAGATATCTTTATTCTAAGATTTCTACATAAATTTTTGACTAAAAATTGAAAATGTTTATCACCAAAAAGGGCAAAAATGTAGTCTTGTATACAAAATTGAGATGCCTGAGTCATTTTAAGTTTACAAAAATATTTAACTACAGCAGACAGTAATTTATTCCTTACGCTGTTATCAACTGATCTATATATACTTTCGTTAGCTAATTTATTGTTTAATCAATGACTAATTTCATGCTTAATCAAAAGTCCTTCAAAAATTAGCAAACAACCTCTGTATTCTAATTATGACGGTGAAATTTGTGAGGTTCCTTTAATTTGAATAACCAGTTATTTTATGTTTTGAATCTGCAGTGGCACCTCCTTCTCTCCTTTTTCCCGCCAGAATGCAAACTATTTCGCGTGTACTTAAGTGAGAGTTTGAGATTGCTAAGACAGAGAGTGTTCTGTCGCTAGTGACCAAGTTACTAGGTTAGCTACTTTAGATAATCCAACTTTGGAAGTCAAACAACAAAAATCAGCGTTATATTTACAAAATTTTGTAAATATAACGCTGATTTTTGTTGTTTGATTTCTGAATTAGTATTTATTCGGCGT